GGGTTTTGGCTGCAGAGATGTCGTCTTCTGTTACCAATGTGTTGAATGTATGCCGTTGGCCAGTTGCATCATCCTCGTCACCCTCTAGCGGTGCATCACATAGTCCGGCAGCATAATCCTCTGCCCAAAGGCGCTTTCTCACTGCACCAAGCCTGTCAATGGCACTTCCGAGATTTGATGGAAGCCCCGAGGAAATTTCCCTCCGAAGTCGCGATGCCAGCTTACAGCCGCGTCCTGATGTCGTGATGCCGATATGGAGAGGGCCGTCCGAATACGTAGACAGCAAGCTGAAGGTGCAGAGTTCCGGAGCATCTGACACATTGACTGGGATTCTCAGACGACGGCAGAGCTTGGAGATGTGTGCACTCAGTGGGTTGTTTCCGCCTAGCGTGACGAAGACCGTGTCTACAACGTGGTCGACTTCCTCTCTTCCTAGGCTCGTAAGATCCTCATCTTGGAACTCTCGGCGGATCCACTTCACAGAGCCGTTCTCAATCCGTTCGACCAACGTGTACTGCAGGCCCTCTGTGTCCGGGGAGATGAGAATCGGCTTTGCGCCAGCTTCAGTGCTTTTTGCACAACGGGCTGCTGCAAGAGGGTTGGCCCCGATGATCAGATGGACGTGAGACTCGACGTTCACGGCTGTCAGTAGAGGTGCCGGAACACCACTATCTGAGGCGTCCTTCATGTTTGAATTGCCACCGCGGGGTCTTGCGGTCTAACCTTCAATATTTGCTTGAACTTCGTTTTGTCGAAAAAAAGGTGCTGGTACTAAGAGCAATCAGGACCCTGAATTGGACGACCCAAGTCGATTTATGCTTGCATCCCACAAAGCGAAGTAGCCAGTCGATTAAGTTTCCAGACTCTTCAACTCCGCGGAAAAGCCAGCTGATGAGCAACGATTGCAGATAAGAACCACGCTCTCCAGTCAGCACGTCTGCCAGGTCGATAAGCGTATCACAGCCATTAATAAACTGAGTCACCACAGGAAACCAGCGGGATTGCAGTCATTTTGCCTCTGGGAAATTTATAGATGCATTTCCTGATGGGGTTAAGGTGATATTGCGTGATCGCATGCAGTGGCTTAGATAAGCCGACCCCGGATTGGGCGATTCAGTATGGTGCCTGATATCAGTGGCACCCATAGCAAAGGACTGTTCGATGTCTTGTACTTTGGTCATGATATATGGCAGAGCAGAGTACTGGTAGTCGAGATCAGCTGAAGAATTATTTCCAGAACGGGCGTGACTCGAGCCCATGTCTTTAGGAGCGAGTATGGGTAATGATATAATTCATTGCGAAGATTTGGTGCCTGATACTCTTGCTAGAGCCGTGGAGCTTGCACTGATGGAAACCACGTCAGCTCTATAACTGGATCAAAGTGCTGGATGGTTCGTGGTGGTCTCGTGTGCTTCTCCTAAGTTAGTAGTAACCAAAACATTGGCCCGATAGTGTGTGGTAGTGGCCGGGAGTGTCACACTCATCATTGTAGACAACCAGATGTAGTATTTGTGAATTGGTTTCAATAGGAATAGAACCATACCGGCTGCGAGGTTAGTTTCATTGAGAGATGAAGAAACACGTCTACTAGATAGTAGCATCCTTGAAAGATGTTGATCTGGTCCAAGTTGCTGCAGCGGTGTATATCACGTGACAAAGCTGCCGCCAGCTCGAGCTGCACGTCAGAGCTCCGATCCAGTCCATGCTTCCATTCATCTTTCATCATTCCCCAGGCTCCCATCTCCTCCCAATAACCCCCTCCCATATTCAGCATCCTTCTATATTTTCTACAGGTTGATACCCGCCAAATCTGAATTATACCCTGTTGTGACGCTCCTCCGTCACCATGTCCGAAACCCTGTTGAAGCCGGAGAAGGACTTCTCCAAGGATGCTGACAAGCTGATCCCCGAGGCTGAGCAGCTTGCTAAGGTCGGAGCTCTCCCTTTATTTCTGCAAACGTAACTTACTGACCGTCAACAGACCGATGTTCAGGGTGCCATTGACAAGCTCCTTGTATTGGAGAAGCAAGCAAGACAAGTATGGTCCTTCCTTCGTCTGTCTGGCGACAACGCGATTCTTACCCATCCTACAGGCTTCGGATCTTGCCACGACATCGCGCATCCTTATCACCATTGTCACAATCAGCAAAAACTCGGGAGACTGGAACTTGCTGAACGACCAGGTCCTCCTGCTATCCAAGAAGCATGGCCAGCTCAAGCAGGCCGTAACGAAGATGGTCCAGACGGTGATGGGATTCCTGGATGAGACGCCGAACTTGGAGGTCAAGCTGTCTGTCATTCACACGCTGCGGACTGTGACTGAGGGCAAGGTCAGTGCAATAACCACCTAGTCAGCTCCGCATCATGCTGATGCGCGTCTATATAGATCTTCGTCGAAGTCGAGAGAGCCCGTGTTACCCGCATCCTTTCCAACATCAAAAAGACCCAAGGCGACCTTAATGCCGCCGCCGATATTCTTTGCGAGTTGCAAGTCGAAACATTCGGTTCCATGACCAGACGGGAGAAGACAGAGTTCATCCTGGAGCAGGTTGCTCTCTGCATAGAACGGGGCGACTGGACACAGGCCACCATCCTCAGCCGCAAGATCAACAAGAGATACTTCAACCGCAAGCCGAAGAAGAGCCCGGAGGAAATTGAGAAGCTGAAGAAGGAAGCCGAAGAGAAGGAGAAGACTCGTAGCCCGGATGAGGCACCAATGGAGGTGGACGATGACGTGACCGACTTGAAGCTTCGCTACTACGAACAACAGATTATCCTCGCCAACCACGACTACAAATACCTGGATGTTTGCAAACACTACCGGGAAGTGCTGGATACGGAGTCGGTGGAGAACAACCCGGAGCAACTTCGCGCCGTAAGTTCACCCTAGGTGGTTAATTAGTACCTTCAAGCTGACACCGTCTAGGTTCTCGCTAGAATTGTCTACTATATCGTCTTGTCTCCCTACGATAACGAGCAATCGGATCTGCTGCACCGCATTCAGCAAGACTCGCGGCTCTCTCTCGTCCCAGTTGAAGGCCGGCTAGTGAAGCTCTTCACCATCCACGAGCTGATGCGCTGGCCGATGGTGGGCGAGCAATTCGGCCCTCACCTCTGCAACACGGATGTCTTCAGCCCTCAGCCCAGCCAATCGGTCGAGGACCAGGCGCACCGGAGGTGGCAGGACCTCCGCAAGCGCGTGATCGAGCATAACGTGCGGGTGGTGGCCAAGTACTACACACGTATCCAGATGGGCCGGTTGACCGAACTGTTGGACCTGACGGAGGAGGAAACGGAGAAGTACATCAGCGAGCTGGTCTGCTCGAAGACAATCTACGCCAAGATCGACCGTCCAGCCCGACTGGTCAACTTCGCCAAGCCGCGCGATGCCGACGACGTGCTGAACGAATGGAGCAGCGACATGAAGAGCCTTCTGGGGCTGCTGGAGCGGATCGACCATCTGATCACGAAGGAGGAGATGATGGCGCGGATCCTTCCCACGCGAGAGAAGGGCAAGGCCCGGTAGATTACTGAGTAGCAGAACCGCAGATATACACTGATGAAGTAGAATGGGACAATAATGACATGGTCATATACATACATTGCATTCCTCTATACAACTAATCTACTCTATCTATATTCTAAAAAGGCAGCTCCATCTCATTAACATCCACTTCCTCCTTCTCCTTCTTTCCCCCATTTCCATTAACATCCCCAACAACGCCCCTCACAAACCCCACCACAGCATCAAGATACGGCCTCTGCGCCGGCACAAAATGGCCTCCGGGATGCACCACCACTCTCCCCTCCACATCCTTCGCATCACAAACCTCCACCAACGCCTTACTCCTCCCCTCATCGACTACCGCATCCAACGACCCCAAAACATGCAACACAGGCGTCTTCACCCCACCCTCATAAAACCCTCTATACCTCGGCCCCGGCGCCCTAAACCCACTATAACAAACCGCGAACTTCAACGGCGCCTGCCCTACACTCCTCACATTTTCCCACCAGACACTCGGCACCTCAAAGCCCTTCACATTCTCCCCCGTTTCCTCAAAGACACTCCCCTCGCTCGCAAACTTATTCATAACCTCCTCTCTCCCGGGCTCCAACAACGCCGCCACAATCGCCGCCATCGCTGCGCCCTGCGAGAACCCCACTACGCCGTCGAACGGCCCCTCGGTCTTGATGACGTTGGCGATCGTCTCTAGTCCCAAATGCAGGTCTGTATAGAGGGGTGGGTTCGCGGTGGAGGAGCGCCGGAACCAGCCGTAGGCTTCTGTTGGTTCATCGTTGGTGCCACCTTGGTTTGTGGATGGTTCGTAGCCCGGGATATCGGAGGGGAGGAGGTGGATGGGACCGGTTGGGTAGGTGGTTGTGATTGTGTAGCCGGTCGTGGGGAGGAGGGTCTTGGTGAGGTGTTTTATGACGGCGCGGGATTTGGCGTGGAAGAGGGTGCCGGATTGCGTGTAGCCGTGGAGGCAGAGGAGTTTGAGGGGGGGCATGCTTTTTTTTTTATTTCCTTTGACTGTGAACTTTGGTTTCTTCGTGTGAAGGGGGTGGTGTTGGGGGTAGAAAAGAGTGTAATAGGAGAAGTAATATATGGGAGTAGTGTATTGAGGACGATGGATGTCGGGGAGAGAAAAAGTACTAGTGGGAGGATGAGAGGAGATAAGATAAGCGGGGTGGATGGGTGGTTAGTTGGTTGGGGTATATTCCTGTCTACGGTATGGGGATGGGCTTAAAAGTGGATTGTAGGATAGATACAAGGTAGGGACTTCCTTGATTTATGTCTAGTTGTTGATCAGTTAGACGTTGTTGAGGGTTATGTCTACGGTCCAAGAGGTGGCACTCGTACACATGGGCCGGGATCGTTGGATGAGTCTAGATGCAAGGGCACTCGGTGACCCCAGCTTCAGCATTGCGGAGGTGCGGTCCAGATCTACGCATTTCGAGGGGCTACTGGGCTACCGGGCTACATTTACAACCTGATGTCCATACTGACCAAATAAAACATACGATTGCTACCGCACGAGGGTATCACAACTCTGCAGGGCCGGCACCGTCCTCTCAGACCTAGTAACCGGCCCCTGCAGCCAGTCACGCCGCTGCGCACAATACCGGAGCCGCCATCATTCATCTTCCACGATGAAATCTGTTTTTCCTCCTTCCGCAATATCCGAATTCCTGCGGCAACCGGCAGAAGCGCATGTGCAGACGTGACTGGTGGCGTTGTATGATTCTTCCCCATCGTGCCCCTGTTCGAGGTACATCCGTCGTAGGTACAAGGAACACAAGTTGGCGAATAGTAAAAATCATCAAGCGAAAAACTCAAGAGCAAGATATAAGGCAAGAGTAGTTTTTGGTAGTATGGACCGATCATGTGCCAGATATCCGGAACTCCCCTGCGCAGAGATGTAGGAAGATAAAAAGTAGTAAACGCTTTTTTTGAAAAGGTGTATCAAAAACGAGGTTCTGTGCCTGGTCAAAAATTTTTTTCATTTCCCTTGTCTGTGTGGTTCCGCAGGGCTTTCTCGCAAGGGGCGAGGATTCCATCTTCTATCTGAATCTGTTTCCTCAGAAAAACGAGATATATTAATCCATCATCATTGAAGAACGCCACATTGCTTTCATAATCGCTCCGGCACGGTTGGGTCGAGACGTTTACTTGCGGCGGAAAGAGCAGCCCTCAGTAAGACGGGCCTTACCACCGGTGGGCTGGCACAGAACGGTCGAGCAACCAGCGCAGACGACAACGGTCTGGGCGTGGGAGAAGACGGTGGTGATGGTGAAGCAGCCGGGGCACTTGACGTCCATGAAGAAGGAGCGGGGAGCAGGCACAAGGGTCTGTCGAAGTAATAACCGATATCAGCCAACCCATTCCCTTCCCTTTCTTATCTATCACTTTTTTCCCGATACGGATTGTTCATACCTTGAGCTTGTGCTTGCGGGCCTCAGCCTGAGGCGCGGGGTTGAGGAGGTCGACCGCGAGAACCTATTTCGAAGGGATATCCGTCAGTTCAACATTCATCCTTTCCTTTCGATAAAAATTTCGAGATGCCTGCGGCGACGAGATGGTGGCGACGACGGGGTTGCACTGATGGCTAGCGGCGACAGCCATTTCTATGCAAACATGCAGGGAGATATGTCGGGCAGGTTGTGGGATGGCATCGAAGGGGTAGAACGTACCATCTTGACGAGACAAAAAGTCGATCAGCGAAGGGAGTTGAATGTAGCGCTGATGGAGATGGCCTGCTTGAGGGTGAAAGCAAAAAGGTGGTCTCGTGGAGATGGCGAGCGCTGAAGGGAATTCTCGACGGCGTCACCCACGGCGGCCCGTTTGGGGGCGCATAGGGTTGCAACCCTCTCGCTAATACTGCCCGAACAAGCACTTTTGCCACCGCCCGGCAGTGGCCCCTGTGGCTGATGCCCTCTCCACCAATCACGGGCTGCTTATATCAGCCGCCAGATGCTGCTAGATGCTCCAAGGTCCTTCGATGGAGCTCCCTTTCTTACTTTGTCCTACTATCTATTTACCTGTTACTCGGATGGGCAGATCGATTACGGTGGTTGACGCATTGTCGCCACTCGGCAGCTGCTAATCTCATACAAATACATTTTCTATCGCTAATCCAATATACGCTGCTTAGATACGGCCATGACATACGTTTCCGGTCCGGTGACATGTGCCTGCCATTCAGACACCGGACGACTTGCGACTCGGTTCCAATGCTCCTGATAGCGCAAGGCCAGGATGCACGAACGGCTTTTCCGTCCAATTAATCTACCGTCTACCGTCTTATGCGATTCGACGTTCTCCACCTTTGACACCATTCTTTCGTACCCTCACCGCCATCATTCGCAACCTCATTAGTTCAACTTCTTCGCATCTCCATTGGCGGTCACCACTTCCACGTGCGGGTGCTTGATCGTCAAGCACCAGATGTCGATATAGTCACATATCGTCGTGATGATGTCGTGCTTTTTTCAATTAGCGTCTCGCCCTCTAATGGTCAATGATTACACTTACTACGAAGCTGCCGTAAACGCCGATCGACAGACCCAAGCACACCCAGACGAAAGCGATCTGTCTCACACCATCACCCAGCACACTCGGCCAGTATCCAAAGACCGCACCAGCACTGTCAAGCACCGCCAAAGCAAGGGGAATCAGGAGCATGTTGAAGTAAGGGAAGCTGGCTTTGACCAGGTGCGCGCAGATCATCCTTCCCACGGCATATGCATTGATCATGCCGACATACAGGCAGAACGGGACCATGTAGTTCTCCAGGATGGTGGGCTGTAGGTAGAGATAAGCCGGCACGAGAGTCCACACTGCGACCAGAGGGAGCAAGCCATAAAGGGGCTTGATTGGGTCCTGACCACGCTCACGGCGCACCTGCATGACGTGCACGATGCTGGAAGCAATGGCGAAGAAGAGGAGAACTCCGCCGTAGACGAGATACCACTGCGTAAAGGCCATATCGTAGATGTGCTCGGGAATGAAGGCGAACTTGGGAACTCCAACGGTCTCCAGCATGGAACGATGCCAGAAGCTGCCACCGCCCATGTAGGCCGTAAAGCCAAACACGACGCAGAGAGTCAGGACACCCTCGACGGGGCCCGAGATGATTCCCAAGGTCAACACCTGGGTGTAGTATTCGTCCCACGTCTGGACGTAAAAGGTCATAGTCGCTGCATCTTATCAGCACTGCACTGTGCTCATGGGACTTGGCCGAAGAGCCACCTACATCCGAAAAGGGTCAACACCGTTGCCCAAGATTGGCCAAGATTCATAGCGGCCGCGAAGATCAAGACTCCCAAGGCCGTGTTGCATGCATCGACACCTGCAGGCGAAGCTTAATTCCCGGTCCGACATTTAAAAGTGGTCAGGCCGACCCATCTAACTTACTGTGATCAAACAGTTCACCCAGAGGACCGCTCTGCTTGGTTCTCCGCCTGCAAGATCAGATTTAGCATGCAGTCTACCAGCGGACAAGATAATCACATCAAAAATGGGGCGCAAAGGGCAGTTCGTACGCTTGGATGCCGTCTACGCCGTCAAACGTCTGGTAAAGGAACAACCCGATGGCGCAACTGGCATAGACCCAGGGCGGGCAGTCCTGGTCTAGAGTCGGGTTGTACCAGAGAATGGTGAAGAAGTTGACTACCACAAAGAAGAACCCAGTCAGGGTAATCTACCGGTCCTCAGTTATTGGTCTTTGTCGCAGCAGGGCCAGTCCAGGGCTAAGATGACTTACGGCATTAGGACTAAGACCGGGGGGAAAACAAAGGCTGTTAGCCAGACGAGAATAAAACTAGAGGACGAAACAAGCCAGTATCGTCACTTACGCCATGCTCATAGGGAAGAACTTGATCACGAAGTTATTATAGAACGGCTTGAGGACATAGCGGCTAACAAGCGAAAGATCGACTCCTGCATAACGGTATTCCCGCAGCTTGGGTAGTTGATGCTGGCGGATGTACACCATGTTGCCTGTTGGTCACAAGGGGCCTGAGCTACAGCGAGCAATACGGCCTGTAAATCTAGATAGTCAAAATGCTTGGACGTAGATGGTCTCTTGAATCTTTGACGCGAGGAAGGTCAAACCGAAAGCGGGCTGGAGTTGATGCCAGAATTGCAGATGCCGCGCGGTAAAGTAAGGAAACAAGAGCCGGAAAAGGCGAACCAGGGCCAGGGGAGCGGAGAAAGGGTTGCTAAATATTAAAGATGAAGCTGGTATAAGGACACGGTCGAAGTATAAGAAGAAAAAGAAAAAGAGACGAAAAAAAAGAAGAAGAAGATAAAGTAGCGCGAGTGGGGAGAATAAAAGAAGAAAAAGCAACGCGGCGAGGAAGAAGGAAGTGGGTGCTGCTTGTTGATGTCTGTCGCTTTTTTTCCGGCCTTGAATTTTCTAGTAACTTTTTTTTCTGCCGGCGGAAAAAGTCCAGGCAAAGGCAAAGACGGGAGGGCGGACGCGGGGAGCCAAAAAGCCAGTGAGGGAGCCGTATCGAGGCGGTCCCTCTTCTCTTCGACGGCCAAGAACTTTCGACGAGTTTAGGCGCTGCGAAGAATCCCACCGCACAGCGTCGAAGGACCAGGTGGATTTCCGCGAAATACCCACGTGCAGTGCTGCTTTTCATTTGCTGGGTTACCTCGGACGGAGGAGACAAGACCGCGCCAACGTCTCCTCATTTCCAACGACCAGTCTGCTACGGAAGCCCGTCTGTGATCGTCGTGGGACAGGTGGGGGGCGCCAGCACACCAGCAGCCAGTCTACTGAGTCGCGCGACGACCGAGGCAGCTTGCCATGACGGAAATGAATTTAGTCGACGACAAAGCGGAGTCGCGCAGGATACGCTAGAACAGTCAAGCGGGGCCATGGATCAACTTTGTTTACAACAGCTGGTCTTCGACTTTGCAGATAGATAGCTTGGAGATGAGCGGGAGAGCAGGATAGTAGATGGCAGATACAAGAAAATGGGTGTCAGTTTGAACATAGGTATGCTAATGCTAGATACGATACATGAAGGGAACCAAGGCCGGCTCCTGAGAGGAACAATGAGCTGCGTGCCGAGTGTGTGCACTACCCCATATGGCTCGAAGGCCTCATGATTCGGCATTCGCTGCAACAATAGACAGGGCTGAGTCGCTCCATCCTTGATTGGTCTCCTATTTATCCTCCATACTTCCTACTATTCCCTCTCTGCTCATTGGCGCTCGGACCGTTGAGGAACACAAGTCATCGGGCTTGGCTCCGTATGCCCCGGTCCTGGAGAACTCATCCCGTGATCAAGACCATGTGATGATCGTCGAGGTGAACCGGCTTAGCCAACAGGACTCCAGGGCATGGGGATCAGGATCCGACTCTGCATGGTCTGGATGAGTGGCACCGTCTTGTGGACAGTTTCCGCCCAGCCTTCGATACCCCAGGATTGTTCCCGGCGGACTTTCCGCTCTTCGAGGTTCGCAAACTGCCAGAGATGGTGCACGGTGTTCAGGTCTCCGATCTGAACAAACCACGCCCCAACACCCTCCATCACCTCCCGGCGAGCCTTGAGGCCACGACGCCAGTGTGTTTCCCACTCCAGAAGATTCCCGGGATGAAGGGTATATGATCGGAGCTCAAAGAGGCCGCCCAGGCGCCGCGGAGGCGTCGTGGGCCAGAAAGAGAATTCCTGCATCAGCGACGTCTTCTTGCTCTTGATCAAGCCCTTCAACTGCCGGTCAAATTCGGGGAATTCGGGGTGACAGGAGATGTTGTGAAGGGAAGCATGGTAGCCTTCATATCGCTGATATTCCCAGATGTGAACTGCAAGAACCGTTAGCATCCACAGTAATAGAGGCATTCTCAGCGGTAGTGAAGAACTGGATGGGCGCGTCAATTCAAGTACCAAAGGTGTCATTATCTCCAACCTGCGTGCGCCAGCTGCCAACCAAATTCACCCGGTTCTCGGGGTCGGCAGCCATGCGAGGGTACCACTGGCCGACGAGGTTCACATAGTCGTCAACTTTATCGGGCTTCACGTCGTGAAAGACGATGGAATGTACGTATTTTCCACGGGCGAGAACCTGCGAGAATGACCGTTCGATATCTTTGTCCAGCTGCTGGCCTTCCTTGGTTCCGTAGATGAGCGACGACAGGGGGCCGCGCTTCGGAGACTGACTGGCTTCCTGCAGCTGCTCGTCTCCTATAATACGGTGGGTAGAAAGTGAGCCCAAAGCCTTATTATCAAGAACTTCAGCGGCATCAAAAACGGGATGTTTGTTACTGCTCGCATTGCTCTCACTCGGAGCAGTGGGAGCGGTAGCGTACTCACGAAGGCGGTCACGGGATGCAGGGGATGGGGCAGAGGTAGAACCAGAAGCATCGACAGACTGACTCTCTTGCTGTTCTCTCTTCTTGCGAGCAACCTCCAGGTTCTCGCGGAACTCCTTCTGACGTGCGTTAAACTCAACAGCCGAGTCGGGGGTGATGTCACGGATAGAGGGGGCGCGGGAAGCAGTGGCAGTGGAACTGAAGGGGCGAACCAGCGAAGATGCCGGCCGCAACAGGCGGGGGGCGAGCATGATTCCGTAGGGAGCTGATTTAGCTATACAGAAACGGATGCGATTTGAGGCAAGGGGATACAGTGGGGAGATTCTTCACAAAATAGTGACAGGACCGGGTGGTTGGGCAAGAAACGGAGGGATGTAAATGAAGGATCGAGGGACGTGTGTTGGGTTGACAGCAATACAGAAGAGGAGCCCAACGACAGCGATCAGACTGCGAAAGGCGACACAAGAGAAGAGGGGTTTACCGACAGGAGAGGGGAAGTAGATGTAGGAAATAGGAAGAGTAACTGAGACAGCAGGTAAGGGCAGGGATGGGAGAGGTAGGAAGACACGCGATGCGTTACAACGACCTGACCGACGGCTGAAAGGAAGGCGCACTGCAGCAGGAGTCCACGGAACCAGTCAGGTCGCAAGCTTCCAGAGTCCAGGATCAGCAAAGAGGAGGGTCGAATTGTTGGGCGGAGAAGTAATAATCCCCAATGACGGTTATCGGTTAACAGCCACGGGTATGTAGGATATTAGGTGACAATCGAATAGAGCCAATGGAGGGCGAGTGTGGAGAGTGAATGGGTGGAGGGAAGAGAGAGAGGAAAAGAGAGAGGGAGAGAGAGAAAAGGAAGGAAGTTGAGTGGTTAAGGTACTTCCGGACGGCACAAGTGGGAAGCTGGGGAAAAGGCGTCACTTGCTCATCAAACTGGAAAAAAGTGCGGGGAAACAAGCGTGTGTCTGGTCTTGTCTGTTCTGCTAAATAACGTAACTAGGCTGTGCTCTCTCTCTGTCCTCGGCTGCTGCTAAATGTACATGAGCTGGGGCCTGCCTTATATAAGGGCCGATCACCAATCCCAGCCCTAGTGTACTAATCCCATTGTGCTGATACAGCTCTTGTTTTCTTCTGTGGATGATGTGTAGTCCCCGAGATAGACATTCCTCATGATTTGTCCATTCCTTTTTGTCTAGGCCGATCTTCGTTGCCTGGCCCTGCATCTCCGAGACCATGACGAAAGCGGTCTTGCTTCCTTTCCTCCGCGTTCACAACGACGGACATGATAACGGGAAATGAGGTTATCTTCATTAAAGCCTTCAACCCGATTGGTAACGGCTCGTCAATTGCCTATATCTCACCGGGTCTTTCGGTAGACGAGTCGAGAGTCGTGGCAGCATCCATCACCGCCTCAGGCGTAGCTCCCAGCACCGATGACGTCGTGACCGGAGCTGCTCCTTATGTAATCAGAAGCGAGCCGCGCGGTGATCCGGGCCCCAATGACTAGTCCTAAACAGGACTAGCTCCGTAGACCCAATCCGGTAGCTCCTCTTGTTGCCGGTCACACCCCTCCAGCCTGGCCCGCCACTGCTACTGACTGTGAACTGTCCTACCTGAGAGCTCGTTGACTCGGCAAGAGCCCAGGCGCATTTGCTACACTTGACACCCAGCACTTCTTGATCTAGGCTCTGAACATATTTTCTCCGTGTCCTACACTATGGCGGATTCTATGAACCCTCCCCTCTCGTACGAGGCATCAGCCACAACTACTCATCCGCACGTCGGAACCACCCTCCCAACGGAGGTGATTTCATGTCTGAAGAATTCTCGATTCGTGAGTACTGCGATTTCTATAACCCTGTATGGTTAGCATGCTCAAAAGCTGATCCTTTACGTCGCCAGCTTCATCTTGCAACATGTGATGGCTTGACCCCGCACATCTCGCTCATGTCCTACACCTACCTCCCCTCGACTCCCTATGACCCGTATCCGACGATCATCATGACCACCAACCCCTCCTCTCGCAAAACCAACCATCTGCTCACCAACCCTCGCGTGTCCCTTTTGGTCCATGACTGGGTTTCGCACCGTCCGCCTACCCGGGCTCCCAATCCCGATGGTCGCGAAGGGTCTCCCCCACCTGCAGCGACACGGTCATCCTTGGCGAGCCTGCTGTTGAACCTGAACACAAGCGCCCTTTCCAGTATCTCCACAACTATCGCCGGTACCGCGCGCTTTCTGGAGCCTGGCTCTGAAGAGGAGGCTTGGTGCAAGAGACAACACTTGGAGAACAACACCTTCGAGGAAGAGCTGGGCACTTTCGGGCAGCCGCTGCAACAGCAACCCGGTCAAAGAAGGCCCAGTATTTCAATTGACAGCGATGTCCGCGTCGTAACCGTTCAGGTGCGCGAGGGCCGTATCGCAGACTGGAAGGGTGGCGTGAGGGATTGGCAGTTGGTATCGGAGGGGGAGGGCACGGAAGGAACGATGGTTAATGGTATTGCTCCCGTGTAATGCTTGCTCGAATCTGTTCTATTCTGTATATCATAGTCTATGAGTGGAAATAACATTTTGGGAAATTGCAAGCAAGCCTAGCTCCAGTCAGTCAGTCATCGGAAGGTTTCGGCGGACTCGGTTCCTGAAGATCTCTGCAGACACGATCTCAGTCATGCTCCTGGACGAATATGGAAGTAACCGCTGCTGTACATAGAAAATTGAAAGCTACATGCAAACTCAATCGTCAAATTAAGCTCCGGGGAGTGTGAAAGCAAAGCACGAAATTGAGATCGGAATTGCGTTCATCATCACATGACACGATCCGGGGGAGTCAGTGACGTTCAATCTTATCGGACCGCAAGCTCCATGAATTTCACACGAACTGACCGTCTAACATCTTCAACCCAATCCCTCACTCACTCACTACCTTCTCTAAACTCCTTCCTCAGAATACAATGCAAATACACCACCAACCCTACTAACCACCACCGTCCCCAACCTACAAACTAGCCCTCTATAAAAAAAAGAAAAAGATTCAAAATGCGCCTCGCCCACCTCCACCTCCCGGACATAACCTCCTTCACACGCGTCGCCAACCTCCAACAAACACTGACAAGCCGGCTCCTCTCCCACAAAAAGCACCTCACCCCGAATCCCCCCGACCCAACCATAATAACCTTCAGCCCGAACCCAGTCTACACGACCGGACGCCGCGACCTCCCTCCCTCCAACACCACCCACAGCAACAGCAATGGCAATGGCAACATACTCTCCCTCCCGCCGAGCCTCGAACCAATCCGCCAAATCCTAACGCCCCCGCAACCCAACAAACCCTACGACCCCAAATCCCGGATAGCAGAATACCACCCCACCCTGCGCGGCGGACAAACGACCTACCACGGACCGGGCCAACTAGTCGCGTACACGATTCTCGATCTACGGCGATTGGGACTCACCCCGCGGTGCCATATACGGTTGTTGGAGAATAGTGTGATTGATGTGTTGAGGGAGTATGGGGTGAGGGGGATGGTTACGGAGGATCCGGGGGTTTGGGTGCATGATTCCCATGGACAGAAACAGGGGGGAGGGGTTGGTGGGGGAAAGGGCGAGCTGCCGAAGAAAATCACGGCCGTGGGGGTACATCTCAGGAGGCATATTAGTAGTTATGGGATTGGGTTGAATGTGACGGAGGAGCCGATGTGGTGGTTTCGACAGATTGTGGCGTGTGGGTTAGAGGGGAGGGAGACGACGAGTTTGCAGGGGCTGGGGGTGACAGGGGTAACGGTTGAGGAGGTCGCGGGGATGTTTGTGGGGAAGTTTGTTGGGAGGGTAAATGGGGATTTTGCCTGTGGGGATGGGGCTACCGGGGAGGGGATCGAGGAGGTGTATAGGGTGAGTGAGGAGGATTTGTTGAGGGAGTGAGCATGGTTATAGACACTCTTTCGTTGGGGGAGGGTACGATTGACTAGGTGTTGAAAGAGAGTTCTCGAGTACGCGAGATACGGCGTATTCATTATCAATGGTACATTTGCATAGTCTATACCAGAATGGTCGATGCGGAGATCGACCAAAGCGAGTGATGCAATACAGATAAGCAGCCATGGGTGTTTCGACTGGCGCGCTTTTCTGGAAGGTAGCCACAGAGCAAACATTAGGTATACAGGATTACAACAAGGGGTCCAACAAGTATATATAGAGAAGAGAACAAAGCGAGGCATGACAGGCTGAAACGCCCAGGAAATGATAGCTCGATGCCAGTGATGGGGAAAACCAGGGCATTTCCCTGGTCGGAAAGGTCACAGCAAATGATCCAGCTCAATGGCTGAAGAGCAAGCAGGTAGAAGGGTATAAGAACAGAGCAATGCAATAGTCGACAAGTCATAAAGGATGGCCAGCGGCATGTCTACAGAATGACACACCGTTCGCCGGATCCATTCGAGCCCTGAGTTTTGACTTCCAGGGCGACCTTTGCAGCTTCGTAGAATGTTTCCATGATACCACGATTTTGCACGGCGGAGCACTCTGCCAGGGTTGTCAGGAATCATTACACGAATGACATCACGGGGATAGGAGTCGTCCTTACCTAGGTATTTCACAGCACCAATTTCCTTGGCTTTCGCCAGTCCTTCTTCGTAGGTGATCGCGTTCGGGTTGTCGTTGAGGAACTCGTCCTTCCTCAAATCACACTTGAGGGCAGTGAGCACCAATTTGACGCCGGCGCAGTTCTCCGAGATCTCTTCTATCCATTTGCTCGCCACGTTCTCGAACGAATCGCGACTGTCAACCTAGTAGGAGTCAACCTCTGGTCCAGACCTCGAGGAGCGGGAATCCTCACGCTGAAACAAAGCATAATCACGTGTGTGTCCTCATAAGATAACGCGCGCAGTCGGTCAAATTCTTCCTGGCCGGCCGTATCCCATAGCGACAATTCCATGTGTACATTGTCCACGAAGATATCTTGAGCGAACGTAAGCATGCGAGCCCGGTCTTTGTAAGAAGGAGAATTACCATGCACATAGTTTTCTGGAAAGCAGAACGGTCAGTAAAATAATCATCATCATAGATCAAGGAAGAGCATGCGCACCGAATACAGTAGGCTCACTATGTAAGTGGGAAAGATTAATATCGCAACGTGAAATTAGCGTTCAGAAAGGTCATCCTCACTAGACCGTAGGAAAGTATCTACCAGAAAGTTAGCGGTCTTGGCCACAAGGGAAAATACAAGGGGTGCCCACCCTCTGGTGAAGACATTCAGAGCGGAGGTCTTGCCGCAAGCGCCGTCCCCTCTTATCTGGAATCAGTATTCTGCCCATCAAATGTAACTGCCAAGGCTCGGTTAAACTGACAATAGCACCATCTTGCGTCGAACGACCTTTTGACGACCACAGAGACTCATTGTAACGGTAGTTGGGAGTGGTGAGGGTGTCGTGATGCGCGGGAAGAAGGGTCCAAGTAGATAAGGGAGGGAAGGGGCTAGATGGGGAGGGGATCAACCGAAGAGCAGGATGGCAAGCAGAATGAGGGGATAGTGAAAAGAAATAAAGTGTGCGGAGTAAGGGCTAATAGGTACGAATAGCGTTTCACGAGGGACTGGTCTGGCTAGAAGAAAAAAAGTGGTTGCGAACACGAAGATAAGTCGTGGGCCGCCGTGCAGCGAGGCCGGTCGATGTCATCGGCTCCGTCCTGCAACGGGCGATCCGCAAATGAGAGACGATCGTCATCTGCCAAGTGCCTGAGCCGCTCTGGAAGTCGGGAAGTGCTGAGTTCGCTTCGCCACGCCTCGCAATAGTTCACCCGCAAAGATGGTTAGTTCTGACTGTGGGTAGAGTGTGCCGTCCACAGTAAAAGTGGCAGTGTCTGTTTGAGTGAACCATGGAGGGAGTTGCTTATAGCCCACACCATAGTAATATGAGTGAGCGCATCCTTCCTGCCTAAGGCGGTGCGGTTACTTTAGTTAGATGTCGGTTTAGCACGAAGATTCAGGCTGTGACAGCCGCCAATTGCTCAGATTTGCTTATATTTAGAATCATTGCATGCAAGTCTAGCTCGAATTGGTCTGACTAAGTGTGTCAGAGTCCATGTTCCTGTCACTGAGCCACTAACAGGCAGTAATATTAGGCTCAACAGTGCACTAGTTGTGGGTGGTCAGTGGTCATGGAACCTGAATTGAACTTATATATAGTACAGTAAGCATACTGTAGTAGTACTAGTAAGCCCGCGGCAATCATTGCGGAAGGTCATTGGACTGTCGCGAGTAGAACAAGTCAAGTAGATAACTAGATCATAGATCCGACAATCACTTGAATAACTAACAGTCAATTCCTGTTAGTAAACAAGCCTCAAGTCCAGGGATGGTTGTGTTATACTATTTAGAATGTGGTCTCGGTCGGGCCCGGCGAGGAAGCTACAAAGGCGGGGAACTTCGAGACTTTGGCCCCAGGCTCCGATAGGCGCGGAAGCTCTCCATTCCTCGCTCACCTTCATCCTCTCCCATCTCTTATCTCCATCGGTCTCCTAGCACGCAGTCGATCCTCTTTTACCTCTCTGTTCTTGATATTTCTAGATACCCCAAATTGCGGCGAGGTTCAGTTCGTTCATAATGTCTGACGATGATGATTTCATGCAAGATTCGGGTGATGAGGAGTAAGCCTGTGTTGTCCCTTCAACCTGCCGGTGTTCGCGGCCGCTAATCAGCTAAACTATCACAGGTACGACTTCGAGTACGAAGATGCGGACGATGACGAATCAGGAGATGTCGGTATCGAGAACAAATACTATAATGCCAAACAGATGAAGATAGACAACCCGGAGGAGGCCATCGATGAATTCTTGGGAGTTCCGGATCTAGAACAAGACAAGGGTGACTGGTAAGAGGCGTGGACGTCAGTGATGGTTCAGACAAGGTGCTGACGGTAGCCAAGGGGGTTCAAAGGACTGAAGCAGGCTATCAAGTTGGAATTCAAGCTTGGTAGATATAGCGATGTAAGCGCCCCTTTGCTCACTGATGATGTGATACTGACTCTTCAGGCCGTTGAACACTACAGAGAGCTCCTCACTTACGTCAAGTCGGCCGTCACTCGTAATTACTCCGAAAAGTCCATCAACAACATGCTAGATTATATCGAGAAGGGTTCGGATGATGACACAGCTTACCAGTGCATGGAGGAATTCTATTCTTTGACCCTGCGCTCATTCCAAAATACCAACAACGAGCGACTATGGTTGAAGACAAACATCAAGTTGGCACGTCTTTGGCTGGAACGAAAAGAGTACGGCCAGCTGAGCAAGAAGGTGCGGGAGTTGCATCGGGCATGCCAGCGAGAAGATGGAACCGACGATCCGAGTAAAGGAACATATCTCCTCGAACTATACGCCCTTGAGATACAGATGTATGCCGAGACGAAGAACAACAAACGACTAAAAGCGCTCTACCAGCGTGCCCTTCGCGTTCGGTCGGCGGTGCCGCACCCCAAGATCATGGGAATCATCCGAGAATGCGGAGGGAAAATGCATATGAGCGAGGAAAACTGGGAGGAAGCGCAGAGCGACTTCTTCGAGTCATTCCGGAACTACGATGAGGCGGGCTCAATACAGCGAATCCAGGTGCTCAAGTATCTCGTGTTGACCACGATGCTGATGAAATCGGATATCAACCCATTTTATTCCCAAGAAACCAAGCCGTACAAGAACGACCCCCGCATATCCGCTATGACCGATCTAGTCGATGCATTCCAACGCGACGACATCCACGCCTACGAAGCCATCCTTAGCAAAAACCCAGACGTCCTGGCCGATCCCTTCATCGCCGAGAATATTGACGAGGTCAGCCGAAACATGCGGACGAAGGCTGTTCTCAAACTGATCGCACCGTACACACGATTCACCCTCAAGTTCATCTCGAAACACATCCGGGTCTCGGTACCCGAGGTACAAGACATCCTGAGCTTCCTGATCCTGGACAAGAAGCTCAATGCCAAGATCGACCAGGAAAACGGGATTGTGGAGGTTGAAAGCGCTAGCGACGTGGACCGGCTGCGGGCACTGCAGGAGTGGAACGCATCATTGCGGTCTCTCTGGCAGGCCACCTTGAACGACGGGGAGGGATTCAGGGAAGATCCCGCACAGCTGCACGGTATGAGAGGAGGAGGGCCCATGTTCCAACCCGGGTTTGGAGATGAACCGCATGCAGGATTACGCGCTGGTGGTCGCCGACTGCGGGGTGGACACAGAGGCAGAGGCGGCGGCGGAGGGCCTGGAACGAAACTCGGCCTGGGAGGCGTCTAGAGAGGGAAATGCATTGTTCCATCCAGTCATCCCACCAAACCATCTCTGCGTCATAGCCCATACAAGATAGAGAAACACACCGGGTTACGAAGTAAGGATAAGGAATGAAATCATGACACACAACATCCATCCATTCATCAATCATCACACCCTACAGACCAAACCAAAACAATGATATCATAGCATACCAATGCGCACGGCATCTAGATAGCCCATCCATAAGCCACCAAGACACTAGAATCACCAAAAGGACCAGGGGGTGTGGCAGCGGACCATGGAAACTCTTTCCTCTTTCCTCCAACCAGACTACAGTAAGTATGTAGGAGTCAAAGCACCAAGCCACAAATTTCTATTCGTTTTTTTGTGTTCACCAGGCACAAGCACAACAGCAAGATGCAGAGGTACTTTTGTCAATCACTCACACACAGACTCACACAGATAACTAAATCATGTTCTTCCTCCTCCCCCTAAGCCGGCTGACATTAGTCAAGTTAAGTAAGTGACACCCGGAAACCGTCTGACCAAATCACATACATACATACATAAATACATACATAGTACAACCCATACTCACACAACATCCTAGACAATAATAAATCAAGTAAAACCCCTGTTATCCCGAGGCGCCACAACCCTTCCCCCCTCTCCCAATCGGCGTCGTGACAGGTCAAGTCAGGTTCATATCCCGGCTCGGGTTTTGGTTCAGAGAACGAGGGACCATGTGGGAGGGGGGAAGAGGATGAAAGTACCTTGAGTAATTATTTAGTGACTTACATACAATCGAAGAGTCTAGACTACTACCTATTGTAAGGTACATAAGTGAGTAAGTAAGTAGATAGGCTTATTGTTTTCTTCTTCCTCTTCTTCTGCCTTGTTACTTTGTAACTCTATGCATGCGAGACTTGTTATTTGTTCCGGGGGGCGCGCAAAATATGCAGTCAGATGTATCTATTGTATGCATGTTTGACGCCTCATGAGGAAAAGTACTGTACATACATGATACGTAGGGAGCGTCTGGGAGTATCCTGGAATTGGGGTAGACTAGTACTGTATATACTTGGGTGGTTGATTGATTGATTGATTGATTGTCTAAACTTTATTTTGGGACTTATTTTGTGTATTATGCTGGGTAGTGTGCTGGGGTGGTTGTTTGTGTGTGTTTATGTATGCTATGTTCAATAGTGCTAGTATGGACTTTTGTATATGTTAAGATAGGGAGGGAGGAGTGATGTCACAGGAAGGAAGTGGTGGATGGATTGGTTGGGATTGGAATGGAGGATACTTAGGCTTGGGGGTACACAGGTGTGCGACGTGCTTACTTTGCGATGTGTGGGTGGATGAATGGTTTGACATGATCCAAGGAATGGGAGGAAAAGATCATTATTGATTGTAGATGGTTTACTGGACAGGGAATATCGGGTGTTTACAGATAGAAGGAAGAAGTAAAGCAAATAGGATTGCGTAGGCGTTATGCCTATGCCAATATGTAAGTAGGTACTAGTATCGGTGACAGCTGCAGGTAGAGTGCATCACGAAGTAAGTACTCCGTCGGTAGACAAGTACCTACATAGTAGTTCGAGTATCCCAATGTCTCCAAGGCGAGACAGACTCGGCCGAAGAAACCCGCTATCTTTAAAAAAAGGTAACTAAGTATGCACTGCACAAAGCAGAGAAAAAAGCAAGCAACTACTTACTACCTACTTACCTACCAGGTTATGCTCTACATCGTGCAGCTGACAGGCAGTCAGGAAAGTTGGCAGTCTGCATACCCCAATTGTATTCTGTTTAGCCGATAGGTACGGGGGTAGTAAGAATGTACTTTTGAACATACATCCCACGGGGCGCAAATGTCGGGTACTCGAAAAGTATTTGGTACCTAAGGGACGCAGCAGAAAGTGAGGCAGAGGTAGGTACCTAACATAAGGTGAAACCGGGGAGAGAAGGACAGGGTATAGGTACCCAATCGAGATTTGTCGGCGCAAGTACACAGCGCAAAGGACTATCATCCAGGTAGAAAGGATTCTACTTAGTATGTTGTAGGTACAGTAGTAGATATGTAAGTGAGAGTGATGAACCAGGGTCTGGATTGGAGTATGCGGGATTAAAAAGTGGGAACAATAGGGTCTAAGAACTTGATTGTTGAAGTTGCACAAGGGGAACTGGAGCTTTCTTTTCTTGTTTACTTATCGATCGGGACGGAAGGGAATGAGGATTGGCGCGGGGAGAGGGTAAAATGCCGATCAGGACGGTAGTTAAACTAGTAGGTAGTAGTAGTACGTAGTTGGGTCGGTGTGATTGTGTGTTGTGGATGTGTTTTGTCTGTCTTGTCTGGTCGTGGTCGGCTATGTGTTTGCTTCTCTGGTCATCTTATTCGTGGAATGAATGACGGGAGGGTCTGGCCGGACTTTTTAGGCTTGCTTACGGAGCTCTCTCAACGAACCTAGGTAGGCATGTAGAAGAGAGAGATAGCGGTGCTATGGAGATAGTAGTAGCTACCTGACTAGCTACAAAACTATCTATCTATCTTGCTTATTCGAGTGGGTGTGCGTAATATGTGCAGAGTACATCCGTTCGACAGGCAGTTGCAGGGGTTTTTCCCACCGTAACTCTTTTAATGTGCCTTCAGGGATCTGGGATAGGTGTCAGTTACCGGTGTGTAAAGATGTTTTGCCTTTGCAATGAACCGAGAATACACCGAGGTAGATGCATGTCTTGAGTAATAAGGTCGCTGCCAGGTTAATATCCTCTTCCATTCTGTCTGCAGTGACAGTCGACAGCCGTCAAGAGTAGAATGGCCGGATCCCCTGCGAGTTCTGAGTCTCCACATCCGCAGCTGCCAGATGTCCTTATTTTGATTTATTTATCGAGTTGCTTTTTCGTTGATTTATGCTGCATTTGTTTGTTTGCGAAATGCAAGTCCAGGTCTCTTTTCCTACAGTTGTGACAAGTCCTCGGTAACTGACGACGGATACCTTAGCCTAGATTGTTGTTGGGACGAATCGGAACGATATCATCATGCAGGAATGGCGGGAGGGGAGGGAAAGAAGAGAAAAAGAAAAAGTGAGGGAGAGGAAAAAAAAAAAAAAGTAATAGAATGAAACAAAGAAAGGTGAGATTCAGGTACTCTGTGCTCCGTGATGTGTCAAGTGCCGTGACAAAGTACGTACAGCGGACGAGGCAACCAGGCGTCGCGGACCTGGTAGGCTACAAGGGCCCCCATACTTACTGTAGTGACTCTACCGGCAGTGAGGCACCTGACAAAGCATCACCCACCATCCACCACCTCAGAGCTAGTAGGATATGTACCATGTACCATGTATCCCCGGCCAGGGAGCGCACACACAGACACACCTTTGTTAGAGAGAGGGAGGGAGGGGAATAAGCAAGCGATCAGGGATCCTGAGGGCGGACGGACGATGGATGGATTTCGGAGCGGCTTCCGAGGTAGCATATGCAAGCCCCCTCTTAGTTGGATCGAGAATCTTCCTGGCACCAGAGTCATTGGTAGCCTGCCATCTCGGGCCATTCGATGCGGTTTTGGCAACATTCTCCCCATGCGGTAGGAGACGCGGTTGATTACGATCCTTGTCCATGGCCATGGTCATAACCCGGAAGGCTGACTGGATGGCTAGTCACACCGACAGAATGGCACCAGAGGTCTTACCATCTTACGGTGGTCTGATCCCCTTGTCAGATACCAGTGCAGTCAACGTTGATGCTCGCCCGTTGCTTCTTGCGGTCCCGGTGTGGTGGTTGGAGGCCCTACAAAGCCGTGCGGCGGTCAAACTGTGATGGGATTGGGGAGGATGAGATGGAATTTTGACCGTGTGATTGATGGCTCGGGGGTTAAGAGAGGTCAGTGGTTAATAGATAGTAGATAATTTAGAATGTCCATCGGTACAGACCGACAGACACGTTGTGGTCGGAGGTAAGCAGCGATACGTGAGGGAGAAATAAGACTTTGCCAACACCACCATCACCACCCTCATCAACCATCCAGACTTACAGATATGTCTTGATCTGGGGCCGTGAAAGTCTAAGCGCTTAGGAAGCAACGAGAGACAGCGAAGCCACGGAAAAAGGTAAAGAGTTACGCCGGGGAAATGAGGGAAAAAAAACCCAGAGCGTGCGCGCACTGGGAGCAGTGAGGCACCGGCGGAATCCCGTGTCTTGTCGCAGATTCCGACTCCGCACTTGGAGCTTCTGCATGCAAGACGGCTGGTAGCAGTGCGCGGATGGACGATAAATTAAATTGAAATAAACTCGACAAGCTACCCGGGAATGACTTGTCGCTTTTTCACCGTCAGCGGTGTTGGATCGAGCAGGGCGCGTGCGTGGAGACAAGGGCAGGTTCGTCGGCCGTAAATGCAGCTGCAAGCGCTAAGGCGGGCTGGTGTTGAGACCGGCTCCCACTCGCCCGAGTTAGCTCTGGGATAGTCGACTAGGCAGGAGTCAATCTCGGATTCCAGCAACCACGATGTTTTGCTCTAATCAGATACTAGTCGTCTGCTAGACCGGCGCTGCTGCAGCTACTCCGCCAGTCAAGCGGATTTGTCGGCTATCCTGCCAGGACATGTGGCCGTTCTCAAGTGCATGGAGGATCAAGAGGCGCAGGTAGGGGTCATCGGTTGCATCGAGATCGGGCGTTCGTTTCTTCTCCCCAGCGGGCAGATGAGTGAGTTGTGTGGGAAGAGCGTGTGTTAGTATGTGTGTAGTATGTGTGGCCGATGGTTGGCCTCTTGGCTGTCCTCTGGCATGTTTCGGTGGTCGTCTCACAGCTTCACTCAGTAGTTATTCGCTGTTGACCCTTTCTTAATCAGCATCAGCATCATCATCATCAACACCATTATCGATCGCTCGTCGGCAACAGGCCAGGAGGAAAAATACGACGCCCTCAGAGTTGTGTCTTTTTTCTTTTTGTCTTTCACACCTCGTTTTGATTGTAAGTCCCCATTTCCGACCCTACAAGGACTGCGATCTGAGCACCCGGACTGATCCCGTGGGTTGGAACCCTCTCAGCCAATGAGGGTTCGTTCACCACCTTGCCTCGTGATGGTATCTACAGAATTGCAAGATCGTGAAGAAGTAAGTAGTAATGGGACATACTATGTATGCAGATGTCCCCTTGTAACTAATAAACAGCCTGGCTTATCAATCAGGATGCCCAGCTGTCCCTGATTTTTCTTCAAGGTGAAGGTCGCCCTGTTTATCCTTAAATTATGTTTTAATTTTCTATTTTTACGCCGCTGAGGGATCATCCCGTAGTATGTCCGGGAGTAGATGAGAACCAGACGTGAAGTGGGTAAAGCAGGACTTCTTCAGCCAGCTGGAGGGACAGACCAAATGACGGGTGGGTGGATGGATCCAATCCCATACCGTCGACATGATTCAGGAGCAAGTACCACCTCCGACTGTTGCACTGGATGGGGATGACCGCCAGACGATGATCATCCCCATTGGGTCCCCGTCCAACCGGCTCTTCCGCTGCACCTTCAGCTTGTGCTGCTGTTAAGTCAAGCGATGGTGAGGTTTGTTTTACCCTACCGAAGGGGCCGGTAGTAGTAGTCGTCGGGCCACCCACCACACAAATGGAGATTTAGCTAATTATGATTATCATAATATTAATGATAATCCTCCTTTCCCCCCTAAGTCCTGTTGTTGTTGAATGATCTTGTAGTTAGTTGTTGTTTGTCAATTCTAAGTGAGAGATTATTGGCGGTTTGCTGGCATTGTATTATTCCAGTGTCTACTAGTTGTGCCTAGTTTAGTTTTCACTAGTACGGAGTACAAGGGAGATAAAAAAGTAGTAATAATCCTCGTTTGTACGGAGTAGACGTTGATGTTTCCTGCATGGACCAGTTTTCAAGAGGAAAAACAAAACAAAACCAAACAAATACCGCCCTGAAGCTAAGTCCAGCCGATCATTGATATCCAAACGCTGTGAGGATGATTGACCAGCCATGGTTCGGTTGCTGCTGGCCTGGATATCAACCATTCAAAACGTCATGGTTTAGTATTTCTTCCGGCAGTTGTCCACCCGTGCATTCCTGGATTCCAATTCCATCCACCGGTCCCGGAGGGTTGTTCAAACACTATTACAATAGTTTCGCTGCCTGGGTTGTCTAGGGGTAGGTAGAGATAGTATTAGATATGGTTAGGGGTGGAAGGTGCATTGTACATAGAGTGAGTAAATAAAACATTCAGAAAAAGGAAATAAAAATAATTTATTTAATTTTGTATGAGTAGAAAAAAATGAAAAGGGAATAAAATGATCCTGGTTCATCGAGATGTGAATAATTCTGGACTATCCATGCTGGTGGAAACACACACTTTCCCCCCAAGCACGCATCCATCCGCTAGCGAGTCGTGACAAGCAGACCGACTTGACGGAACTTGTATTTGGACTGTATCTTTGGTTCGTCTTGTTTTCTCTGTTTGGCCGCAAAGAACGACCCCGTCGGAAACCCCGCGCCCGGCCTGGTTGAAGGTCAGTCAGCCTTTCTTTTTCCTATTCCTCTTATTATTATTATTATTATTTTCTTTCTCTCTCCATTCTCCACGAACGCATCCATCCTTCCATTGCTTGCTGCTTAAATTTCTTCCTTATTAAACCCTGGGCCACCTCGGGGTTAACATCCAAAAAAAAAGGGATATGGCTTTGATTTGACTCGGCTTGTCTTAACACTCTACTTACTTGCCTTTCCCTCTCCCCCCCTTCATCAATATCTATCTATCTATTATCCGTTTACTTATCTGCTATTTACTACTCTTACTACCACCACTATTAGGTTCTTCCACATCCCTGCTCGGTCTACCAGCCTTTTTTTCTTTCTCCTACCTTAAATCTGTTCATCTCATCATCTCAACATCCTTCTCCCACTTTTCCCGTCAAGTGATTAGCCGGTCGCCCTGACCATCCAGAATCCATCGTTCTGCCTTTCTTCCTTTCCCCCTCCTCCCACACTTTACAGTTTCCCGCCCACAATTTGCCCGCCCACTTTCCTCACCTTCTTGCCCCTCAAACCAAAACAATCCATCTTACTGGATCTACGCAATTCCGAAGAGCGACGGAGTTTATCATCATTACCGCTTTGGGGCATAGTATAACACCCTTCGATTTCATCGGCCACTTTCACCGACGCATCCCAAGCATTGATGCCACGGCACATGTGACACACTTGGGACGTATGCACTTCAGCCGTAGAGAGAGAAGCGAGAGCTTTGTTGCAGATTCCAGTAGGTCCAACCACGCTTTTCCTTTCAATGGGCTTTGACATCACCTTGCCGGTTTGTGTTATCTTACCATCGCATCCCGCTTCTCTCTGTACTATTCTTGCCCCATTCCTTCGCTTTTGCCTTTTCCTCAACACTCCATCCCCTCTTTATCCCTTTATTTTCTCTTTCTTGCGGCTTTCTCTGCATTCACCATAACTGTCTTGGCTCTCCGCAACCATCAAACCCCCGATCTTTAAATCCCAGTGGCGTTCCGGGTACCTTGCAATTCACCCACTGCCGCCAATCCACGATGGAGTAGCATCCGTTACATCTCCCAGCGCATCAGATGCAAGGCGTGTGAGTGCTGGCATGTCAACCGTGTGGGAAACCTTTCCCACCCCTATTCTGTCTGGATATCGCAGGCCTGAAAAGTCTCTTTGTAAAGGAGGGTTGATTGAGTGCAGAAGCCGTGGCCTTGCGCGCCACTCAGCATCGCCAGATGCTCTCTCATCTCTGGCTCTCGCATCCCTCGAGCCAAGTGCATGATTGCGTACTCTTCGTCTCTGCCTGCTCAGCTGCCTCTGTTCTCGGTTTTCCCTGGCTGTGTCAGCCCTCCCCTTCCCTTCTCTTCTTAATTCTCCTTCCTCCATCCTGTTTTGGTACCTCGGTCCCGCGAGACTTGATCCTTTCTGCCTTCCCGATGCCAGCGTCGGATCCCGTGGATGTGATTCTGCGGCCGGCAACCGGCTTTGTTTCATCATCTCTGCTAGCACCTTCCCACATACTTGGTAGATCAGTTGCTTCTCTCTTCACGATTGGCTGAGTCTGTCTCTTCTCGGCTGAATTCCCGGGAAACTGCCCTCTTACATCTTCTGCACGGCTGCGGCTTGACGAGATATGCTAAGGACGTCACATAGTAGGTCGGTTACATCAGTGAATAGACCCAGCCGGCTGGTCATCACTGTGTTACACAAGAACTTTGCTTCAAACGATGCTCATTTGTCTGGTGCGTATTACGCTCTTCCGCCAAGTTCTCTGCTAAGTGAATAAAGGTCCTGTCTCCCTGCTAAGGAAAGGCATCTGGCGACTTCTCCATCCTTAAGCGACTGCTCCTGAAGCCGTATCTCCAACCTCTGTCTGTGCGATGTCCCTGTCGGATCTTCCTTGGAATCATTTCGACCCTATCAACCACTTTCCGACTGGACAGGATTCAACTTCCGGTTTCTATCCTCAACACCCTCATTCAACCGCGTTCTTCGATCACGGATTCTCGCAGCTTTCAAACGCCCTCTATCATCCCGGCAACACCTTTTTTTTCAACATGAATACCCTTTCGACCGCAGAAATGGAGAGGTTCCAGAAACTCTCCAATGAGTTTCAACCCGACGTTCAGGTAAGGCACTTCTTGATCTTTATCCAGACTATCCAACTTACATGTGCACTTAAAGGGCCCTCCGGTGTCAACGAAACAGTCCAGTAGCGTCATTGCTATGGAGTATGCAAATGCAGATCCGGCATTTGCCACCAAGTCGAATGTATGCGCCTTCACGTCACTCCTCCAATTCTCCCGGAAAAGGGAGGCGAAGTGACTAACAGTACTTCCAACAGGCTCTTGCTCTAACGCACCCCTGGACACGAACCATGAAAGGTGATGGCAACTGTGGCTGGAGAGGTAATCACTCCCCTATCACTAGCGATGAAGGGTTGCTTACACTGTGTAGCCGTTGCGTTCGGATACTTTGAGAACTTGCTCAACCTCCAGAATCTGATGCAGGTACGCCATGAATTGGCGCGGATAAAGTCGATGAACGCACTTCTCGATCAGACGGGTCAACAAGAGCATTTATACGAAATCTTTGTGGATGCAACAGAGGACGTGTTCAATCAGATAGCCACTGCCATCCAAAGCGGCATCCGGGACGAGACGTTCCTCGTCGATGCATTCAACGAGGAGTACAATTCGAATGCTATCATCACTCATTTCAGGGTCAGTGATCCTTGAAGCGCTGCTGTTCTCTCGGGATCCTGCGACTGATATGCTAATGTTCAATGTACTATAGCTGCTGACAAGCGCCTGGATGAAACTTCACCCGGCTCAGTACGAAGCCTTCCTCTCCATGCCCGTCGAGCAATATTGCGCGACACGAATAGACGTGGTCAGAACGGAAATCGACGAGATCGGCCTCCAAGCCTTGGTGGATGGGGTAATCGGGGGGTCCGGATTCGCCGTTGAGATCATGTATCTCGACCGCAGCGAAGGCGAAGCGGTCACGCCTCATCTCCTGACCCCGCCGCGGCCCACTGGCGGGACTATCTGCTTGCTCTACCGCCCGTGAGTCTCATTTACGATGCGCAGACTCTACCTGGGCGTCATGAATCACGCTAACACAGCCGTAGGGGCCACTATGATCTTCTCTATCCAGCCGAACCTACTGTGAATATGGAACCCGTGGTTAATTACCAATACGCAATGACTTCTGACTACTCCCCCTGGGATCAAGGTGCCCTCGCGTTCGATGTGAACTCCAGTTTGATGACCATCCCCAATTTGATGATGGACCCTTCTTTTGGCATGGCCCCTTCTCCGATGCCGGCGGCTCCTCCCAGCCCGTACCGGGTATCCCCCCCTCAGGAAGTGTACCAGCCGCCCCCCATGCATGCTTCACCTCCCCTGTCTATCGCATCACCCCCGCCACCGCCACCGCGAATGTCGGCACCACCACCACCCATGAGCTCACTGCCGCCCCGGTCGTCTGACGGGCCGCAAATCCGGTTGAACCCACTGGTGATGAAACCCAACCTCAGCCACTCTCTTCCGGTCACCACGCCATTCAAGAAGTGAGTATCTCCGTCTCATCGCTCGTGACGCACTTCTGCACTTGCCAGTGCCACATTCTAACCCTTGCAGTAGTTCACCATACAACCAAGCCCACTTCCAGAATCAGGATTTCGAACCCATCCACTGGGAGCCCAGCGATTCCCGCAAATGAAAGGTTACCGCTTTTATTCCTTATCAGCCATGTGAGCAGTAGTTTGAAACGGAATTTCCGCACGATCTTTAGCGCCCGAATAATATATGTTACGCTCTTTCCATCGAATATGCAAGTCTGGTTTCCAGCAGGGTGAAACGGAGGCTATTGTCCTAGTGCTTGGCTTGGCGAAGAAGCGTATTGTTTATCAGTATGGCATTGGCGAGGTTATGGCTTTCTTGCTCGTATTCCTAATTGCTCCAACAGCCTGTCTGTTCTATTTTAGCGTCTGTGCTGTGCGTCGCATTCGGTGGGCGTGGGTTAGCTTCAGCTCTAGGTGCAAATTGTGAGACTTGGGATAAAACCACTCATTTACCCTTCTTAGTCCCAACTGCTGAATGACGCACGCATCAGTGCGATGGGCAAACAAAGCACGGCATACCTGAGCTGCAAAATCACAGTCAGAACGTGCTTATACAGTTTTGCAAGGCCTCCCCGGATGCCACCCGGGATCAACCAGCCCAGACACCAACGATGACAAGTCCTACATCTTGTTTGTGTAAACCTCCTCAGTTCTATGTCTGCAGGAATGTCTTGCATGGTGGCTGCTTGAAAGCCTATCAAATGCTTGCCCGACAAGCATCCCACATGCGACTGTTGCATCATATACCCGGCGTGCATATGGTGACCCAACCCCTCATTTCATGTTGTTTTGAGATACAACTGCCACAACAGGAGACTGTGCCACCTCTTCGACAAGTGATTGAGTCATCATCCCGCTTCACGTAGCATTGGGAGGTTATGACGCAACGTGCTGTGATCTGAATGTGTGAGGGGGGGGCCAGAAGTAGCTGAATGTCGTATACAGTCGTCTGTGAATTAGTATCCGCACTAATATCTGTTGATTATTCCTGGTCTCGGCTGCTTACCCGGTAGATCCATAAGACTTTTGGGATGTCTGTGTACCTAGATCCCTAAGCTGGCTGTGCACAGTGCTGATTCGGGCAAACGTAAACGATCTGAAACCAGTCCATGGCCATCACATGATGGCCAAGCATCATCTGATTTTTCTATCAAACAAGAAGTCATCATCTACTTCTCATCAACGTTTCCTGAAGGTACAACCCACACCAACCGAACTTTTGCTTGGGATCTTCGGTCAACAACTCTAAACATGGCCCGAATCCTGGTTCCTCTTCCCCACGGTGGGGTCCACGGAGCAACTCCGCTTCCTCTGAACGCCAATCCAAGCATCCATTTCCCCGCATCAACCTTTCCGTGGTACCTCTTCTGATGCTGCTGTCATGACAAGGGTGAATTTACTACCTATTGCGGAGTACTCTTCTCCGACTTTGTTGATACTCTCTGGTTGACTCCTCCCGTGACTTGCTTCTAAACTCGGTGCTGTCGTCGTCAGAACGTGGGATTCTCTCTCCATTGGACGGAGCACACCTCTCCGTTCTAGCTTGATGCTTCTTCGAGTGGGAGAAGTTAGCATAGGTGAGTTGCGCATGGTTATAAGAAGACAACGATCCTAGAATATCAGTTACGTCCTCATTATGCGTCCAGTGTCTAGCTCTGAAGGAGTATGCAGCTATGGCCTCCAGTCCTCAGAATTCCAATGGCGGTTTCGCCTTGATATACCAAAACCCCTACCTGCTGGGCGTTGCATCGGTGAGTTTTCATATACCCAAGAGAGAACCAGACATTGTTCTGACCTGATCCAAAATCTACTAGTTCTCCACCTTAGGTGGGCTGCTCTTTGGCTATGATCAGGGCGTGGTTTCCGGTGTGATAACCATGCAATCATTCGGCGCTCGATTCCCTCGAGTATACATGGACAGCAGCTTCAAGGGGTGGTTTGTGTCAACCCTATTAATTTGTATGCCGCGTCCTGCTTTGCCAATTATTTCACCATCGTGAATGAAAGCTCACTCACTGTATCGATAGCTGCTTGGTTTGGCTCCCTCATCAACGGCCCTATCGTGGACCGAATAGGCCGCAAACTATCCATCATCACCGCTGTCGTTGTATTCGTCGTTGGGTCCGCCATCCAATGCGGTGCCGTTAATATACCAATGCTCTTTGCTGGTATGCATCCTTGCTTTGACATTGCCAATACCCTTTCCCAGACTACCACTCACACACCGCAGGACGTGCAATCGCAGGCGTAGCCGTTGGTCAACTAACCATGGTGGTACCTCTGTATATCTCCGAAGTATGAACCCTCTCCCACACATTCAACACGATAACCATAGTATTCACCTTCACCCAACAGGTCTCCATTCCCGAAATACGCGGTGGTCTTGTCGTTCTTCAACAACGTGAGTAGTATCCCCTCACTCCAGTCCCATCTCACAACCACTAACCCATTCAGTCTCCGTCACCATCGGCATCCTAATCAGCTACTGGATCGACTACGGCACAAACTACATCGGGGGCACCCGCTGCGCTCCCAATATCCCTTACACAGGCGGCACCGCCTCCTCCCCATCCTTTGACCCCTACACAGACATCCCCTCCGACGGCATCTGCAACGGCCAATCCGAAGCATCCTGGCGTCTACCACTAGCCATCCAAATCATCCCAGCCCTTACACTCGGCCTGGGGATGCTCTTTTTCCCAGACTCCCCTAGATGGCTACTAATGAAGGAACGAGACGACGAAGCTCTCCAGGCACTTTCCAGGCTACGTCGACAATCTACAAACAACCCAGACCTAACAAACGAATACCTCGAGATCAAAGCATCCATCATGTTAGAGAACAGTTTCGCTAGAGAACGGTTCCCGGAGTTATCTGGGTTCAGGCTGCATGCTGCGCAGGTTCGGTTTCCCCCCTCTCCCAATTCAACATTGAGCATCGTTTTAATTCATCAATGACAATGATAGTATATCTCACTCGTAACCACATGGGCGCGTTTCAAACGTCTAGCGATCGGATGCTGCATTATGTTCTTCCAGCAGTTTATGGGCTGTAACGGTATGCGATTTCTTCCCCTTCCCTCTTTCTTACCCATAATATGAGCTAAAGTACCTCCACAGCTATAATCTACTACGCACCAACAATTTTCGCTCAGCTGGGCCTCGATGGAAACACCGTACGCTTTAACCTTATCTTATTTATCTCAGGAGGAGCTGATGAGACTGACACGATAAAACAGAGCTCCCTCCTAGCCACCGGAGTCTACGGGATCATCAATTGCCTTAGCACCCTCCCTGCGCTTTTCCTAATCGACAAAGTCGGTCGAAGAGGTTTGCTCATGTCCGGTGCCACGGGGACCTGTATCTCGCTGGTAATCGTGGGTGCGATTATTGGGGTCTACGGATCGGATCTAGTCCATCATCGGTCTGCCGGATGGGCCGGGATCGCGTTCATCTATATCTACGATATCAACTTCTCATACTCTTTTGGTTTGTTTAGTATGTTTCAGGTCTAAAGTGGATCTTGCTAATGCGCATATAGCTCCTATCGGATGGGTCCTGCCATCGGAAATCTTCAATCTATCCATACGCTCCAAAGCTATCTCCATCACAACTTCCGCTACTTGGATGTGTAACTTGTATGTTGAGGAAGTCCCATGTTTCTTATCCAGTTTTTTTTAATCATGATGGTCATGACTCATTCTCGACATTTGCACCTAGTATCATCGGCCTCGTCACCCCTGATATGCTTGACTCGATCACCTGGGGTACCTATATCTTTTTCGCAGCTTTCTGCCTCCTGGCATTCGGTTTCACGTTCTTCTTTATCCCAGAGACCCGTGGAAAGGTATGCTTGGGTTGCCCTTGGCTATCCTTTAGACGTCACTAATATGGCTACCTTGTTTAGACTCTGGAAGATATGGATCTCATCTTTGGTGACACGGCTGCCCATGAGGAAAAACAGCGTATTGTCGGAATCGAGGCTCAACTGCGTGGCATTGATGGTCCCACGGTCGACCCAGAATTCGTGAAGCCCTTCGCACAGGAGGAAGAGGACGTTGCTTGATGGTCCATAATTTTTAAGATCACTTGCAATTTTCCGCCTGCATATCAAATGGCGGGTTCCCTTTTGTGACAGTTTAAGAAACGGGTCCTTCGAGGAATGAAGTTCGGGCTGTGAAATCCTCTTTTGTTCTGTAGGCTCCATTACGTTCATGTATGGCCCTGACCGACTCTAGTCCCGAAATCATCTCATCTCGGCATCGACAGATGATCAGACAAACTCATTCTGCGGAGGGAAATTTACCCATTCCGAGAAGTCCATGCCAGCAAGGTTGAGCTCCTGGTCCACGTCCGGAAACATGCTACCAAAGGTCGGATCGTTGAAGAGTTGATCGGAAAAGGGCATTAATATGGGTGCTGTCTGTCCCGCAGTCTTATCGGCGGCGGCACTCGTGTATGCAGGCGAACAGAGCCGATTGACAACTTCCAAGCAACGAGTCGCAAGGCGGTTGTTGCTGAGAGAAGGGTGTACCAGGAGCTTCTTCGTGGACTCGATCTCCTGGAGCCAGCTGGGGGCGTCCGTACTTGTTGGGTCAGTCATAAGCAAGATGATCGGGATTACACCAGCTTGAAACAGGAAGTATCTATTATGGATGTCAGTGATGTGAGGTGAGAAAAAAATTAGGGGGTTTTTTTTTTTCATGAGACATACAACATGTACCATGCGCCGATCCTCGTGCATACGTGATTATTCACGAAATCTGCGATCGATGATATTGTCAAACGCGCATTTCGAAGACAAAGCCTCCTACAATCCGCCTCAAGCGGATCCTCGGGTTCGGGAGCCGAGTTTGGCGTCCATCGACGCGATGCCCAACGAAGAAGAATGGGACGGTATAGAAGGATCCTCAAGTTCCAGTCGCGCCACATTAGCCGATTGCGGACAAGAGCGAATGCATCCGATATCGGTGTGGGGGGCTGCTTGAAGTAATCAGGAAGGCCATTGTACCATTCCTCCATAGGCCTTTGGAGGCCGAGCGTTTCCTCTGGCGTCAAACTCGGGCCTGAGATGAGACGCTGGTAGACACTGTTGGTGAGGAGATGAAACCTAGCCTGAGCTATTAATCCGGAATAGAGAGTTGGTTCGTTGACTTCAGGAGGTAGAGTGGTAGTGAGGGGCGTAAGAGCCTGTATGTTAAATCAGACATTGTACGCCGTAATAGAGGGTTTATAATCACAGAGTCGAGTCTTACCTCATCATGTATATTGAGTACATGTTTCGCGTCCATGACATCGTCTTCAGGCAAGAGAATAGGCCGGCCGAAAGTCTTGGCCGCACCACTATCGAAGATGTAAACTCCCCACCACAGACGCCGCCTAACCTCGCGCTGGAGAAGGCTGATCTTCCAACCGGGGAATTCTTTATGGAGGCCCAAACTCATGGCCATCCTAACTGCCAACCCGAGAAAGTTCCATCCGGTATTGGGCTTGTTCCGTTTCTGGGCATAGTTGCTCAACAGCAGTAAGGCCTGAACAAGAGTGAGGTTTCCGGTTTCGAACACAGACACCTGCTGTAAATGGCCTCTCGCTTCTTGATAGAATGTAATATCCAAGTCGGAGTTATCGTCACCGATACTCCACGCCCCCAAAGCCAAGATCGTGTTCAATAGAATCTGCCATGCCTGACCATGTGGTCGCGGAACTTGCTCGTAAAACTGCGCTCGGAACGTACCTTCATGGACAAAAGGGTAGCTGGTATGGTAGTTGAGGAAGAATGCATCCATGAAAGCTTGTTCGACGAGACCAGAGGGCGCGGTGCTGAGCAGTTGAGCCTTCAAGGGCACTCTTTCCATGCTATAACTTGATTTTGAGGATCTGGCAGGAATGTTAAGGTCAAAGCCATGCTTCAACAACGCTCGGAGCGGCACAACGCTTGAAGATGCGCCTATTATAGACAGTTAGTATTTGCAATTCGTGTTGCAAAGCAGTCGGACACACTGACCAAAATAGCCAGCTCCTTCTGGCTTAATGGACAGGGCTGCCATGCCATCGGTCAGGTCGCCAACTGTGATTTTGTTCTCCGCCCAGTCGAATCCATCAGCCTGCTGCGGCAGCGCTTCCGGGGCTGGTTCGGCCCGATCCGGCTCAGCTTTTGCAGGGGTTGAATGCCGGGACGAGGACTTCGAGGATCCAGGTTTTGGTGGACCCTCCTGATCGTGCAATAAAGAACGAACGGTGGCATCCAGATCGCCGCCTGGAAACAACCTTGACAACGCTGTTTCAAAGGCCTGTAAGCGCTCCTCCACGTAGGTCAGGTGTCTAAGCAAGAATTAGCGAATGAATGGTTCCCATGAGTAATGGGAGTTTGACGACACTGAATCCCCAGGCAGTGGAAGTACTTACTGTCGTGTTAGAGGGCTTCTGGTGACCTTGGGACTGTAATTGCATTCTTTGTTCAGCTGTTTGCATTGTGCGCATGTCGGCTTCTCTTTCGAGCACTGCGATGGAGCTTAGCTAGATGCCGAGTAACTGCTTAGGAGCTGCTTACCTTGGACTTCCGGAGCCGGCATTCATCACACTAGGTGCTCACAATTAGCTTGATAGATTACCTCTTCCCCTTTACATGGGGTACTCACAGCATAGGAGTGAGAATCACGAGTACTGGCCATATTTAACGTCGAAAGTCAATTTTGGTGTACCCCAAGTCTCGTGCGCGCTGATATGTACACCAAACTGATGTCATCTGGGGAGACTTTGTTAGCCATCAACTACAGCGCTAATCGTGATCGATATTGATCTGCGCCGCAAATGCGTCGGGCGAAGTATGAAGAACATGAGTACTTTTGTAGACACATCTTTTTACAGGCTGGAATATAGCAAGAGGGACGGTCGAGTGTCACAGATTCCAGTTTTAGCGATGGATGGATACATGTACAGGAGGTCTGGGTAACAGGCACTTAAACGTCTCCAAGACCGGTGGGGTTTGGGATAAAAAGCGAGGTGCCTGAGTGTAACACGCTTGGAGCGAGGGACATGGATGGGGCGGCCAACTTACGATCGGCGCGGAAGCAGTTAAGGGCCCAACGCTTTTGGAGCCGGACGATAAGTTATCGGGTACGGCTCCAACGCTCTAAATTTATAAATCGGCGAGAAGAGGACGAGGCCTGGATGGATGCTCGACCAGCGAGTGCGACGATGATTGCTGATGGACTTTTGGCTCGTGTGGGGGAGCCAGTCAGGTGACGGGCCGAAAATTTCCTCCTGGAATTTCAGGAATCAACGGCGTCGCATCAGGCAGGAAGGACCATTCCCCTCACGGCTCTGAGATGATAATCACAATCATACGGCATAACTTAGCCTGAAACGAGCGTAGGGTATTCAGCAGTTCGCATAAAATGCCTCAGTGATCGGCACGGGTGACGTGAAGCTAATGTAGTGAACGGCCTGGAATCGCGAGAGCGTCCGAGATATCTCCTGATGCGGATGACAATGCCGCAATGGAATTGTAGTCCATGAAACTGTCGAGTGACTTCTGGGAGCTTCCTGCAGAGGAATTCTGCCGGATGTTTCGGAGTGTAATACTATGATCATTTCCGTCTCAGCGAACTATTAGCAGCACGCAGAGGGCGCGTAGTTAGCATACTAGCCCAGGAGCACCGCTTAGAATATATTTAGTTCGGGTGCAGCACTGAGCTCGGGGATGTGATCAGCGCTTCATTGCTGATACACTAGCCAGCTCAGTAGCTCAGCCCAGAATAAGCGAAGCAGACTTGCGAGACGATGAAGGATACGATAACAAGCAGGCGAGAAAGAAGTTATCCTAGAGATGAGCAGGGAGAAGACCACGACCATCTGTTGTAGGTAGTACTAGATAGTCACCTATCGCACCTTCCGTATTGATCGATCCAGTGACTTGTCTTGGCACCGTTGCCGACCAATCGCAAAAATCCGCAGGAAATCCAATTTCATACAACGTCATTTACAAAAACAGTAGACGAAAAATACAATTTTGTGCTCTACATTTCCAATCCCGAACTTGAAGTCATCTCCATCTGCTTGGAGACATCGTCAGTGCTATCCGACCGTACAATCTTGAACACGGAGCAGTTGCGACGCTCTCAGTGCGATGCCTAGCCAACCGCCCCTCCCACCCCTCCTCACTCCCTACGTATCGTCTCTGCCGCCGTCGTCCCTCACAGTCCTATCCTCAGTCCTCGGCGCAACAGGGAATTGGCTAGTTCTTCGATTTCTATATGCTGCTCTGAATTCGTCTTCGACGTCAGACGCTGTTGCGGGCCTCAGCGACACCAACAATGGGAGAAAGAGAAAGGTCGTGCTCGTGAGTTTTCTGCGGGGTTGGGAATTTTGGAGGTCCGAGGCCAAGAGATTGGTATGTTTGTGAACATCCTTCACGTCGCTCCATGTGGTCTTATGGGCTATCCAGGCCTTGTGGGGAATATGGTAGTTCGAATTCTTCGCAGATTTATCTATCTGCTGTCAGTTTATTCAAATAACTGGCAACAATACTGACCCGACCAGGGCCTCGACCTTGCCCGCCTCACAGACAAACGCCAATTCGCCTTCGTTGACGGACTCTCCGAACTCTTCGCTGCTCCCCCTACCACTTCGTCCCAAACACCAATATCACAAGCCTCACTACGAGGAACAGTGCCACCGCGGACAGTCCTGCCCCTCAGGTCGCAGCCCGGTCCCATTCCCGCGCGAGGACCGCAACCCGCCGCTCGGCCAGTCGCTGCCCCTCCGAACCCTCCAACATCGAGAGAAGTCGGGCCAGTCAAGCGACTTCACCTATCAGGAAATGGGAATGCAGCTTTGGATGCGCTCGAGAAGGACATTGCGGCGGTGATCAATGACCTGAAATCATCAACATCCGGAGATGAACAGGAAGAGCCCGAGGTATTATTGGTTCTCGACCAACCGGATCTGCTACTAGCCGCTACGGGTCCGAGCAGGGGCATAGGCGCTACAGAGATGGGAGATTGGATGATGGGGCTACAACAGGTATGCTACAAGTCTCCACAGGCAGTCTTTGAACGGGAACCATATCCGCTGACCGCGAGCTTATTCGCCTAGTACGCTCATGCAACAATCATGACGGTGTCTTCAGACTCCCCGTTGATCCACAATGCTTCCGCATCGGCACACCAGGGAGCAACTCCGCTGGAGACTGAGCATGCCGCGTTTGCTATCGGGTCGGCTCATCGGGCGCACATGATTATGCAGCTCCGAAACCTTGAAACAGGTGCCGCAAGGGATGTCAGTGGTGTGCTGAGGGTCAGCAAAGGTGGCGCGTGGGGGCAAAATGACAGCACCGAGGCCAGTAGTCACTGGGAAGAGAAGGAAGTTCTATACTTTGTCCAGAGGGATGGTGGCGTGAGCGTCTTCGGGCGAGGTGAATAGATACCAAAGTTGTTGCATCATTCCATGTCATGCTCAGGCGTTCAGGCGCGCATGCAAAAGATAATAGACCGGGAATAAATAAAAACTTTGTCGCAATTGGATCGAAAAAGAAAACACACCTGTTGTCGCAGAAACCAGATCGTACGCCTCGAAGGGTAGTAGATTGTATTCAAGTAGACAGATCACATTGGATGAATAATCTCAAACTGCATCTGCCACGACATGGGATATCCGCCAGCCCTAAATAAGACAAGGAAAATCTTGTATGAACTTTCCCATTTCATTTCTTTCTTTTGAAACAGAAAAAAAGGATAACATCCCCAGAGAGAGAAGACGAGCGTCTTTTGTTTTTCTTTCACATTGTCGTCAATATATGCCATTTTTGTGTTTCTCTAGAATAAAGAAATGCTATGACGGCAAATATGAAAAAAAGACCGTCCCAACACCAACTCCACGGGGAATAGCGTCTTTTTTTATTGCCCCTAGCATTGCGACCCGTTTCACGTCGTCAAATGCCAACCGGCCCTGTCATACCAGCCCTGCCTCCAGCCTCCGAGAACGAAACGAAAACGCGACAGTCATCGAAAGGGGGGAATCTAGTGGTTCTCGGGACCACGAGCGCCCTTGGGGGTGCCGACCTGGAAGCCGTTGTGGAAGCGGCGGTGGACCTCCTTGAGGTGACGCATTCTGCCGGAGCCGGTGGTCTTTCTGCGCTTGGCCTTCTCGCTCCAGTTGACTGTATAAAACGAACTTCGTAAGCCAATATGTTCATCCAAACACTTTCATACAATCCGTATCCAAGGTTTCAAGGAACCAGCGGCTGTTCTTCGATGGTGGGATTTTGGGGAAAAGGATTCGTACACTTGCGAGTCTTAGCGGCAGGGTAACCGCAGTTGGAGCAAGTCGACTTCTGGACGTGGAAGGAGCGGCGGCCTGAATTCAATCCGAACGTATTAGCCCATCTGGTCGTTTCCCGATAACCTTCATATATATCTCTCCCGGCAGTCATTTATTATTCCGTTCCTTCTCTCCCGTTCCGTTGATTGTAGAGATATCCCGTATATAATAATTTCCGCCCGGAGGATATATATAAATTTTCGGAGTAGTGTAAAATACTGACCACAACGCCGGCAAAGAGTGTGAGTCTTGTTGTGGCGCTTTCCGAAGCTGGAGGTACCCTTCGCTGTAAACAGAATCGGTATGTCAGTCTGGATATTGTTCTCGTCGATAGATCGGACTGGGCGGTGGTATATCGCGTTGGCACGTACTCATCTTGAATTATGTGGAACTATATGGCACAATTTGTTAGCGACGAAAAATCCAGATAAAAAAAAATTCCCGGCCTGGGGAAAAATGACAATAATCCCACGTGAGGGCGCAAAATGGACCTACCTGGCGATTCCGTTGAAGGGCTGGTTGTCGTTGTCGTCGTCGCTGGGCGTATCGAAGTTGCTCTGGGATCTGGGGTGGTGTCGCTTAGCGAGTTGTGGTTGTCAGGGCTTGTGCCCTGGTCCCGTGATTCGCCGACAGCCTCAAGGGTGAGTCTGTCACATGACTGCATGCCTGCAAAGAGTAATTTTTGTTTTGCTCCGGCGGGATCCACTTTGTTGCTCCATTGCGCTAAGCTACTAGTGGACTAGAACATCACGGCCCGGGAGCAATAAGGCTATCTATGCATTTACCTAACTACTCCGTACTTAGTCCAGATAGTGATGAAGAATCTATACAGATATTGGGACTACAGAGTAGACTTAACAGATTTATAGCTATAAAAGAAGATATCAGGATATGCACAATTTGATTGGGTATCTATGACAAGTACTAGGCGCCTATATAGCAGATCTGATAAACTATGAGATTTATAGGAGCGCTATACAAGGTCGTCTTTGCCGATGAATGCGGCCATAGGATCGTCCGCCGCAAGTCGGCTTCGCTTGTATGATTCGATTTCTTCCTCGGTAATGCCAGACTGCACCTCGATGAGCGTTCTCTTCTTCGTATTGGTGTTAGATGAATCCTTCGGCTGCTCTGAGGTTTGAGCATCGTCAATAGTTTCATGCCCGTCATTAGCTTCCTCATGTTCACCGGACGGCTCATCAGCATTGTCCCCGTTCTCAGGTAGCATCAGCAGCTGATCCGCTTCCTGGAATGCGCGCTTCCCATCTTCACCAGTACAGTAACTGTTTTTGACGGTAGAAAAGCAGCAGGCATATCCCCACTCAAAGTTGTGCCACCAACTTCCCCAGACGCATGTGTGGTTGTTAGTAAAGATGTCTTCAGCATATTTCGATTTGGCCGCCTTCTTTGGTGCGCCCTTAATCGCACCCGTTTCGTCATATTCGACAAACTGTTCGTTCTCGACAACCATTGTATCCCGCAGCGGTGTGGGGTCGAGGTGCTCTTGACCACCATACTTTTCCAAAAGAGCCTTTCGTTGAGCATCACGTTTGGCCAAACTCTCCGCCTCCTCCTTCTTCCGCATGACTTCTCCAGCTGTGGGGTTTGCCTGCAGGTGGACCTTCTGCGCACCACGTTCCTGCGATTCCCAGGCATATCTTTGTGCCTTCTCAAACTCTGCAGCATCACCCGAAGCGCGGACAAAGTTCTCCTCGGCAACAAGTGCTGCTGCTTGGTCATCCTGTGCACCCATATCAACCATCCGTCGTGTCTTCGGGTCGTACTTGGCTGAATCAAGGTCTAAGTTCAGCAAATACTTTGCCGTATCTTCTCGGATACGGAGGTTGCGAGTGGCGGTGCTCTGTTGTCTTCCCATGTCGGACTCCTCAGCGTAGCGGGCTTCCTCCTGGGGCGCATCTTCATCGTCATCGCCCTCGCCATCCTTGCCCTCATTATCGCCATCCTGTTTTGTGACCCGTTTCAATTTCTCAAGTTCCTCGTATTCCTCCACCACTTGTCGATATTCGCTCGGATCGTAGCCGTTCCACCGATCTCTCTTCGCATCCCACCCCATGTTGACGTCTTGTATGACTTCATCCGCCTGGATATCTTTACCGGTCCATTTGGCACCGTGCTTCCGAGGGCGACTCAGACACTCTTTCGTTTTGTGGGTCATGGCGCCGCAGTTCTCACAGGCGCCTTTCCGGTACTTGGTGGCCGCGGGACCAGCACGCTTGCCACGCTCGTACCATTTTGACTGCTCTGCTGTCGACTTTTGCAGACGTTGATGCTCTAGATAGTCATTGGCTTGAGAGTCGTCGTCAATGTAGAACGGCTTTTTCGAAATGAAAGACGGAATGTATTCGTTGCGCTCTTTCGACGCCACATCGGCGGGCTTTTTAGACATGATGGCGGATGGTAGGGAACAGCAGGCGCAAATTATGAAAGAAGTAATTAAGGGCTATTGCGCTGCCAAAGGACTCAAGTGTCTCTGGGAAGACCAGCAAATGCGCGTGAACGTCGAGTTCATGATTCCTATCTCCGCGCCGATGAAAGACGACGACGGTTCCGTATCATTCACGTGACCTGGCGTATTACCCGCGCCACCCAGTCGCGTAAACTCAACCACAACTTCCTACACGTCGCAGCATAATAGAGAGTTTGACGGCGAAGCAGTGTGCGATGCTGTTGGTACTCGAATAATTGATATGACGCGACTCGGGATTTCTCGCGCGTTCGGTCGCTGACAGCTTCCGCTGTCTTGAGAATCAAGCTATGGAGCCCTTTCAAGTGCGCCTCAACTGCGTGGACCACTACCAAGCAACTTCGTCAGATCTCGACCCTCCTCTGCCTTACAGGGATGGTGCGGCTGGGAAAAATGATAGATCGAAAGTTCCCGTAATTAGGATATTTGGGGCCACGGAGACTGGCCAGAAGGTGTGCGTCCATGTGCATGGCGCCTTTCCTTATTTGTATGTCGAGTATGACGGTGATCTGGAGACAGAGAAAGGTTGGTCTGATGAGAGATGTACCTACTTGAATTGTACAAGCAGCTAAGTTCTCTATAGTGAACTCCGCAATCAGGAGTCTCCGTCTCTCGATCGATCACGCATTGGCAGTAAGCTACAATCGCAACGAAAATGCCAAGAAGATCCCCTTCGTCGCCCACATCACTCTGGTGAAGGGTGTTCCATTCTATGGGTATCATGTGGGCTATAAGTTCTACTTTAAAATCTATCTTATGAGCCCCATTTACATGACCAGGCTGGCGGACTTGCTACTTCAGGGCGCCATCCTTAAACGCCCTCTACAGCCATACGAAAGTCACCTGCAGTTCATTCCGCAGTGGATGTGTGACTACAGTTTGTACGGATGTGCCTATTTGAAGTGTAGCAAGGTCAAGTTCCGCAGTCCCGTCCCGGAATACTTTGAGCTTACTGATCTATCCCATCGCTGGCACGGCCGATCAGTACAACCCGACGATTTGTTAGACGAGTCTGTTTTTCCAAAGCAGAGCCATTGCCCCCTGGAGGTCGACATTTGCGTTCAGGACATTTTAAACCGCTCAGAAATCAGCGAAAGACCTATACACCAGGATTTCACTGAACTCTTTAATCAAATGACTTCTGATGAACGGCTTGTTCCAAGCATGGCAGGTTTGTGGCAGGATGAGACACGCAGGCGGAAGAAGCGTCTGGGGCTCGAACCGGGCAGTAGCCCATTTGATCCTAACGAACTAGTCTCTTTGTCTGTTAACCCGAGAGATGCTTCTCGAGGTGGCTGGATCCACGAAGAAGAGTATCGCCAAATGGCTGCACAGACTGTCGATGAGGAGAAGCAAGAGAATGGTGGTGGTAATGTAACATTCGATGATTTACTTTCGCAGAAGCCTTTGGCCAAGGATGTAAAGACTGCGATGCAGAGTGTCGAGGATTTCTTTCCGGACAAGAACGATTTTGATAAGTATCAACTACAAGCTGTCGAGCCAGACACGGCGGCAAACGCAGAAGTAAACGTGGATGAGAGCGCAGCTTGGCCTGTTGTCTCGGACGATGTTTCATACCTTTCGGACGATGATGTTTTCGACGTATTACCCGGGGAGGACAATGGGCAGGAAGCCGCAGATGCGTTAGATGATAACCAGGACGGAGATACCCTCGACCTAGCCCAGGACGTACCGGAGTATCCTACCGATGATCTAAATGTTTACGAAATGAGTGCCACGCGCAAAGTAGGTTCGGGTGGAATGCTCGAACAAACCGAAAGCCGAGAGCTCAGCCATATTAATACGCGCAAGCGGAAGAGATTTTTCGATGACACCCCATCGCAAATGCTAGATAGGCCGCGGAAGTCTCTGCTGGCTGAAGATCGATTCAACATTACAGCCCCCAAAATCGAAGAGGCCGCCAACACCTCGGATGCAGTTGCAAGGGGCAATCTCTCACAAGAAAACTTATCCCAGCCGACAGTCCGTCCTAAGAGGCCTGAACAGAGTGGAAGGCTCAACTTTCCGGTTGTTAAAGATCCCAATAATCCTATGACAGTCTTGCGCTTCAGCCAGGACGGTGTGCCTTCTTCCAAGGAACTTAGAGAACTAGAAAATGATTTGACCAGTTCTGAGTCAGAAGTTATCTCGAAAGACATCAGAGCGGAGAACAACTCATCACTACCGCAGTCATCAGTTACTGTAACGAGGCCTGATGTTGCCCTGGATCCCCAGATCCTGGAAATGGCGTCAAAATTTTATGCCGCATTCAACGTGCCTATGAATGCTCGCATTTGCTTCTTGCGAAATTCGTCTCCCAGTACTAGTGAGGTCGCTTCAACACCTCATTGTTATGACTACCCGTCTGTTGTTTATCAAAAAGCGCACTACAGTGACGAGAGTGATGTACCTGACCGTGCGAGAGATTACGCAGGAAGGGATTTTCGCTTAGAAGGCAGTGGTATACACTATCTCCCCGATTTCGATCCGTCAGGGCGGTCTATGGCTATGCTAGGGGAATACACGGCACCGAGAGACAAGTATGAACAAGAGGCGGTTGACCAGCAGTTGCGGGAGTTATCTACGTCTAGGTTATGGGAGTTTGCCCCTGTTCCTCCAAGCCGCTTAGAAGTTGTCGAATGGTTCGAAAAGTCTCAAGCCGAGGAAAAGGCAGATGCTGCTCAGCCCCAAGCTCGCAAGCGGAAGCAAGTAAAGGCGAATGTCCTGTCACAGATCGAGGGCCCTACCCAGAAGAATGACTATGGCTTCAAATATTCACAAAAAGGGAAATCCACCAGTGTCGAGCACCAGACACAGTATATGAGCATCATGAGCCTGGAGGTGCACGTGAACACCCGGGGTGTGCTGTCGCCGAATCCAGAGGAGGACGAGATCACATGCGTGTTCTGGTGCCTGCAGTCGGAAGATGAGGACCTTGATGCCAATGGTACAGTGCCAGGGGTCCATGTTGGCATGATATCCCAAGCGGAAGACGACAGGCCAGATATCAAGGCATCCAAAGCTTTAAGATTCGACTGGGAACACGAAACCACCGAGCTTGACTTAATTAATAGAGTGGTAGACATTGTTCGTTGGCATGACCCCGATATCATCACTGGCTACGAGGTTCACAATAGCTCCTGGGGCTACCTGATCGAGCGAGCAAGGAAGAAATATGACTTTGATATATGCGACGAACTGGCTAGAGTCAAGTCGCAAGCCCATGGAAGATTTGGCAAGGATGCCGACCGATGGGGATTCAACCACACCTCTTCCATTCGAGTGACTGGACGGCATATGATCAATATCTGGCGAGCTATGAGAGGCGAGCTAAACCTGCTGCAGTATACACAGGAAAATGTGGCCTTTCACCTACTACACCGCCGTGTCCCGCACTATTCGTTTCAGGATCTCACAGAATGGTACCGCAGTGGAAAGCCTCGCAACATCCTGAAAGTAGTCGAATACTTCGTCTCGCGTGTGCAAATGGATCTCGAGATTCTAGAGTCAAACGAGTTGATCCCCAGAACTAGCGAGCAGGCTAGGCTACTGGGCATCGACTTTTTCTCAGTATTTTCTCGTGGCTCTCAATTCAAGGTTGAATCTCTGATGTTCCGCATTGCCAAACCAGAAAATTTCATACTCGTCTCCCCAAGCAGGAAACAAGTTGGCCAACAGAATGCACTTGAATGTCTCCCCTTGGTCATGGAGCCTCAAAGCGACTTCTACACCAGCCCTCTCGTGGTACTAGACTTCCAATCCTTGTACCCCAGTATCATGATTGCATACAACTACTGCTACTCGACATTTCTCGGACGAGCACACCAATGGAGAGGTCGGAACAAGATGGGATTCACCGACTACAAGCGACAGCCCCGAATGCTGGAACTACTCCAAGACAAGATCAACATTGCGCCCAACGGCATGATGTACGCGAAACCCGAGGTACGCAAATCCCTCCTCGCACGCATGCTCGCCGAGATCCTCGAAACGCGAGTCATGGTCAAGAACGGCATGAAAATCGACAAAGACGACAAAGCGCTCCAGCGCCTCCTCAACAACAGACAACTTGCCCTGAAACTTATCGCCAACGTCACCTATGGCTACACATCCGCCTCATTCTCCGGCCGCATGCCATGCTCCGAAATTGCCGACAGCATCGTCCAATCCGGCCGCGAAACCCTCGAAAAAGCCATCGCTTTCATCCACTCCGTCGAGCGCTGGGGCGCGGAAGTAGTCTACGGCGACACAGACAGTCTCTTTGTCTACCTAAAAGGCCGCACACGCGACGAAGCCTTCACCATCGGCGAAGAAATCGCCAAAGCCGTAACCTCGATAAACCCACACCCGGTAAAACTCAAATTTGAAAAAGTCTACCACCCATGCGTCCTTCTGGCCAAGAAACGCTACGTGGGCTTCAAATACGAGCACCGCGATCAAAAAGAACCCGAGTTCGACGCCAAAGGCATCGAAACCGTCCGCCGCGACGGCACTCCCGCAGAACAAAAAATCGAAGAAAAAGCCCTCAAACTCCTCTTCCGCACCGCAGACCTCTCCCAAGTGAAACGCTACTTCCAATCCCAATGCACAAAGATCATGCAAGGCCGCGTCTCGATCCAGGACTTCTGCTTCGCCAAAGAAGTCCGCCTAGGCACCTACAGCGACAGGGGCCTCCCGCCACCAGGAGCCCTAATCAGCACGAAGAAAATGATCGCCGACCCCCGCTCCGAGCCCCAGTACGGCGAACGCGTCCCCTACGTCGTGGTCACAGGCGCCCCGGGTTCCCGGCTCATCGACCGCTGCGTCCCGCCCGAAACCCTCCTGCACGATCCCCATCTCGACCTAGACGCAGACTACTACATCACGAAGAACCTCATCCCACCCCTCGAACGAATCTTTAACCTCGTCGGCGCAAACGTCCGCCAATGGTACGACGAGATGCCGAAAGTGCAGCGCGTGCGGCGCGTCGAGGGAGCGCTGTTGCGTGGAGCTGCTGGTGGTGGGCGAAAAACCCTGGAGTCCTACATGAAAGCGTCGACGTGCATTGTGTGCAGGAGCAAATTACGAGATACCGATACCCCGCTTTGTGGGACCTGTCTAAGGCAGCCGCATCTCGCGCTGTTCGAGCTCGTCTCGAGACAGCGGGCGGCGGAGAAGAGGGTGGTGGATTTGCAAAGGGTTTGTAGGTCTTGTATGGGGGTGACGTTTGGGGATGATGTTAGGTGCGATAGTAAGGATTGTCCGGTGTTTTATTCGAGGACGAGGGACGAGGCGAGTTGGAGGCATACGAAGGCGGTGCTGGATCCGGTTGTGGGCTTGTTGAGAGATAGGTGTGAGAGGGAGTTGGAATGGTAAGTACTAGGTTCGTATATTGAGGTTTCATTGGGGTTTGATTGGTTGGGAAGGATTTGAAGGTTGGTTAGGATGGCGTTTTATACTGTATAATTATGGGCTGAGAGGGGCGGGTTGGGTTTATTGGGGTGATGTGTATTATCATTATTGTATGCTTTACGGCCGAGGGACTAAAAGAATAGTGTTTAATGTTCAGATGGCTTGTGGTGAATTAAATTTGTGCATGCCTACTAAGCTGATAGTTACATACTAACGATGATGCACGTAGTTGAAGCAAGATAGATCTGCGGAAGAAGTGTCAAAGATAGAAGCAATCAAGAATGGCAGGATGCATCTTCAGACGATATCAGACCTGTATTCTCAAAGCCCAAGCAGCTCATTGAGTTTATCGAGAGCAGTAGGTTCAAGTTCGTCTTCCTCCTCAAGGATCTCCTCGCATTCGTCCTCTCCCTCGACATTTTCCTCCACAAGTGGTGTTGCTGCGGGGCTTGCAATGACCGGCTTGATCATCTTGGGCAATTCGCTAATTGTTACATTGTCATCGATGTCTAACAATGATATCTGTTCTCTACCGGGAGTGCTTGAAGACGCGGATGGAGGAGAAGGCGATAAAGCGGGTACGTCCGAGATGCCTATATCAAGGAGTTGATCGATGATGCTCTCGCTACTCTCCGCGCTTGCGTGGCCAGTGGAAGGACCCGCAGTGGAGATTGGCTGAGTGTGCGATGCATTGGCTGCGCGTTCCTCGTCTGTGAATAGGCCGAACGGGTCTTCGTACAGGGTATCGGGTTTATCTGCAGCCTGTGGGACCTTGACCGGGCCATGTTCCACAGGACCGGGGTTGAGTGTTGCAGGTTGATAGATATCGTAAAGCCCACGTGCAACTCTACCCAGTATATGGGGAAGAATCCAGGGAAAGCTGATAAGAGGTAGTTGGTTTATCTTGGGAGTTCCATGCTGTGGAGATTTCTCACGATGCTTCCTGAGCGCCTGGGTCATTTCTTCATGCGTGACACGGTACATCGCGACTGCTAGTGGTGCGAGCAGCTCGAATGTTCTACCTTCTACCTTGTTGTAGCATTGCTTTCTGAAAGTTTCGCGGTGTGCGGCTGAAATTGCACCAATCTCTTCGTGGAATTTGTAGTCCTTGCTCATTTGCGAATGATTAAGGATAAAGGTAGACCAAATTTCAAATTCGGTCTTGATCTCGTGCTGTGCCATGATCCGCCGCATGGCTGTGTCGTGTTCGACCTTGAGATTCTTCGCGAATGTATAGAGGTCTTCGTTGACTTCGATCGAACAGTTCAGGATACGCTCGTCGAAAGGCATCTCCAGGCTTGGCACGAAGTCTATCCTCTCCACGGCGTCATAAAGCTGACCGAGGATCTTTTCGGAGTGATAAATTAGGTCTTTCGGCTTAGGCTTCTCCATGAAGTGAGGCCACCTTCGTGGCTGAAGATTGCGGGTCATGATAGCCGGTCTTCCTGTCTTGTTGTAGTCTACAGCATCGGAATGGAGCTGAGCCAGCCGGATACACTTTTCTTCGTTGACACCATCCTCAAGCTGATCTGCCCAGGCAACATGGGCGTGAGCGATCGTTGGAAGGCTGTCATTTTTCATGTACATGACGAAGAAAGAAGTGACCTCATCGACGGTGACATCGTGGTCTAGATCCTGGGCCTTGTTGCTTGAATAGCGTATTGGGTCTAGGAACCAATCCTTGTGAATTAGATCCTGATCCCAGATAATCAGGTAGTCATCACCATCGAGGTCTCCACCGGAACACATGCTGGCGATATCTCGATCGCCGGTTTGCGGTAAGACGACCACATCACGGAGGCTGCGCAACTCAGGCACGTTGACTGCCCTGACCACACGAATGTCACCTGGGTGAAGAGAGGGATTTCGTGCCAATATACAGAGCCCTTCGATGACTTCATATGTTGCTCCGTCCTCGGAGGCTTCTGAACGAGGAATCTGAAGAAATATCTCTGGTAGTGCTGCCAGCTTCTGCTCGAGAGAAGCGTCTTTCTTTGGTATCTTATCATAGAAGTAGCCCTTGAGAATCCCCGTCTCGTCCATAACTCCTAGTAGATTTGTGCCTTTATCAATAACAATCTTCGCCTTTTCCTTCAGATACTTGATATGCCAGGTCCGCCACAATGCTAGGATAGATGTGAGGAATGGCTCCTTAGATCGCCGGAAACCATCAGATACCATTTGACTGACGGTCAGAGTCGTCTGATTCGGATCAACGTACTTTTTGAGTACCTCGATTGCTCGGGAGTCACTTTCCATGGCCTCATCGAGAGCACGCAGCATGGACTTGAGCTTAGCATGAAACACCTCGTCGGGAACCCCGAGGGTAGACATGACAAGTATCAGCTGGCGGTTCAAAGTAGCCATTGAGAACTGAGACCATCGAATAATCTCCAAGCCATTATGGACGGTCGGAAACTTATTTTGACTCTCTCGAATGTGGATCTCTTGCGGCTGGGCATCGGAAGAAACAGCAAGCATACCCTTACAGCCCCCGAGACGGAACTGAAAAGCCGATGGAGGCTCGCCCGTTGGCGTCTTGATCTTAAGCTCCGTCATTGCCATTTGCGCAAGGAACCTCGAGATCTTTCCGACCCCATCTGAAAAGGTGTAGCCATTTCTTTCCACATCAGGAATATTGCGTATCTGTACCGGACAGCCAGCTACTGCTCGAGTTGTTGAGAAACATTGGCCTAGTCGTGCTGCGTATTTGGCCACATTGCGAATATCACTGAAATGACCCATCCAAGCACGGATATTGGCTGCTGTAAGATCAGGCAATGGAGCAAAGAAGTAGGCCCCATGCTCGCGGAATTGGGAGTTCCCGAAAGCAAGAAATTCGTACCGTCTGTCTCCAATGACAATGCCATTTGCCAGTGCTCGCTTGATGCGAGTGAATATCTCATCATTAGAATTATCACTTCTAGCATTAATGCGACCATAAAGTTTCTCATCCGTGAATCGAACCCTGAGGAAGCGATCCGCATGTTCCATGTAACGCCTAATAATCCGGTTCGAGATGTCCACTGACGGTAGATTATAGTATATGGTGCTGGGTGTGATTGTGGCAGATCGCATGTGACAGCAGTACGGAGGTATCTTTGCCTTGGTGGCTCTAATGCCTCTGACAAAAGGAAGGTCAAATATCTTCATAGGGTCGTAATACTGCTCTTTTTGGCTTGCCACATTTTCCAGAAGTTTTCTTGCCTTTGCTTCCCCGAGCTCAGCCAATTTGACAGCGAACTCATGCGTCATGGTAAACTCGGAAAGGTAGCCATTAGAAATACAAACTTCAAGCTGATACCGAACGGGGAAGGACAGAGGGACATAAGTAGAATCAATCAGGTCATTCAATGACGAAACGGACAAATTTGAGGTATCGGATAGATCGATCCACTTCCACACTGGCGGCATCCTCTCTTGTCTATCGTCCCATTGGATAAAGCGGTCTGTGTCCTCAATAGCGATATTATAATCCCGGAAAATTGCACAAAGCTCAGTGAAGAGCTCCTTCCTGCAATCGTTAGGATAACTGATTTTCAAGGCATTCCATCGACCTGCGGGAAATTGAAAGGTCAGCCAGAGGAAAGACAAAAGTGATCAAGACGACTAAGTTTTGGATAGAAAACGAGGTAGCGCATACCTATGTCTATGAGAGGCTTTTGCCTTGGCAAGCTGACTGGAAGCGAAGACAAGCTGAGAGGATTGTGGACAATATGTGTCTGCCGGTACCAGCAGTCCGAGTCTCTCCAGCTTCCCGGCTCATGGAAGGTGGCATTTATATCGCTGATTCGGCGGTGGTACATGGGAGGGGAGTCGAGCACGGTCAAGTGAGATATGACCCCAGTTGTAATATTGCGCGACTGGAAGATTTTGCCCAGCTGCCTTAGGGGAATCCTAAGACGATAGTTGTGCCATGTATCCGATGCAGAGGTTGAGGTTGACTTATTACCGGAACTGAGTATCTGGAGCTGGAAGAAGACGTGCAGCTCCCTCAACTTCAGATTGAGTAGCAGGAAGGGTTTCCCGAGTGGACCTGCTTCGATTGTCCGCATTGGTAGAAGTGTAGTTTCGTTGAGCATAACTCCAATATCCAGTGAGGAGATCGGGATCGTCTGAGAGAAAAGGTACACAGAATGAGAGTTGAACTTCTGTGTTTGCGGTTGGAAATACTTACGAGCTCGGCTGGATAGCGGACGTTGGGACGAACGGGACTCGGAATTTCAAGCTCTGAGGGCCTGGGCGCTTCGAGAGTTACAAATATGCGTCCCTCTTGTCCGCTCGGTAGCTTTATACTGTAAGAACCGCTTTTCCAGAAATCGGTACGCGGTGGCGGTCTGGTGGATAGTTAGTGATGACTGAAAATTTCAAGACATAAACGAAGACCAACTTAAAGCGAATTTTCCCCCTCGACTCCAACTGGCCATGATGGTCTTCATAAATGTCAATCGAAAAGATTGTGCCTTCGCTTTTAAATGTCTGCCAGATAGTGCGGGCAGTGACTTGGCGAGGCAGCCCAGTAAGTTTTATCCCAACACTAGCCCATGATCTCCATGGAGCTGGAGGAGGCAGTATGTTATGGAGACGTTGTTGTCCCCTCGGCTGCTTCCCTTGCCCCCTCGAGTATGCTCCCTGAACCCCCATATGCTGTTGCTTGCCTCGATAGGGCATGGCCGCTGCAGGCTGAGCAGACTTAGGGGCGGATGAGGCGTGTGAGGGAAAGGGGGCAGAAGGAGATAGCGGAGGGAGAGGGGAATGTGGAAGGGAAGATGAGGAGAGAAAAGGAGAGGAAGAGGAAGAAGAAGAAGAAACCGGTGGTGAAGGGAGGGGGAAGTGAGGTGAGGAAGAAGGTGAGCTGGCAGTGAAGTGAGGAAGAGCCCGGGAGAGAGAGGAAGACGGAGAGAGAAAGAGAGAGACATCGGGAGAATAGGCTCTCGAGTGAAGCTCACTCCCGCTGTCCGGGGATAGAAGTTCGCAATCATCTTCTGAATGCATCTCCATCAGCTTCCACTGTTCAGTGAGATTTCCTGCTCACCCGGTTCTGTTCCTACTGACTATCCGATTGACTGGAAGTCTTAGTGATTTGATAGACCAGGTACATAGAAGAGCACTGTGGCTGGTATCGCAAACAAGACTAGACTGAGTGCACATACACTGATCATTTGAGCCGGGAAGTAGAACTAAAGCAGAAAGGGAAAGTTCCCGTGGCAGCTGGGGCTTTTTCTAGTTAATCTGCAGTGTTAAATATGTCTTAGCCATGTGGCTCGACCAGTCGGAAACTTCCTGCGGAAACCAGCCAAAGTCCAGGATAGAGTCGAAAAGTGAATGAGGCGAAATAAGCCACAGCGATTGCATATTTCCCCAGGAAGTTGAATTCTCACAGTGACACGCCATTAAGTGGAGCTTCCGGGCGTTTGGCCATGGCCCTTCTACTCTTCAGATGCGCCGCCACGGAGCAGCCTGACCGGGGGCTGCAGGCCGAGAGTTCAATGTGGCTTGGAAGAACACGAATGCTATGGATAGCGGTCCAATATTCTAGGCTTAGCCCCTGATTTAGGTACTTTAGAACCGGACAAATCGGACTAAGTGCGTCTGAATGATTGTAGCTAGGCCATCATACCTACTAACATGCTATATACAGATATTTCAATTCTTGTAAGTCTCGTACTACTGCTGTGTCTGTGAGTATGGAATGGGATCATTGGTCGCTGATAAAGATGTGCTTGTGAAGAGGAAGTCTTTTGAAAACTCCAGGTCCATGTCCAGGTCTATTTGCTGAAGTTGGTTCTCCTCCAGGCTGCCACGAGTCCGAACTTGGTCAGAAGTGCCACATTCGCTGCGCTGCGACGCGGGACTCCGCTGTCCGCACGGCTGACTATTCAAGTCGGCATCTTCGAGGGGTGTTCGTCTGTGCTGGGGTGTTACATTCCTCGACTTCCTGCCGACCCTCATGTGTTGCGATGATGAATCAGCCGCGGGAAATGCATTATCTATAGTCCTCTTCGGACTACGGCTGGTAGGGGAAGACAAGCTATTTTCGAATGGTTCCACCTGTGAGTTCCCAGGCTGGGTTTGCAAATCGTCCTCCGCCGGCGGCGTTTGCTGTGTTGTGGCTGTCTGGGAGGACCTTGCACCAGGCTTCCTCGTCTGTTTGTTCTCGGGCCTCGTCCCGTCGGTCTCGACCCGGATCCCCATAACATTCATTAGGCGTCCGATATGTTGCTGGGCTTCAGAGAACTCTCGGGCTTTGGCTGCTCGTTCATTCCGTAGTTGTTGCACCTATAGTGACATATAAGTGAATGCTCAAGCACACAGATAGGGAGAAATCTTTGCATCCCTCTGGTCGATCCTTGTCTTACCTTCTTCTCCAGGTGGTGTATCCGCTTATCCTTCGTTTGCAGCTCCTTGGTGGCGTCGGATGCGGCTGCCTGCATATCCATCCGCAGCGCGAACATTTCTTCCTTTTGGGCCTCGTACTATTGAATATGCATTAGAAAGCGAGCTCCCCGTACACAATCGATCCATTAATCGTACCTTTGCATTTGCCGCCGAAAGTTGAGTCTCATAATCTCTGACAGTTTCTCGTTCCCCTCGAAGGTGCCCCTCGGCTTTGTCAAGCGCGGACGCCAACCTGTTGGATTCCGTCTTCTCTTCATCAAGCTGCCGAACCGATTAGTATCTTTTTATTCCTGCCGTAGGGATATTAGGGATTCTACCTGAATCCGAAGGGCTTCAATTTCCCTCTCAGTTTCTGCTTTCTCGGTCAGAATCTGCCTTTGGTCTTCGTCCTTCTGGACTAAAAGCACTTCGCATTGTCTGAGTTTCTCTTCGAGCCCCTCCAAGTTCTGATTGAGGGATCCGTTCGTCTCAAGTAAGGACAACTTCTCTTTCGAGGTTTCACCTAGCGCATTCTGCAGGTTTGTATTCTCCGTTCTTTGAGCCATGATTTCCTCCTGCAACGCTTCCAGCTGATCATCCCTTTCAGTTATAGATGCGATCAAGTCCAGCTCCCTAGTGCGGGCCTTTTCTACCTCGCTTGCCATGGTATCTTGGGACTCGCGCTTCTGATCTGCAAGGTCTCTTCGAGCTGCGTCGAGAGTTGCCGATAATTCTTCAGCGCGAATGGACGCAGCTTCCGCATGAGTCTCTAACCGAGAGATTTCCAGCCGAAGCCCGCCAATTGTATCGGATGCTTGTTGCAACTGCAGCTCCAATGCGCTATTCTGCTCTTGCAGATGCTGCGCGTCAGCTGAAATCGCGTTCCGCTCTTGCTCCATCGCCCGCAGTGGGGCTTCAACATTATCACATCGTTGCTCGAGATCATAGCACACCTCCTCCATCTTACGCATTATACTGTCATTCGATGCACGCGCATTGAGCATGAGTGCTTCTGACACAGAGGATCTCCAATCAGACCGCGAACTGGGACCGGAAAGGTCCCCACGGACGTTGAGTGGCGGATAGGTTTTGGCGGTCCGAATTGGTTCAGTTTCCGAGAATGAGCATTTATGCTTATGCAATAACTGCTTGTTTTGAGCCAGAAACATCTGCAAGGTCGCATTCCCAGCTATTGTGTCCTGGGTTGTGGTCTGTGATAGCACTGCATGAAGGTAGAAGGATAAAAAGTCGTATATTAGCTCATTCTCCAGTTGCGAACGTGCAACTCCGCATGTATGAGCGCCATGGCATGGTGATGAGAAGGGTTCCCTGGGAAAACTTTCAATTGTCTTCCACATGACTTGCTGGCATTGTTCAAGAGGTTCCGCAAATATAGCGGAGTTCAAGGATGCAGAATGCAGCCCTGTAACCAACGATTTAGCCACTAAAACATGAGCCAAGCTCGGAGAGCTGGTGGTATCTAAAGAAGAGACGATATATTCAAGCAGACTGCGTATCGCAGTCACCCCTAAACACGCCTTAAATATGGTTAGTATAGCCTCAAATGGCAACATGGGTCTACTTACCACACTTGCCCCTACAAGTCGCGGTATATACTCCAATGTCAGCACACCGAACACGAATTTGCTGTCTTGAGTCATAAGCCTATCGACCGCAACTCGGGCTATATCGGTTGATAAAGTGGCAACTGGAAGCAGCGATGCCAGGAATGTCGCTCCCTAAATATAATTAGTAAACGTCCACTATTGTTATAGTTTGGAGAAACCAGACATACTAGCAGTTGAACACCAGGGTCAATACCACTTCTGGTAATCTTCTCTCGTAACTTGGCAATCTTGGAGGCGTTTGCCTTAATCCAGGTTTCTCTCTGTTCTTGCTCGACTCTATCGCAAATCTCGATCGCCAAGCGGATACTCTCGGCTGCCTGGTCTACCGTTAAATCGCTGCAGCTATCAGAGCAAGCGAGGATAACGCGCAGGACGACAAGGTCCAAAGTTTTCAAGCCACGCTTGGGACCAAAGAAATGGTTAACACTTTGCAACCACAACGGAACAAACCGCACACAGCCTTTCTCGGACCCAGAATCTTCTAAGGATGCCATGCGTGCAAAAGTTGCTAGACAAAGAAGATTTCCCATGTGGTCACTCAGGTTACGCAGCGTTTTCGTAAGCTCTACCTGAAGACTAGCCATCAATTCAGACGGGATCTCTTCGAGGAGCCGAGGTGACCTTCTAATGCCATTGGAGATTTGGTTCAGAGGTAGAATGTTTTCGGCGCGGGGATCCTCTCCCATTGTACGTATCATCTTCTCCATGAACAGTGTCAAGCGTGCCGGAATCATAAACTCGGGCGGTAGAGGAGACGATAGGATCGCGGTGCACACCAAGGCATACTGTGAAAGTGAGTGGATGAAGTCCGTAGCTCAACAGCATTGCTAGACACATGTGGCTGGCAGTTTTGCTTTGGGTAAGGGGCGAACAAACCTCAGACTTGTCATCGTCGGTAGCACCTTGAAGGAACTGATCAAGAAGACATGGATGTCGCTCGAGCAGAACATCCCTGACGGTTGGAACCGGTACTGCCTATATTTAGCCAAGCTAACGCAACTAGATACAGATGATGTGCTCACCAAAGATTGTAAGTAGAGGCAACGCGAAACGAGAGCGCGATAGACCATCGACAAGCACGTCAACTAGAGCCCCAATTTGACACGGCTTGTGAGAGGCCCACAGTTGAATGGATTGTGACGTTGTAGACTGCGCCAAACTATACAAGTCCTGTGTTCCAAATGGGTCAGTTACTAACGCATTGACCTAAGACACTCGCGTGGAGCGGCGGAATTTACCTGGAGTGAAGGTGCATAAAGCGCCGTAACAAGGCGCTCCACTTCGCGACTCAAGCGAATAATCTGTTGATCTGCCATGTCTGCTATACAACCTGACCCCATACATGGAGTACCCATGGACTGATCAATAAGGATCAAAGATAATATGGGGTTGTGCCGTTCCCCACGAGGTTATCATTAGCTTGTCTTTCGACTGCGGTGGGAAAGATTTGATGTTCTGTAGCCGGTTGCCCCATCAACAACGCGGCGCGGGCCATATGGAGCCCGGCAGATAAGCAAGTGGAGACAATGAGCATGATGCAAGAATAGCCGATGATTGCTTTATCAGAAGGTTCAATCGAGCTCTGTATATCTACTTATGTTTTCCCTCAGGGTGACAAGGTATAGCTGTCTTGCAGGATGATCTGCCTTTTTCGGTCCAATCCGAGCAATGGGTGCCTGTTCCTGCCAAGTCGTAGCCTGCCTGTGTTCCTGAGGCATCATCGGAGTTTTGGCCGATCGCGTCCAACTTCGGATCTACAAAGATGGACGATAAGCAGCCACCCCTCAAACGTGGGGATCAATCATCGTTGCTCACCCTTCCCTAACGTGGGGGTGAACCTATTTTTCCGCACCTCTAGACTTGGACAAGAGCATTTCCGCTATCCAGCAAAGGCTGAGCAGTGGCATTCTACTCGGCCTATTTCCGATAGCTGCTGTACGTCTCATCCTTAGCTCCGATGACGTTTCTCCTCGCGCCGAGGCCAAGCTCCCATAGCGGACTACTACTGGATAATCAAAGACCCCATTTCGGTCCACGAAGCCTAGTATGTCTTTTCTAACCGGCTTTGGGCTGTAATATATATTGCTCAATTCCAACCCTTGATCTTACTGATAGCAATAATCTTCACTCCCTGTCGATCCGAGCTCGTTGGACCATGCGGCCGCTCAGCCAGGTGCCTCGGGCTTTCCCCGCACATCTCCGCGCGCTTCAATGCCGGCCCAGCACCCTCTCACCACACCAGTTCTTTCCTCAACAAGCAGTGCGTTGGGCTAGTCAAAAGACAGGACATAAGAGCGATGGTAATGCAGGACAGGGAAATGATGCCAATACTGGGCCTTCTGGCAACCCTTCAGGTTCTCGGACTTCAGGCAGGACCCTGTTAGCCTCTGCCTTGGCTGCAGGCGTCGGCTATGCATATGCTGCGACGAGCGGACAGTCCCAGTCTCTGAATAGCAAGCAACCCCAGTATGGATCTGCGAAGGATTTTGAGAAGGTAGGGAACTGTCCAGCTCTCCCGTGTTCGCAATATATATAGTAGTATATTATGTGCACTTGACTGAACGTCGGTTTGAACAAACAGGCCATTGAAGAACTGCGAGCCACGCTAGGCGATGAGGTCATCAGCACCGACCAAGACGATCTTCAAGAACATGGGTTTTCAGAATGGTCCAGCGTCAATGCTGATCGTCTGCCAGTTGCCATTGCCTACCCGGCGAATACAGACGACGTTTCAAAAATCGCTAAGATATGTCATAAATACAAGATGCCAATGATACCCTACTCCGGAGGTTCTAGTCTGGAGGCCAATTTTTCGGCCCCTCTCGGCGGGTTGACCATTGATTTCGTGACGATGAATAAGATACTCGAGTTGCACGAATCTGATATGGACGTTGTAGTTCAACCGTCCATTCAGTGGATGGATCTGAATGAGAAGATTAAGGACAGCGGTCTCTTCTTCCCCGTTGACCCTGGACCGTCTGCAATGATAGGTGGTATGATTGGAACAAACTGCAGTGGAACCAATGCCGTGAGATACGGGACCATGAAAGATTAGGTAATCAACCTTACTGTCGTGCTGGCAGATGGTCGTGTCATCAAGACACGCCGACGTCCACGCAAAACTTCAGCCGGGTATAACCTGACGGGAATGTTTGTTGGGTCTGAAGGAACACTTGGTATTGTGACTGAAGCTACCCTGAAATTGACGCCAATTCCAGAGCAGACTCGTGTCGGCGTGGTGACCTTCCCCACTATACGTGATGCTGCATCCACTGCCATGCAGCTTGTTCGAAAAGGGATTCAAGTACAGTGCATGGAGATTCTTGATGAGATACAGATGGATGTCATCAACCGCGCTGGAGGAACTGGAAGAACATGGAAGAAATTGCCCACCCTGTTCTTCAAGTTCTCCGGCACCAAGGCGGGGGTCGCGGACAGTATTAATCTGACTAAAGCATTAGCAAAGAACAACAACGCAAGCTCGTTTGAATTTGCAAGAGATGAGCGAGAAGCACATGATTTATGGTCTGCGCGAAAACAATCGCTATGGAGTATGCTGGCGCTAAGAGAGCGAGGATCCGAAGTATGGTCAACCGACGTTTCCGTACCGATCTCTAGATTGCCAGACATTATTGGTATGTTTTTTCATGGCCCAGTACTGGACGTTAGCTGATCATAGTAGAAATCTCCAAGAAAGAACTCGATGACCTTGGAATCTTTGCCAGTATCCTCGGGCATATTGGAGATGGTAACTTCCACGCAAGCATCTTATATGATCGCACTATCCAAGAAGAAAGGGAGCGAGTAGAAAAGGTTGTGTACGACATGGTTGATCGTGCATTGGAAATGGAAGGCTCTTGCACTGTAAGACATCTGCAACCTGAACTTGTATCTGAACGCATGACTGACTAGTTACCAGGGTGAACATGGTGTGGGATTGGGGAAGAAAGAGTCGCTGAAGAAGGAGCTTGGCCCAGCTACGATTGGAATTATGCGTTCTATCAAGAAGTCTCTCGACCCACACTGGTTATTGAACCCTGGCAAGATCTTCGATTATGAGGACGAAGCATAGACGGAGCATTCTGGTCTTTCAGCCGAGGATGACATATGCACAATCAATAACTATGGATGGACAGAATAATGTACATATCAAAGGCTAGACTCATAGCAACTATGTCTCTTTCAACCATATTGACCCCATCTTTGGTCTAGTGCAAGGGCCTAAAATGATGCCATTTTCATTTCTATAAGATCGGAGCAATCAGCCAATCATAATGGCGCAAAAGCTGCGGGATGGTTAGTCAGTCACTAGTGAGGGCTGAGTCACAGCGGGGCAGATGTGCTCCGGAGCGATATCGCAGTTTTAATCAGTAACGCCACTCTTGTCCCTCTCCAACTTCCGCATCGTTGTCTAAGAGGTGAGTGCAATTCGTTTTGTTTGCTCATAGTTCAATCACATCGTGGCCATTACATGGCGACTCAATTGTCTATCTTGTCACGATCTTCAAAAATGTCGATAGTGGAGATACAACTGTGCTTTCATCCCTTGCGGGGCTCCAACGGTTAAGGCGCTGCAACCGGACGTTGGCCATGTCTCCCCGTGAGCATGTTCCAATTGAGATTTTTGATGCCCACACTTCTGTTAAAACCGTCCATCGTTGTCTCGTTATCCATTAAAGACGAACAACTGACAATTATCAGATCACGAGAATCGCAGAGCGACCTACTCGATATCAAACAAAATGGCCTCGTATCCTAAGAAGAAGTGCGGTATGGATATACAACACTACCTATTGCGTGTGGCTTCAGTGCTAATGACATACAGGTGTTTTGGGCGCCACCGGCTCCGTGGGCCAGCGTTTTATCCTCCTGCTTGCCGACCACCCCTTCCTGGAGCTGCACGCCGTCGGTGCGTCTGAGCGTTCTGCGGGCAAGCAGTACAAGGATGCCGTGAGATGGAAGCAGTCTACGGCTATGTCTGAGAAGCTTAGCACACTTGTCCTCCGCGACTGCAAGGCCGAACAGTTCGCTGACTGCGATCTCGTCTTCTCTGGGCTTAACAGCGACATTGCGGGTGATGTTGGTATGTGGTCCTTTTCCCAGGTGACAGTACTACCTGCTGATTACAAATGTTACAGAGATGGAATTCATCAAGGCCGATATCCCCGTCTTCTCGAATGCGAAGAACTACCGCAAGCATCCTCTCGTCCCTCTCGTCGTTCCCACCGTCAACCCCCAGCACCTGGACCTCATCCCTCACCAGCGCAAACACTTCGGCTTGAAGAAGGGATTCTTGGTTTGCAACTCCAACTGCGCAGTCATTGGCATTGTTATCCCATTCGCTGCCCTGCAGGCCAAGTTTGGACCCGTTGAGGAGGTGGAGGTCTTCACCGAGCAGGCTCTCTCTGGAGCTGGATACCCTGGCGTGCCAAGCATGGATATCCTGGACAACGTTATTCCTTTTATCAGCGGCGAGGAAGACAAGCTTGAGAACGAGGCCCAGAAGATCCTGGGCTCCTTGAACGCCGATGCTACTGCTTTCGAAGAGCAGTCCGGCCTACGGGTTGGCGCCACCTGCACTCGCGTCGGAGTTACTGACGGTCACATGGCGTTTGTTTCCTTGCGCTTCAAGAACCGCCCTGCTCCCAGCGCAGAGCAGGTGGCTCAGGCCATGAGGGAGTACCAGTCGGAGGCTCAGAAGCTGGGCGCTCCTTCTGCACCCGCCCAGGCTATCCGAGTGTTCGACGAGCCCGACAGACCCCAGCCTAGACTGGACCGGGACATCTCCAAGGGCTACACCGTTAGCGTCGGACGGGTGCGCGACGGCAATGAGGGTGGCTACTTCGATCTCCGTTTCGCTGCTCTTTCGCACAACACCGTTATCGGCGCTGCTGGATCATCCATCCTCAACGCGGAGGTTGCTGTCATCAAGGGCTACATCTAAACATGTGAAGAGATCTATGGCATATAGCGATTAGACGGCGTCAGATATCCTTTTGTTTCTAGACATTTCAGCTACTAAAAGCAAAAAGCATTGAACATACGGAGTAAATCAAGCCTGGACCCAGTATTGCTTATGTAATGTGGTTTGACCCACAGGGGCTAGTACTGGTTGGGACTAGTGGGGTGCAACTTTGAACGGTACTAGTGCTAGGGCTAAGCCCCGCTGGCACCAGCCGCTAAGCGAAAAATGCAGATGGGCTGGATATCAGCCGCTGAAGTCCTTGTCCCGACTCCTTCTTTTCCTCGCGACACTTCGACAACTAACCGGTTCAAGTCGACAAAGCAGCCAAGATGCCTCGCGGACCGTGAGTAACACGCCCAATGTTGTTCCCACTGCACGCAGCGAGATTACCGGTGGAATTGCGTTTTCACCGGTCTATCTTCGCTACGGCAGGAGAATTGAAGATTTTGAGGAGCTGAAAACTAACCACCATGCTCGTACAGTAAGAAGCACCAGAAGCGCCTTAGCGCGCCTTCTCACTGGCTCCTGGACAAGATGTCCGGAACCTACGCCCCCAAGGCCTCCCCCGGTCCTCACAAGCTCCGGGACTGCCTGCCCCTGATCGTCTTCATCCGCAACCGGTACGAGCCATCCAGCGATTACGAAGGAATCGAAAGAGTGGATCGGAATAGGAGGACTGACAGGTATATAGTCTCAAGTACGCCCTTAACGGCCGTGAGACCAAGGCGATCATGATGCAGCGTCTGATCAAGGTCGACGGCAAGGTCCGCACCGACCCTACCTACCCCGCTGGTTTCATGGACGTCATCGGCATCGAGAAGACCGGCGAGAACTTCCGTCTCATCTACGACACCAAGGGTCGCTTCACCGTCCACCGCATCCAGGCTGAGGAGGCCGAGTACAAGCTCTGCAAGGTCAAGCGTGTTCAGCTCGGCAAGGGCGGGATCCCATTCTTGGTTACGCACGATGCGAGAACGTGAGTGCATACTCTCTACAAGTTCCGCGTCATTCAGTCGTTGGACCAAGCTTTGGTTGATCGGCGGAGGACGACAGAACTAGAATCGCAGTTCTTTGCTGGAACACAGTAAGGAGCCGCAACTTGAGAACAAAGTGTGCTAACAAGGGCTTTTTTTATAGCATCCGTTACCCCGACCCCGCCATCAAGGTCAACGACACCGTGAAGATCGACATTGCCACTGGCAAGATCGCCGACTTCGTCAAGTTCGACACTGGTGTTGTCGCCATGGCCACCGGTGGTCGTAACATGGGTCGTGTCGGTGTCGTTACCCACCGTGAGCGCCACGATGGTGGTTTCAACATCGTCCACATCAAGGACGCTATTGACAACACCTTCGCCACCCGTGAGTCCAACGTCTTCGTCATCGGTCAGGACAAGCCCTGGATCTCCCTGCCCAAGGGCAAGGGTGTCAAGCTCTCCATCGCTGAGGAGCGTGACCGCCGCCGTGCCCTCCAGTAGATGTGGCATGGTAAGTGATGTAGGCTGCCGGAAAAATAAAAGCGTTGCAAAATTCCGCTGTGGCGATGACATCTTGTCTTGCTTTGTGGACCTGTATGACGCCGGTTACGATAATTATATGAAGCGTTATCCAGAACAAAAAAAGAGAAAGAATTGTCTACAGGACACAAAGTTACACCTGTTACTGTACCGTAGACTTGTACACTAAAGCAAGGTCAAGATGCCAAGTCTGTCTACCTGTGATAGTATGATACCATTGTTTCTGAAGCCCTTTTAGTTCCATTCCTAGGATTCGTATCTGGGCCAACTGCAGTAGGACACTTCTTTTATTCTTACCACCCCAACTTTCCCACTTGTCCCCCTTTTCATCTGTCCATTTCCCGGACCCATTCATGGAGCAACTCCGCCGGATACTCCCGTGCCACCCCAGCAGATCTATCTAATCCACGTAAGTCTTGCGCAGATGCTATTTAGACGGCCCGTCGCCTCGAGTCCACCCTGTCGTGACCTCTAACAGGGATGCTACGGCGCCGGGGAGACAGCAGGGTGGGATACTCGATGCAATCTGTCCATGGGTCCTTGGAAAAAGTTTACGTCTCACATTCCAAGCCGGGAGCCAACCGATCCAAATGGGAAGCTGCACTTGAAGGAGGAGTGAACAGTGGCTGGAGCAGTTGGCCGAAGTCGACCTGGAGCAGTGGTCGCCCCATCAGACTATGAGGAATTGCGAGTCTTGGGGGGGGGGGGGGGGGGTCCTCCTGTGCTGCCTTGGTTTCGTTGAATCCAGCCAACCGAACGCCCATCTACTCTGTACAAGGCTACAAGTAGGAATGTAACACGTCAACTGGGCTGCTGCAGGTCAGTATGGATCTTCTCCTCATCCTTCTCCTCTTCTTATTCCCACCCCTCTTTTTCTTTACCTCCTCTCCCCAGCCGTGGGGGTAAAGTGGATTGGGAGGGAATTAGCGAGAAGAGACGGGAACTAGAACGGAAAAATAAATACTTTATAAATGTGAGTTGTGGTGTGGATGAGAAGATGGCGGAGTCTTTCGACGGACTGGCAATCTAGTTCGTTCTTGGTTGCTGATGCCGGTGCAGATTGCAGGTGCCGCTCTAGTCGCACACTGATGGGATGGGATGATAAGAGAGGAATTGATTCATCTGGACACATCCTCCTGCCGGCGCCCCTTTGGCCCGATTCCTCCTCCCCTCGATCCTCGGCATATCAAAGGAAGCGCCAAACTAATCGGGTGCTGACCATGCAGACTTAGCCACCATGTCGCATGGGTTAGTTTGCGTTAAGTCAACTGACAAGTCATCTTGACCTAGGCGATCTCACTGTGATTGATAATTGATATTCGACCATCGCCGTGGTCGGACTCCCCTTCGATCCACGCCTTCTGGCGCTCGGGATGGTTCGGTTAAGCTCAGAAAACAGGATCAAAAGGGGGGGGAGGAGGGAAGATGGGGTTGCGATCCATCACTTGCGGATTGCGCCTTTGCTTGAATGCTTTCTTTTTCCACCTCCATATCTTATTTTCCTCTGTCGACCATCTCCGCTCAGTTTTATTTTATTTTATTTCATTTCATTCCCCCCCTCTCTCTTTGGTAGAAAGGCTTGCCCACCATCTTGCCCTTTGCGGATGGAGGTGCCTTAGGTTCTTGGATGTTCCTCGGCCATGTCAGTCAGGATACCGGCAGGATTCGTCCGAGGGATCGAGGCGGCACGATCATCGAGCGAAAGGTGGCATCGCACACTTGTATCACGGTGTCCGTTGCTCAGTCCAAGGGTATTCACATATTGCTTCCCCCGAGCCCTGGAAAAAGCAGAAGATGCTCGGCAGTGGTCTTCTCTCCGTTTGGTAGATGTGTACGAAGGTTATATACCTACCTGACCTGTGAGCGAGGCCTTCGAAATGTTTGTCTCAAGCCACGGTGACATAGCCCGCCCGTTAACTCGCTTCTACACACACGCACTCGTCCACGCAGACCATACATACTTCCTTAGCCTCCGAGCCAGGATTCATGCATGCTGCACGTCCGGAACCAATCCGGGTCTAGCGGGCCACGTCTATCTGGGTGGACAGGTCTCTGTCCTGGAATATGGGCGACCAAGCTATCATGCTTCCCACAGTGGCCAACTATAGGCTTTGGCTGTAAGCAGCCCCCACGCATCTGCACGGCAGATGGCTTGTGAAAGCGATTGTTTTCGCACAACATCACAGCATGCGGGAGACACAGAGAGCAATCATGTAGGTAGGTATGTAGGTATGTATGTATGTATTTAGACATCATATGTAAGTAAGCGGCCATGTTAGAGACGGGAACCAGGCAACCGAGTGACAACATAGCTACGGACTACGAGTTGTACTTATCTAGGCTTTGGCAAGGTCTCAACAACCGTTGCGCTCTTGCAGGAGGACTCCTCCCGCCTACATACAAGCCCAGTCAGCCACCCATCAATAGCTGTCGCTTGCTATGGCTGTGGCTATCCGCTCCGAGTTCTGGACCTCCCGGGCCGTGCAAGTGAAGTAAGTACAGGGGCGTTGAGGTTCCAGGTCACCCTCTCTCTGCATACGACAGCTCAGCGACACAGCCCTGTTCTTGCAGGACGGTAACCATACTGGTCTAGACGTAGAATCTGGCTAGGAAGCAAAAGTGGTGAGTCGTGACACAAAATGGAGGGAAGCTTCAGTTCGTTCGCTTCTTGGACGTCCTGTCTCCTCCTCAAGGAACGCCCGTGGCCGCGAAAACGGGGGCAGAATGAGCGGGTCTCAACTAACGGGGGCTATCACGGAATACATTTGCCGGAGTACTCCGCTCCAATGTCGAAGATGCCTTACTCTTCCTGGATGCTGTTGAAGGGCACAACGTGGAGGGAAGCCGGGTGCAGCGGCGCTTCCGTGGCTATCTGCAACCCGCAACTTCCGGTGTCTGATGATTGCAGCAGGATGCTTCGGATGGCTGATTCAAGGTTTGACTGCTTTTTGGGGCCTCTTGTGGTCATCGACAATATTGCCTTCAGAGTCAATGCAGAGACATCTGGTCTAATAACTAGACAGCAAGTTGATGCCGGGCACACCAGGGCTTCTCCTAAGCGGGGCCCCTAATTCAATCCTTTTATTGCCCTGCGCCACAATATCTGGCTGGTTTCTGGTAGTCTAGTGGATGGGAGTTTCGGGGTGGAGATACTCGATCACCCAACTCCGCCCATTCCACCCGAAGGCGAAGTTTAGCTTGTCTCGATAGTTTCCAACCTTCTGGGTAGATGTTCCGAGGGCGGGTATCCACGCGTTCCTGAGAGTTAGGATCAATCAAGGCACCAGGTACCGTGGAGAAGCAAAGAGGAAGAATATTGAAGGATTTACATTTCTTCACTGATGCATTGTAGTACTCCAGAAGAACAACAGAGCAATTGAATTGTTTTCTTCTTTTCTTGCTGGTGGATCCTGCTTGGCGAAAAACGACACCCACCGCCACGAGCTCCTCCACTGCTGCTCTCATCTCCATTTACTCTCTTTTCTCTCCCACTTGCTATTGGTATCATGGTCAATCCTTCCTTAGTGACCGAATCCACAACTGTCTTGTTCCCCCCCGGTCTGTGGGACATGCAACGTCGGCTGTCGAGGGTAACACTGGAGAGAGGTTGACCCTGGCTGGACACGTCCGAGGCCAGTAGTTAGTTAGTCTAGCTCTCTATTTATCCCCAGTCCGCCGTCGTCATCATTCCTACCTCGGTCTGGGGACGGATCCGAGCTGGACTGGACTGGAGTTGAGAATCCAGAATTTCACAGAAAATAGGATAAGCCAATGACGATGAACCCAGCGAGGTCCATCAGGCCATCTGGGGCCGCTAGAAGGAAAGCAGACTCCAATTGTTCGCCAGGAAGCAAAACCCCCCGATCGCCATCGCCCCGATCAGCGGCGATACGCTTTTCTGCATTGCACTCGCTTCACCCACTAATTTAGTTGCAGCTGTAGCAAGAGAGGTTGCGAGCCACCCGATCTGTTTTTCTTCTTTGGTTTTTTATTATTTTACACAGGGAGATGGATACGACCATCTACCGTGCTGGAGACAATATTCGTGTGTGACCGGCTTTCGACACAGCATCTCTCTGGCCAGCTAAGCTAGAAAGCAGGACCAGCTGGTGGGTCCCCACAGCGGACTTGGGAGGAGGATCAGCCCTTCATGCTTCGACATCATCATCATCATGACTGTGACAACGATGACTTTGCCTCTGCCTCTGCCTTTGCCTTTGGCTTACTCTCAGCCGTGCTCCTGGCGCTTGACGAAACTCGCCTCCCACTCAGCTGTTCCTACTGTAGCTGCTGCTCAGTGGCTCGACTGCCTCGTCTTCTCCCGCGAGGCTGATGTATAGTTGACTTCATTAATATCCTGTCATTGTACACCGCTACAGCTCTTGGATACGAACAAGATTGATCTCTCTTTCTCTTCTTCCACAGTCTCTCTTTCTTCCTCTCTCTCTCCGTGTCTGGATGAGATGTGGCCCCAGGTGAACCTTCCAGAAACCGAAATAGTCCTGCATGACCCGGACCCTCTCGGGATGCTGTTGTGCACGCACAGTTCCATCTGTTCCCTCTTGCTCCATCCATCTTCTTGACCGCTTCTCTAATCTCTTCTGTATTGTGTATGATTTTCTTTCTCTCTCTCTCTCTCTCTCTCTCTCTCTCTCTCCAATTTCCTTTTTTGGATTTTTGTTCACTTTTTCTTTTTTTCTTTTTTCTTGTTCCGTCTTTCTAAATATTCAATTTCTTTTTCAGATTATTCTCTTCTGAAAATTCGTTCAATTTATCTTATTATATTATATTATTTTATTTATTTATTTATTTTATTTTTTCAATTCACTTCCCTTCTAGGTTTATCTCATATTTCTTTTCCACTCTAGAATGCTACCTGTTTGTTCCACTGGCCCGCCGTTGACTGGCGTCCTTTATTATTGTTGCTATTATCGGTCATACTATTGCCAACGGCCCCGATTATTTATGGAGACAACGATTATTGATGCTTGAATCCGGTTTATTATTCACAGCCCATGTGGGGAGGGTCTGCTCGGCTGCTCCTAGACGGGCCCCAAGACCTAACGGTCCTCCCAGGGGCCGGAGAATGCATTCCTTCCCTTGGCCACCAGTCGACGATTAAATGATGCGACGGCCAGCTCGCTTGATTGGAGTCGTCGGCCCACCGCTAGGCTTTAGCCATGATTTCAGCTCCTGTATCAAAAGGTAATCTCCGTCCCTTTAGCCTATCCTGGCTCCCGGGTCCCAGTGGTTCGGATCTGGATCAGCCCTCGTCTGCCCTTCTTCTTTCTGTCCTGTAATGCGCCACTTGCCGCCATGCTTTCTGGCCGCTCGGATGCCACAGGCAGCAGCAGCAGCAGCAGAAGCAGAAGCAGCTTTTTTGTGCTCCGTTGATGGGAGCCCTCTCTCGCCTATCCAGCTCTCCCCGTGAGTTGTCAAACGTGGCAAAAGGTCTTGAAGAACGGAAAGTAGTCTGCACCAGCTGAAGGAAGATAAGCTCTATCATTCCAGCGTGGCCAGCTTTCTGCAGATTTTCTCTGGTGGTGCAATGCACGGTGCAATACAATAGAGCTAGCTGTTTGGATTAATCCCCTTATCTGGGTTTCTACTTCTGTTTCTGTTTCGGTCCCTGTTCCTGCTCCATTCGATCTACCCTCGTTCAAACCTGCTGGAAGCCGGCCGGTGTGTCCTCGTCAACTACCCAATTTTTACCTTCCTTTGTGTACATCCGTTGCCTTGGGCTCGAGCCCTCTCCTCCTTCCGGTTTCCGTGAGGTTAGTCCCCGGCCTGTTTCATCTGACGTCGTTTATTCCCTGCCCTATATGCCTGTCCTGGGGCGTTCTAGAATCTGACGGAGGTTGATATCAATACCTGGCATCGGGAAGGGCTTGGTTCCCGATCACACGTTGGTACTACATCCTACAGGGATAAAAGGACCCCCGGGAACAAGGTAGCGGTGTCCACTGCTACGTATTTCGTCATTACGTTGTTCTGTTGCTGAGTCGTACGTAGTCTCCTCCAGTGTCAAAAGGGACAGACCGATCCCCTTCGTCGTTGTTTGAACAGAGATCCCGCAAAGCATTTTGACTGTTTCTGGCATGTCTGCGTATTCACCTTCGGCCGGCGTGCCGTTCCCGTGCATGTCGGGGCAGCCTTCCTACCTGGAACTGTTTCCCTCGGGCGAGATTCCCCATACCTTTTTCACGTATCAGTGGTGGGAGGACGAGGCCACCACTGTGTTCTGGGCCTTCGATCCCCATGAGATCAAGCGGGTGATCCGATTCGGACTGTTTCGAGACAACAACCTCCCGCGGAAGTCTCTTCAGAAACGCGATCCTCAAGCCATTACCGCGTTCCTGTACTCGCTCGTGGAGCCGCATGAGATGGCATTCATCGACAATCTGTCCCATTATCAGAAGGTCGAGGAGATTATCCGACGATGTCAGATCTCCGGTCCTCCTCTCGAGCCTTGGAGCTGGCTTCCTACCAAGCGGGATAGTGACCTGCCCTCGATAGCAATAGCAGAAGCCATCGACACAGAGAGTCATCTTCATTTCACGCGAATATCGTTCGAGGAACTGGTCCGCTACTTCCTGGGCTACCGAGCACCCTCGGTAGAGTGGTTTTTACAACAGCATACAGCGCTTTACATCCACCTGCTCAACTATCTGCAAATGTTCCCAGAGGAGCTGGGGAAGTACAAGGAGGTTGAACAGGTACGTAATTGGTATGCTAGCATCATTGCACCGCTGCAAACGTGCTGACGCCGGAGCAGCATCTTCAGACTCGCAGCCCTTTTGCCCACCGTGCCGTAAACCGGTGCCTACACGCCATGAGACAGCCAGTACCAGCCAGTCCGCCGTACCCGGGCTTCCAGTTCATAGCAGCGCCTATCCAGCAGTTGTTCAAAGAGCATCTACCGAGTCTGAAGGCCATTCTGCTTGAGCTCTCGGTACTAGGGGTACGGTTTACCCGAACATACGTCCACGCCCGAGAGATGAACTGGACGAAGCCATTCTCGGTCGAGATCCCCCTGCTAGATGAGTTGGATTTGACGAACCCAGCCCCAGCTCTCGATTTTGCCAAGACAACAACCGCTGTCGACGAAGAGTACTTCTCAGGACTGAGCCATAAAAGCTTCGTGGAACCCGATGCCATAATCAAACGACTCCTTGTGCTATGGGAGTTACGCAGCCTGGAAGTGTGGGAATGTTGCACAGGACTACCAGACATGATAGGCTACATTCAGGAAATTGTCGAGGTACTATCCTTTCTGTGAGAGTGTATAACATGGAACCATATACTAACAACAGCAGGCTCTCTATACCTGCCGCAATTACCACTCCTTCACGTCGATACTCAGCGGTCTTTACAAATACAGCACGTCCCACTCGACCTTCACGCACACAGACAGCGCCACCAACCGGATGACGCTGACTCCGGTGCTGCCCCCTGCACTAGCGTACCTGCTGGACCCGACAGAGAACTTTGTGGCCTACCGACAGGAGTTCCAAACGTCGCCGGGCCTCCCTTTCCTCTTCCCGCACATTAGGGAGTACCAACAGCACGGCCCGCCAGCCCTGCACCAACTGTTCCAGCAATTGCAACGTCAGGTACCCACCAACTAGACTAGTAGCACACGTGGCGGTGGTCTGAGCTTGGGGCAACAAGATGTCATCTAGACGCAATGGATGAACGGCTAGGCAGCACACAATATGGGCAGTAATATGACGCGTACCAGCAGAGAGACAGGATGAGAGAAAAAGGGAAAAAAAGCTATCTGGTCTATCTGGCTAAGCAAGTAAGCCGCTGATTAATATGACGACTTCTTTCCTATCCTATCGTTTCCTATTCCTTGTGTTGACTGATTTGATTTATTGATGTCTTGTGATCATTCCCCCTTTTTCTCCTTCTTCTTGATTTCGGATAATCCCTGTTCTTTTTCGTTCTTTGGGCATGTATTTCTACTACACAGCATACTGCAATTCTCATTGAAATTGAATCTAGACCGTGAGCTTGGTGCACTTCCTTTCCGAACGGGGGTGTTAGAATGGCCACATAGTTAACTAGACAACCAGTCATGATAGGGTAGGGTACAGCCAGCCGAAGATTCACAGGGTAGATAGGGGTCTAGACCATTGGCAATAGTTCTTATTATTCTTGAATAAGTGTACGTTGGGTAGGATATACGATAGGCTAAGCTAGAAGTAGAAGTTAGTCTATTAGTAGCTTAGACAGGGGAAGGGATGATGATGATGGTGGTGCAGTGGGTATCGGATAACTCCGAGCGGGTCAGGTCGAGATGAAAGAAAGACAGTTTTGAAAGGGGAAGGTAAATCGGTGCTGTAATACTACTACTAGTAGTTTTATTTCTCTTTACCCGAGAAAGGTAACTGTCGATCTCAATGCCATCATTCCTCTCATTCATGTCCTAGTTACTTAGACTAGTGTCTAGTGACTAAGTAGTTGGCTAACAACGGCGATTGATAATCCCCGGGTTCCCGGGATCCATCCATCCTACACTTTATGTCCAGTGATTAATAAACCCATTTCCAATTTTTACCCTTAGAATATAATCACACATCCACCATCCACACCACATGAAACACAATCAATACCCCTTCCTCTTCCCCTTACCCTTACCCTTCGCCTTCATCTTCATCTTCCCCTCACCAACCTGACCAACAACACCCCCCAACCCACCCGCCAACACCACAACCCTACTCAAAAACAGTCCCGCCGTAACACCCACATTCCCCCACGTAAGCGCATTCCACCCGGCTATATCCACGAACCTCTCCCATCCCATGGCATACCCCGCGGCCAAGATATGCGTCAGATCCGTAACCGCCAAACACACCAGATAGTTGCGCAGGACTTTGGGCTCCGAGGTGCTGTGGATCAGCGCGATGCCGAGAAGCGCGAGCAGGAAGTAGATGTTGGAGAGTTGGTAGGCGAGGGAGAGCGACGAGGGAGTGATGGTTCCTGTGGTGTCTGGGTTATGTGGGATTTGGGATAGGATGAAGGAGGAGGGTTGCAGGTGGGGGTAGAGGGAGCCGCCGATTCTGTTGAAAGTTATTAGTAGTTATGGGGATGGGGGATGGGGGGGTGGGGGGACGTACAGGGCTAGGGGCTCGAAGATGCCGAAGATGAAGTAGGGGATTGGGGGGAATATGGTGGTTGGCATTTTTGATCCAGTTTCAAGGTGGGATTGTGGTGTAGGGGTGAGTGGTGTGTTGTGTTGTATGGGTGAGGAGAGGGTGAGATGGAGTAGAGTTAGTAGTTAGTATATGGAGTAGATGGATAGCTGATTACTGGATTGGGGATAGTGGGTGGATAGTAGTAGTAGTAGGCTATGGGTGAACTTATTTAGAACCATGGAATGATATATACTGCTTTATTATAAGCTGTGATTAATCCTTTCTATATTTTCTTTTCTTTTTCTTTTCCCCTTCATATCTACTTGTGTTTAATGAAGAAAGGTCAATGTTTGTAGAAATTTGGTGGTTGCTTTGATGACTTGAATGTATCAAGTGATCCCATTGGGAAACTGTATGCTTCTTTGGGTCTGCACTGTTCATCTTCAACCAGATATCCTGATGAATGTGCTCTATCATTCAATTATCACCATGTCCCACTACTGAAAATAAATAAAAGACCTAGTCCAGCTACAACAGTTAACCAGTTAACTACTATACAGATACACAGTAACCAAGTAACTCACTAGTTAACTAGTTATCAACCAGTTGGTTAACAGTTGGCTGACTCATCAGCCGCCCACCTGGATTCAAGTCTGCTTCAATTCTCCATCTGCTGCATCTGCATCTCCTCCACACCATCCATCAACCGTGAAAATGGCCGTGGCATCTCCCCTATCCTTCTACATGGTGCTCTTCATCCCTCAGTGATCGTCCCCTGAATGGGTGTATGGGTGCCCCGCCATGGATTCCACCGGCTCCTATACCCGCTCCTTCGACGAATCCTTGATTCGCGAACTACCCCAGCTTCAGTCTCTCCGCATTGCTCCCCTCCGTCAGCCGGTGTCTCGCCTCTTGGCCGTGCCCTCCCCGCTCGAACCCAGTGCCAGTCACGTCCGAGAACCCTCCGGTAACAACAATGCCGGCATCCACCCTGCCCGCAATGACTCGGCCCCATCTGGAGCCACCGAAGGGGCAGCTGCTCCCCGACCGAAGAAGTCGGATGCCCCTGCGGACTCCCTCCCGAGCCTGGAGGCGCCTCCCCGGCCAATTCTCCCGGCTTTTGTCAACCTCCGCGCCCTAGAACGATACCCCTACTCCTCGTTTGATGACGACGCCCTTCACTTCCGCAAGCGCAGGCGTCTGGGCGGTCAGGCGGAGACGTTTAGTGAACATCTCCAGCTGCCCATTCCCCAGGCGCAGAAGGAGCAGCGTCCGCCGCCCTTTGGCCCTTTTGCTATTCTCAATGGTCTCAACGAGCCACCTCCAAATGCGGCCTTGCTTCCTCCAATTGAACCCGGCTCGATCACGCAGCTACTAACCAAACCATCCCGAGGCAGCGAGGCTGTGGAGCCGGGCTTACTTACTGCTAATGCTGCAGATAGCCAGATCGCGGAGCGACGTGAAGGTCGCATCGAAGAAATCCTTGATTCTCCGGTCGAGAAAACGGTGGACGGCGATTCGAGCGATATCGCCAGTGGGCTGCTGGACGATGTTGCTGCAGCGGAACGGACAAGATCCGAAAAGACAGACCCCGAGACTGACAATAAAGACGCCTCCACAGAGGACAATACCGAGCCTCTGTCGCCTAAAACGCGGGGTCGGTCCCGCAAGAACCTTCGTAAGTGGACCGAGGAAGAGACGACTGCTCTGCTGCGCGGGGTGGTCAAGTGCGGCATCGGCAACTGGACGGCGATTCTGGCCCAGCCAGAGTTGAAGTTCAACAAGCGTAGCGCATCCAATTTGAAAGATAGGTATGGTATAACCATGGGTGGACGTGGAGGAGACACTGGATGCCAACTAAGTATAATTTAGGTTTCGTGTGTGTTGCCCCTGGGCATATCGGTAAGTCAGACGCAACTGTCGGCTGTGCACATCTAATCTTCCAAGGGCCGCGGATCCCAATGAAGCCACCAGGCAGCTGCATGACACGCTTGCGAACGCCCTCTCGCGAGCCGAAACCGAAGGGACCGACGGACAAGCGGGGAAGATCCATCTCCCACACCCGCGGGGTGCTAATGCAGAGGCCAGTGGCGCTGCGGTGAATGAGGCCAGCAGCTCCAAGGACGCTGACTCGAAAGGCAGCAAGGCCAAGAACAGCACCTTGTCAAAGACTACCCCCACGCTCTCTAGTAGATCCAAATCCACGCTGGCGTCGTTGGGCATCCCCGAGCCACACTTTACGATGAAGTCGCGGCGACGCTCACGCCGCCCGTTTACCGTCGTCGAGGACGAGGCACTGCTGAAAGGCTACGCCGTGCATGGCTTCCAGTGGACGCTGATCCAGCAGGACAAGCGACTGAACCTGAGCCACCGCCGGGCGACGGACCTGCGAGACCGATTTCGGACCAAGTTCCCGCACGCCTACCGGGACGGAGGGTCCGTGAGCGGACGGTTGCCCCAGGGGGGGAATCCCCACCCTGGCAAACAGCATACTGCACGGGTATCTGCTCGCGGGCAGGCGGAGAGCGGCAATGCGCGCGGGCCAATTGATCCTGCGCTGTCGCCTCCAGCCCCGCCGCAGGGGCTCCACGAGAGCACGAGCAGTGCGGGGGTATTTTCGTTTGCGATGGACGAGAATTCGGGAGTGGATGCGACGTGGGCAGATAATACCTTGGCGCCGATGTGGGATGAGCTTACATAGGGAGCTTACATGTGAGCTTGCATAGATAGAGTAGTTGCATATTAAACATTTGCAGTAGATGCAGTCACCATCGGTAGATAGGGTTGCCGCATATTAGAATTGCAGATATAGATATGCCCATGGATGATAACAGCTTTTATGCTAAGATAACCGTGACAAAGCCACATGAACAAACAAAACAAAACACTGATTGCAGACATTGCAGACAGAACGCTAGTTACATGATATCCGCCATACAAGAGCAGAATGGAAATAGACAAGACAAAACGGATAACAAAAAAGAAAGAAGCACATCTTACCTCATAGACCGTTTACCTGCAAGCAATTGCGAATGCAATTCCAGCTAACAACATACTCTCCACCTCCGTTTATTCACATTCTCCCATCCCCTCCCCTCCCCTCTAAATCATCATCATCATCTCCCCCCACAGTACGTACGAAGGATCAATTACCACGCATTCCGATCCCAATTCGGATCTACACAAAAACCCCATTAGCGTTAGCACATTCACCCCACCCCATCCCAAAAGAACAACCAAGAAAAGTTCTGAAAGAGAAAAACATACCCTGCACAAAACTGGCCAAAACCTTACTCCCCGTCTGCAAAAGCGGATGACCGGCGACAATCTGCAAAAACCGCTGCAAGCCCTCCCGTCTATGCTCAATCACATCATCAGAGAACCGATTCGTAAACACCTTCCCCGGTAACGGCGGGATCGTGACCCTCGTCGATTCCCGCTCCAGTATATCCCGGAAGTACTCGAAGTCGGAGTATCGGCGACGCACGACGGAATGTTTGAGTTTGAATGCGGGGATGTTTGTCCGGCAGACGATTTCGTACGAGGTGTACATGTTGCGCGAGGTGCCGTGCGTTTGGGGATTCCTAACCTGCGGTTTTTAGGGGGGTGGATGTTAGTTGGGGGGGTGTGGGTGGAAGGGGGAGAGGGTATTGAGGGAGGAGGGGGGTTGGTACTTCGATCTCGAGGAAGTTTTCGGGAGGACCGTAGATCTCCTCGAAGGTTTGTTGGCGGGATTCCGGGACGGCTTGCATTTTCAATGTCTTCCTCTTCTGTGAATTGTTTCTGGGTGTGTAGGAGGGGGTTTGGTGGTGGGTGATAAGTGGGAGAGGAAGAGTGTAATGGATGCGGGGAAGCTCGGTGTGCGTTGCTTCCCAAGGTGGTTACTTCCGGGTATCTCGTGGGAATGTGTGGTGAATCCCTGTGTCGTGGATGGGAGTCAGAACTAGAGACAAAGAAAGAGGGGAGTGAATCACCACCTCGGATTGAAAGATAGCAGGTGGATTTCTGGGGTCTCTGTATAAAGCAGGATGACGACGATAAGAGGGGCTGGAATTCCCGCCGATCGGGAAATCGGTGCATTGTTGCTCCATTCCGCTGTCACTGTCACTTACTTTGGTTACAGATTTTCTAGAAACGACCATTGATTCATGTATGCTGGTTATCTGCTATGATATTTGTGAAGTGATAAGCTAAAACTACCAACCAACTCCTATACTCAAACTATAACTACATATGCAAGCAAGCAAGCAAGCAGCAAAACGGAAACCATATTCAGACCCTTGATTGTCTAATACACCCCATCGGTGCGAAAAAAAAAAGATGAACATAGACTGCAGTGATAAGAACCAATTTCCCCGAACCCGCGCAATGAACCCAGATAATAATAGATAGAAAGAGTAGAGAAAAAGAAAAGAGGAAGGTAAAAAGGCAGGTGTACAGAAGGGTCAATCAAGCAATTCACTCCTGGCGACTGCGCTTGGCCCCATGAGGGTTCCATGATCCATCGCCGACGCCCTGGTTGGGAGGAAAGAATCCCTGGTTAAAGGCTGGGTTGGGGCCCTGGAATCCACCTTGTCCTGCTCTGCTATCAGCCTAAAGCACACACACACACTGTGCTGGAATCTACTCACCCTGCATCCCCATGTTGCCCGTCATACCTCCCATCATCGGATTCATTGCCCCTGGCATCGCATTCATTCCCATCCCTCCCATCGGATTCATTCCGGGCATCCCCATCATATTGGGTCCTGCCATGCCACCACCACGACCGCGCATGCCTCCAGGGCCACCGCGCATACCGCCCATCATGCCCCCGCGGTTGTTGAAGCCGTAGTTCTGCATCCCCATGGGATTACCCTGGAAGCCTCCGCCCACCATCGGCCCTTGGAAGCCACCCATCGGGTTCTGGAAGTTACGGTTATTGCCGAAGTTACCACCCATGCCGCCGGACATGCCGCCACGGTTGTTGTATCCACCGCGTCCGCCCCGATAGCCTCCGCCCATGTTGTTCATGCCACCGCTAAAGTTCATGTTCGGGTTGGGCGAGTTGAAGCTGCCGGACATCGAGCGCGCCTGGTTGTCCTTGCGCATCGGCGCATCCTTGGGCAGCGTGCGGAACGGGTTCGGTTGCGGGCTGGTGTAGGTGACCATGTGCTTGCGCGTTTGTCCGCCGGCGCTGAATGACTCGATCTTGTGTTTCGTCGCTGTAGCTGCCTGGAGAGTGGTGAATTCGAGGAACGCTTGTCTGTTAACACCACGTCAGTGGACTGATGTGTCACCGCTGCTTCCAGCTTCCTGCTGCCCTCTTACCCTTTGCTTTTACCGTTCACTTTGTGTTCGCTGAACGTTACGTCCTTCAGTTCATCCTCGCAGTCCGCCTGGCACACCCAGCCACGGATGTCGTCATCCGTGGTCCACCAATACAAGTCCGATATGAGCAGAGCAGGGGTAGCATCAGGGTCTGTCGGTCGATCATCGTGCTCCTTGCGCTTGACTCCCTGCTGGGGAGCAGGGGCGTCCTTGGCCGCGGATTGCGGGTTTGCCGCCTGGGTTACAGGGTCACTATGGGGAGCGCCGCCTTCACTGTCCGGCTTGACGGTGCCGTCGGAGGAGCCGTCGCCTTGGTTGGGGTTCCCGTTCTGTGTGGGTTCCGGCGCATCTAGGATAAGCTCTGTGTCATCATGTTTCATCTCATCCTCGGGCTTAAAGTCGCCCTGCTCATTGGCGTTGTAGCCCCCGCCATCTCCATAGATGTCAATATCGAAGTTATCATCTTCGGTAGCCATGGTGTTTAGCTTATGATCGGATTCTCAAGGGAAAACTTGATTGCTTGCTTGCTTTGGTTTGTGGGATATACAGTCCTCCTTGGGTATCTTCTTTTTGTTTTCTTCTCTCCTCAGCTTCAGGATCGATTGATTTCAAGGGAAGTACATGTCTGTAGACACAGGCGGTCAATTAGCAAGGAGGGGATTCATCCACTGGATTTAGAAAAACAAAAGCAGGCTTCTGGGATCATCCTCCGACTCGGTGCGGGAACTCCACGGTTTTGGTTTTCGAAACGTTATAGGCTCACAGGGGACGAACAAGGCGAATCGATTGCAGACACAATCGAACAAACAGAGGATAAAAAAGGCTTGATGATACGTACAATTCGAAGCGAAGACAGCTTCAAAAAGAACAAACACTTGACCAGTTCGTCAATCTGATAGCTCTGAAACGGAGATTGGCGCCTTGTTCCAGGACTTTTCAAGTACAGGGAAAGGGTAGAAAGTGTTAATTGTTTCCAATGAAAAGGGGAGAATTGCAGGTAATTCCACAGAAGATGCGGCGCCGGATAGTGAGATCTGCTGCTGCCGGGACCGGCAGAGCGCTTGTGCTAGAGAACAGGTTCGAGATATGAACTTTCCAGATGAGAGTACAGGAAATGAAGAAGAAGAAAATCCAGCAAACAACGTCGGTGAGCGCAGTTAGTTCCCAAGCTCAGCTCTCGCGAGACTGATGTAATTCAGGTCAGGTCAGGTCCACCGGTTCACGTCCAGCTGGGATCCCCTGACTCGTCGCCGCTAACGCCGGAGGTGGCGAAAGAAGAGGAGAGAGCGAAGAAGTGAGAAAGTGCAGAAGTAGAAGAAGGGATAGGGTTAGGGGAAGACGATGGGGATGGGATGGAAGCGTTGGAAGCGTGGGAAGACGTGTCCGAAGCAGGACTGCGGGTGGAGCGCGATGGAAGCAGAAGCAAGAGAGAGAAGGACAGCGGCGATCTCGACCTCACACTCCGGCCTTCTCTCGGCTTCGGTTGAACTTCCGCTCCGGAACCCCAGATCGTGACGCGTCCGGCTGGTGTTGTTTCGAACTCTATCGCGATCACAAATGATTCACGAAATTTCTCTTCAGCTGTGAACTACTCCATCTGCGATGCGCCCAGTACTCTGTCTGCTGTGATGGTTTGTGGGAGCAGCACTGCCCGTCACGCCGGCCATCTGCTTCCCCGTCTGAGAGAGTTAAGAGAGACCGTGCTATTCATAGCCCGGCCTAGATTGTTGACTATATGTGATCGCGTTATCGATAACCCCGTCCTCGAGCGAGCTAATTACATTCTATGACTACCTGCTTATCCCAGGTCCTTTTGGCAACCCTCATTTATATTCAGCTAGCCAGCCAACGCCATGGCGGTCATGCAGTGGAACAGAAGCGGAATGCAGTTACCTGCCTGCGTATACGTCCAAATTCTCATCACCATAACTCATAATGTAACTCATCGTCCAATGCCGATCTTTGGACTGGTCGACTTCGGCTCTGCATCTTCTCCCTGAATAAGTTGAATTCCCGGACCGAGTTCAATCGGCTGTCGTAGTTCCCTGCCACCGGCGGATCGCCCTCGTCGCTATCCACGCCGTCATTCCAGGTATGCAGTGTGCACGTACCAGTGGACAATCCCCATCCATTCCAGGACGTCGCTGCAACCTCAGAATTAGCGCAATTGCCATCAAGAAGATCTAATATCAACTTACCCGCCAAGACAGGGCAGTTCGGGTGCCAGCTGGCATCCCGAACGCATGTTTTCCACATCACATCGCTGCGACTGCTACGGATTTCATACGCAGCGGTGAAGATATCAGGATCGCGCGGCCGCGAGTTGGCCGTCGCTTGCCCTACATCAATCGTTCCTGCAAGTGTGGCATCCAGATTATATACGTATACCTTACCGTCTTCACTGCCAGTATACACATATCTCGAGTTGGTACTGCCCGGAGGCGAGAAATGGCAGCGGATGAGAGTCTTGAGCACGCGGTGGCCCCCGAAAGTCACTACCGAACAGTCATGGGGATGAGGTTCGTAATAGTCGTCCGGATACGGTTCAAATCGGTAGTCAAACCCGGTCGTGTATCGGTTAACATCAATGGTGTCGAACTTGGCTGTCGTCATCATCTTTCTCAGATCCCAGAGCTTCATCGACTGATCTTTGCCGTTGGATAGTACGTATCGCCCGTCGCCCTTGCTGTCAACATAAGTTAACCCTTCTGTATGCCCCATGAACACACCGGCCTCGCGCCCGTCGCCCATCGAGCGCCGGTCCCACACTCGCAGCGTGGTGTCGTCCGAACCAGAGTAAAGAATATGGGGGGACGACTTGTCGCCGAAACAGACAGCATTCACATCGTCCTCATGATTCTGCAGCCGCAGGACGGACTGGCGCGTTTCCAAATCGTAAACAATAACCGATTGATCGGATGTGCCAGCCACGATCTCCCGACCGTCGCCTGAGAATCGAATCGACCAGATCTATACCAGTTAGATGAAATGAGAAGGGTCTGCTCTTGTCCGGTCGTGTGCATACCCCGAAATGAGAATTGCCATACAGGCCACGCCCGCCTCGCCTTCCTGAAAGCGACGACAGATCCAAAATAGCTGGATCGGAGGAATCTGCTGGATCTGTGGGCGCAAGACAGACCAGGTTCCGAATCGAACTGTACGCCAGGAACTTATTGTCCGGACTCAGACTGGCGTCGGTGATGGTCCACTGCCCAAACGGGTAATCGACCGTCTTGTAATACTTCCACTCGAACGGGTTGGAAGTATCGTACATCCTGACCTTAAAGTCCTGAGCGCAGCAGAAGAAGAAATTCCCATCGTCCGAGAACTGTCCAGAGTAGCACCGCGAGTCGAAATGAACGATCTTATCCGCCGTCGAGCCAGGAATGAGTCCCTACCAACAGTCAGCCAGAACCAGTTACATCCCTCTCCCCTATGATAATCCCACCTGCGTTATCGACTGCATATCCCTCCTCTGCGGCCCCGACACATCAACCCCCAATTCTCGCCACATGATCTTCGTCGCCAGAGCCCGTTTCCGCTTCTTCAATCTGTCCACATAGTGAGGGTTGGATCCGAAATCACCAGAACCCATGAGCTGCTCTCCCTCCTCGCTTGGTACCTTGGGAAACTGCTGCCCTCCCGATCGTCGTGCTCGTCGCCGGTACCCGAAGAATCCGAACTCGTAATCGTCCTCGTCTTCCTCTACCACGTTGGCGTCGTGTAGTCCGTTATAATGAAGGATATGGCGCAGACCATTCGAAGCCAGGAGATTCAGTAATCGAGCTGCGGAAACTGCTATAATGAGTGTCCAAAGCCTAAGCAATAGCAGCAGTAAGTAAGAATAAGAATGCGGGCACGCTACCTCTATTGTGCCTTCCCTCGTGACGCTCCTCACCATGTTGCTCATGGTCCGACTCATCCATAGCGAATTCAATGTGTATATTACCTAGATGCAATTCCGGATCTTGGAAAACGTAAGTTCTCAAAACAAAGAGAATAAAAAAAAGAAGTAAATCAACGCATGCAAAAGCAAAATCAAGCTAAAGTGACAGTTGTAAAGGAGGGGGCGGCGACAATCGTACCGAAGCGATGATCATCAGCATCATCGAGGTCTTCCTCGTCCTCATACAAATCCGCATCTAGGTCTTCTTCTTCTTCTCTTCCATCTGAGTCTATTTCATCCGGCTCATAGTCCATATCATCCTCGTCCTCGTCCTGTTCCAACCATTCCCTAGCGGGATGCCATACAGTTCCAGAATCTCGGGACGGAGACCCCGGTTGGGCGGGGGGCGAGCCAGACGGCGGCGGAGGTGGACTACTCATGATCGGCCGAAAACGTGAGGGGTGGGAGCAGTCGGTGAATGGGCTACTGGGATCATATCATAGCAGGCTAAATTAGCAGTCACCCGACTTCCAATAGCAAGGGAGTGCAATTAGTGATAAAGGACAGGGAGAGGTGTCGGGGCTGCGTCTTCAATTGGTCGGCACGACTGGCTCCGAAATAGTTGGTCTTGAGTCGTTGCTGGCCTGGCACCGCTTATCGATACCGGTCGGTTATGTCATCTCGGAGTGCGCGGGCTTGTTAACTCCTATCCCCGATGCTTGGGGGGGCGGAGGATGACATGGACTGAGTGGGAAAAGTTAAGGAACAGTGTGGTGTATCATACATTATAGCGATTAATGAAGCCAGTAACATATATTATCATACAAATGCAAGGGATATAAACATAAAGTCATGGGGTCGTAAATATCGTGAACAAAGACATTGTTAAGAGTACAATTAAAACAAGATAGTCAACCGAAATGGGCCTCTACGGAGGCAGCAGATTCATTCGATCAGGCTCTCCTCGCCGAGCCACGTTGATCCCTTCGTGAAGAGGTTCGACATATGCACCGATATGGGCTTGAAGTACTCCATCTCTTCTTCCGTTGCAGACATGACGCCGGTAATTAAGCTGGAAACAGCGTCCGCTACCACCTCTGTGCCTCGGCTGAACATCACCTCGAGAGTTGGGGAAACCTGGACACCTGGCTCGACTATCTGGAGCTCAGTACCTATCTTGCTAGGCTCGGAGACTTCCGCGGAGGTCTCTGTGGATGAAATCATCATTGGCTTTCTCCTCAGAACAGTGGCACGGAGGATGAGTATCCCGGAGATCACTTGAAGCTTCGTTCGCAGCTGCGAATGCTTCCTCCGCGGAATCTGTCTAGCTGTGGGTTGGTAACGCATCTTCTCCCATGGATGGGGTAAGTAGCGCCGACTGATGGCGGACTCGGTTCGTTTCTCAGAAATGCTCCTTTCACCGAAACCTAGACCGTTGTTTAGCAGACTCATCCATTGATGGAGAATGGGGCAAGCACCCACGGTACGACAATGACACTGTATGTAAAAGGGCTGCCTCGCAGACGAGCCAAGAAACAAGCATCTGGTCGAAGAAATCTTGCACTGCATTCAGGACACAGAAAGAAAGGATTTCGTACGACTGATATGTCGACTCCGTGGCAGACAACATATCGAGTGTTTGTATGAACTCTTCTGTCTTGAATAGGTTACCTCTTCCATATTTATGGACAGCTTCGAATGCTTCCTGTGGTCCTTTAGCGTCTAGAGAGGGTAGCGCTTGGCAATATGAAGTGTCTAGGTTCATCGAGGAACAAGTCACTTCAGAGTCAACAGGAGAATCCAGACTAAGTGGACAAGAACTGCCAAAATGTACACACCCATCATTGGCAGCTTTCAAGCCAAGGATGTGGTCATTCGATGATTTTCCAGCTTCCATGTTGGCACCTTTCGCAGGTTCCATATAGTGATCATGATCAAAAAGGGATAGAGGCTCCAAAGAGTGCTCAGTTGGCGACAGAGACCAATGGTCAGTCCAAAGTGGACGTCCTGGGATGCCTATGTCGCCTTTGTTAATGGTCCGCTTGCATCTTTCTGATTCCTCGCTTTCTTGAGGGTCTCTCATAGAAGCGGGGAGCTTGCAGGTATTGTCCGCGCAGAAGTGGCACTGGAAGATGGTCTCCTTTAAACGGCAGCACTTATCGCACTCGACTAGAACGTGTCCGCAACCCTGGCACCGCTTTTTGAAGAGATCTTCAGTCCTAAGACGAGGAGTCCGCTTGCGATCTGAAGCAGCATCGTTTGGAGGCCGTGATATACGGCGATAAGTTTCGTCACCGAGGTCTCTTAGATCAGATTCGCCAGAAGTGGATGGTGGGTAATCCTCCTTGTGCGAAACCGAACCGCAGCTTTCAGTTTCCTCTGTCATCTGCATCAGCGCCAAGTGCTGGCTTATGATACTAGATGGGGCAGGAACATCCATCGCGTGTGGTATGTCGCTGGAACAGCAAGATGGTGATGGAGCTACATCTGCGACGGTATCGGCCTCACCGCAGGAGTAGCTTGAGGTAGAGTCCTCGTCATCTCGGTTTGTAGTGCCCGTGTAGCCAGAGAAATTATGTCCATAATGGCCATTGTTCTGACCGGCATCACTTGAAGAAAAACTCCCATTGTTGCCGGGGTAGAACTGCTGCGGACCCGATGGACCGAAACCATTTCCAGGGGGATAATTTCCACCGAATCCAGTTCCATTGTTACCACCTCCTCCGCGATCATCACTGCCCCGTCTGCTCAAGCTTGCGCTTGAATTCGTCGAATCGACATTCTTGATACGACAATGGTTGGCAACGCACTTGAAGTACTCCGCCCAGCAGCTTACGGGCTTCCAACATAGCCCGCAATTTCGCGGTGGTCTCTGCCTAATCGCAAATCGATTTACTTGCGCTTGAGACACTTGATATATTCGGTGGGTTCTCATGTGAGGGTAAATCTTATCCCGCCTGTTTGTCCCCCAGTCGCAAATTGGATGGGCTAGGCACAGGTATCGAAATTCTGGGTGATGTTTGTATGAGACGTGGCGCCTGAAAGTACCTCGATCCGCGAATAGTATGTTGTGATTTTCCTTGGGGCAGAGATAGCAGATGTATCTGTCCCCATTGTGCGTGCTACCAGGCGAGTCAGACGAACCGGGCGAATGAGGTTGATACCCTGTAGTATCGATCTGGCGCTGGACCATCCCAATCAGTGTGTTGTAGCTGGCACTGAGTAGATCTTTTAGCTCATAAAGATGAGCTGCATCTTGCTGGGGGAGTTTTGCCTGAACTGCAGCTGCAAGTTTTGATAGAATAGGATTGAGATCATCGACATGAATACCACCCTGCGCTTGACACATAGTAGGGACTGCCAGTGACAATACGTCATCCTCGCCCACAGGTAGTCCCTGTATGCCATTGTCTGTCATCTGCATACCTGCCAGGTCGTTCATTGATCCGTCTGTGAGGAAGCTCGTATCTAGGTGCAGGCCATCGATTGGACTCATACTTCTCGAGGTCGATACTGGCGAGTACGGTGAGGATGGAGCATACTGCTTTATGCCAGAATGTTAGTCTCTGAAACGATGAAGCGCAATCTATTCATCCATTGACTGACTGATGAGGGGGCATAGGGATGAAGACCGGGTACCAGGTAATTCCCTTGGCGTGGTTGAGGGGGAAAGCCTGACCAGTGGCCTTGGAAGAAAGCATTTCTGCCGTTTCCCGTGTCATCTCCCATCGATAAATTTTGTTGAACCTTGCGTGATGTGAAGGAAAGCAATGTAATTCAGGGTGTGGTAGGCTAAGAATAGAAAGAAGCAACCACAAAAGACGAGATGAGGTCAAGTAAATGTCAGAAGGAACCCTCCGCTGTATCGCTGACAGGTACACAGATATTAAAGAGAGCGATTTTAACAAAGGAAAAAAGAAGATTGCTTTGACAAGCAAGGTCTAATACTTGTTGAAGTCCTTGGTTCTGCGAAGAGTGAAATCCAGCATAAGAAAGAAGAGTAGTTCGGGGGGTGATATTTCCGCCCTTTATATGATAGTAGCAGTGTAGGAGTAGGACGGAGTCATCCATCAAATACGGGCAAACGGGCACCCCCTCGTATTGACCGTTACTATTTTACAAAGTAGGTATTGCTTGAGTACCTCTGACTAGTACCCCTAGAGTTTGGTGACGTCTGCGCAGTAATATGGCCGATGTTGCGTGTGATACCCTGGCAGCCTTGTCGGCCATCCCCAGGCACCTTGGCTGGCCGGAACGTCATCGACAACCCAGCAGTCCCCCAAGCGATCATGAAGAAGCTTGCTGCCTAAGTTTCAGGACTGAAAAGTCATTAGTGACTGCGGTGTACTGGATAGAAGAGCTTCTATTCGCGAATTGAGAGCTCGGTCGAGATTTCCCTCGCTTTTGCAACTTCCAGATGTTACTGATGCTCACTTCGAATCACACTGCACTGCCATTCGTCGGTCACTACTAATCAGCCGCTATCTACGGAGTACTTACCTACTCCTGGCAGGATCGCCGCTAGCAAATTTGGCATGGTTGAGGAGCTTCCTACTGCTACGCAAGCTGATACAGTAGCTATTCAAGAGATCTCGAACATCCATGCTTGCCATCATCAATAAAGGGAATATGGTCCATGTTTCAAAATTTGTCCGGCAAATGGCTCTACAAGCTATCTACCAACAGGAACAATTTTCCGACTAGAATAGAAAGGGTACTAGCCTTACGCTGTCCTAACCACTCCACCGAGAATCGCGATCTAGAACAACCATATCATCCACCATGCCCAACGACAGTACAAGATAATCGACCTGCAGAGTGAGGCGGCATTAGCTCTAATATGAAAACATTCTTCACCGACCAAGTCCGGAGAGCGCCGACTCCCAGAGCACAACCGTTGTAGTTAGCAAATAGTGGATTAGCTGGGGTGAGATTAAGTGTGGCAAATGAGAAGCGGGTGAACGGCCAGGTGAACGTAGGGTCTAGACTAGACATCGGAGTTTTCAAAATCCCCGGAATGGGGACTGTTCAAGCACTGCTGCGCCACATTGAACTGGCAGTGAGAAGTTGTCGATGCTCGTCGACAGAAGAAGCTCACTAAACTCACTTTCACCCTCCATCCGCAACTTACCCCGCTTCTTCTCCGACAAGGCTAGCGTGGTTTTGGCTTCAAGGGCACTCGAACAGGTCAAGACAACAGGCACGAAATTTGATGGTAGATATTTAAAACGCACCAGGACTGCGTGACTTATTCGAATTGCCTCATTCTGTTCTAAAGCCCCTACTGGACAGATGCTGAAAAGCCTCTTCCCCTGCCCCGAGTTTAGCCGATGCATAGCAATTCTCACAGTAAGACCCGAGGCAATGGCAAAGGAGCAGTGCTGCTCTTTTGTCGGGGCTTAGTAGGGGATGAAGTAATGTCCAGGCACTGCTCTCCCAAACACCGCCCTTCTGCAGATTCGAGGACAACCTGCTATCGGTCCATTAACCCCAAATTGACGTAGGAGCGATGCCAGTTGTGCACTACCCGGGTTTCTCACGGCGGCTGTACAAGACAGTTCATCTCGTTGCGGATTTTTGACAACCGCGGCACCTACGAGCAAAGGTTTGTCCTGAACTTGAGCTTTGAGCTCCAAGCTACCAGTATTGTAGAGGTAGCACCTTGCCCTTCAACTTGTGCTGCGGACACTGTGCCTAGATATCACCAATCACCATCTGTCCAAACGGCACGTAGTATTTTCACTGCCTAGAATTTGCCACCCAGACCAGTGGTTTGCCAACACAAGCCTATTGCACTGCATGAATCGGGATACGACTTCCGCAAAGCTCACGGTACCTACTATGAGTCAGGCGTCTAGACTGATAGGCAACTAAGCCAAACCATCATTTCCCCTAACACACTGTCCGATCTGGATCACCATGGAGGCTCATTCTCAACTTCTTAGGATGATACCCAACATTCAATCGATTGCCTTGGGTAGCTATCGTGTGTCCCCGACCGTCCCTCTCGTCTCACGTAATATGCCTAGTACGGCCAACATATTGGAGGAAACGTACCAAGTACCTCCAGTGCTTGACGGGCATGTCCGTTCAAGGACCATGGTCCGATGCATCCTACGCCCTGGCTATAAACTCTAACGTTGTGCTCGCAGCATGTAGAGTGGATGTCCCGTCGCTTATGCAGACTATGGGTTTCATAACAGAGCCCCCGTTGTTCGTATGCTGTAACAAGCCCAGTGCCCGTTGGGGAGAGAAAAAAAAAAAAAAAAAAAAAAAAAAAAAAAAAAAAAAAAAAAAAAAAAAAAAAAAAAAAAAAAAAAAAAAAAAAAAAAAAAAAAAAATTGAGAAGATAGAAAAATAAAAATAATAAATAAATAAGATGATAAATCCTAATGCTCCCATTCGTTCCCATTATGCAGATACACCCGCCCTTTCCCCAACCCATTCATCATTATATCCTATCTCCTACAGGCCGTTCCAGAACCGCAGTTCCCTGCCTTACCTAGTAGTACTATCTACCAATACTATTTGTACCAACCACAGAAACTCTGTTCAACAACTCTTTTGGGAATTATCCTTGCGATATTTTCACGACATAGTTTACCTCTCCGTAACCATAAAGTTCTGACGCTCCTTACCAAGAGGTAGGGCATTTCTTAGCACTCTCATCAGTCTAAGCCACAATAAAAAGTGAGGCGTTCGATGCCTGGGGTTGTGAGAGGTGTAATGGTGCAGTATCCTTTGCACAGCCGCAAAACCTGAGGTCTCGGGCATCGAAGGGTGTAGGAAATTGCAGCAATGTCAGCTCTAATAATCAAAGGATCTGTAACATCACGGCCTGTTCTCCGACTATTTTCCTGTCTGGGTGGTGACCTAGCTCTATCATACTCGTGGTGTATATTTTGTGCACTATGCCAGCATCCGGCTATACGCGAAGTCAGAGCCGGACACCTGTCCCACTATGGAAAGAAGTTCGGTTCATAAGCTTCTCTAATCGTAGATAGGGTCGTAGTACACTCCAAAATATTAATGCAAGACGGGCTGCTGAGAAACATCACAAGAAAGAAACAGACCCATCCCAAATTAGTCATATAATTCGTAAGCAAACATACGCCTTGCAACTCCCCCACGTGACACATCCCAGAGACCATGACTCCCTGCTTGAACGATGAAGGAGAACTAGAGAACAACATGATTGACAACCATAAGCATGCATCTGACAAACACGTGATGTCAAACAGATGCGAAACCCGCAATGTATCAGGAAGCCTGGGTAGTATCCCCAATAGGTTCTCCCAAGATATACCACTGGGCCAGTGATTTAAAGGCATCGGAGTTTCCGTGGCTGAAGTCATACATCTTAGTCGGGCGCAGCACCAGATTCCCACCGTGGAAAAATGCTTCAATCACTCGGGCTTGTAGCCCCATGAGCGAGAATATCAAGACCTGGAGCACACATCAGCTCTGACAAGCGACAAGATTGATTGGTGCAGTCGTTACCGGTGAAACCATTTCATGAATGAACTTCCGCCTCCGAAGCTGTGTCAGCATAATTCGAAGGATTGGCATCAACTCGCCGAAGAGGATTGTGGAATCTGTGGCGACTAGATTATTGTACATGACTGCCTTGACATGTGGACGTGTAGGGCCGTTCAACTCGGCGATACGATAGCACCCGAACTCAGGCTGTTCATACTTGTACAGACTAGATTTTTCAAATGGTGAATCGCCAACACTACATAGCACCCGTTAGTACATATTGCTAGATCACAGGGGGGTGCCTTATTTACCATTTCGAGAACCAGGTAGTCCTATATCCTTCACGGTCGGCCTTCATAGAGTAATAGGTAATGTAAGAAGAGAAGTGAATATCTACCGCATATGCACGATCGATAGGACTGGTGAAAGCTGGCTCCGTTTCTTCATTTAGACCATTATATGGTCCAACAAGGTCATCATCCTTGGGATCTGGAATTGCGTGGTCTTTCAAAGGGGCGAAATACGATGGTTTGTGTGGTGACGCCTCATCTAGCGACATAAGATTGACTCGAATATTGAGTTTTTCCAATAGCTGTAGGTCTAGTTCATCAACTCGAAGGCTCTTGATCTTCAGCGCCAAGTCCTTCAGTGCGGCCCTCATTTGGCGGCGGGCTGGAGCTTCCAGCATGGGTGGCATGGCGATGGATAGCTGGGCTTTATAAGTTGAGTACAACCGAGAACTTGGATTAACACATAAATGGGTGGTTTATGAGACATGAAAAGGGGGATTTTGTGCTCTCTTATGATGTTCCTTTGTCTCCCAGGACGTCGCATTGGAGGTGAACGAACTGTGTTCACTTTGGAAGCAGCAACATTGGTTGCCGGGTAACCAATCAGCGATCCCAGATTCACAGCTTCCTACTACACATTAAGCGCTGTGAAAGCCCCATCAAACCCATTCATCCTACGACTTTAATACCTTGATAGTTTAGCATGTGATGAATGCGACTACATTGAGGGATAAGCATTTCACTTTACTCTACTAGACATGTCGGAAATTCTCTTGAACAGCTATTGGCTTTCTCACATATCACTTTCCTGCTCCGGTTGCTGTTCCTTGCGTATAACATCATATCGCAATCGCTCACCTCGATCGAGCTCCGATTACATTGACCACCGACAGTTCTCGAAGTGATTCTATGCGCATGACGGTGTCCAAGTGGTCTCTAACTGACACCATGACGACAATATGTTATTGGCCAGGGCCCTTCTAGGATAATGGGGTAGTATGCATAAAACTGTCATAGCCAGCGCAAAGCCACTAAGTCGAGCTTTGTATATGTTGATAGAATATTCATCGTAGTCAGGTACTTCACTAGATCCTCTGTCACTTACATGATCTTTATTCACAGCCTTTCTCTTCCCAATCTTCCTCTCTTTGGGATCTCAAACGTCTAGATGGCCGCGAATATGCAACTGCATCATCATATCTCGACGTATCTTAATCAGATTCCTGCTCGCCTGCTAAATTGTATCGTCAGTTTCCACATTCCTACATCCCTAAGATCGTCATGTCGGGCGTAACAGACGATCTACCTTCGAATGAGAAGAGATGGGAAGCTGCCATGGCTCGGATGGGCCTTACAGGCCAAACTATCCATGGCGCAGAGCTGAACTCTGCCTCAAAGATTGAGTACAAACAGTTCTTGCTTCTCCAGGTACTGTGGGAGACGCGCCATATTCAAGATCTGCCGAAAATACTCCCTGAATTCAATAAATGGATCGTGAAGGCAGAGGAAATGCTTCGAGACTACAAATCATGGCAGACATATTGTCAAGAATTCTCATCACAGGATATGGGGGAAGGAAACTTCACCATTGCACGACACTATCAGCTTGAGGTTATAAGCACAAAAGATGAAGTAGATCCGCGGTCACTCGCAACTCCTATTGCACATCGCACACGTGCTCGAGCATTTAGTCGAAAGTTAGCTGATATGTATTTGGAGACACCCTCAAAATCCAAGAATATCTCCGACTTTCTGGATGTAGAGGGTTTAAGTCTCGATACCCCTGAGGACACGCCAGCGAAACCGAGCCCGGAGACCCCAAGTCCACTTCAGGAGACATCACCTCCTTCTAAAGAGCAAGTGAGCGCACTATACCCCCCGACAAGAGATGAACAGATTGTCAATTGCGCCCTTGTCATCTTCATGAATGCTCTGACTGTGCCGTTCAAGCTCGCCAACAATTGGACCTTGCACAGAAAGGTTTTTAAGGCTACTTTTGGAGAGGCTAGTTTTGAAGCCAGAACTGACGGGTATCTCGATGACCGGCAAGGTAACGCTCAGGCCATTATCGAGGTGAAACCGGTCATGCGAGCAAAGAAGTTGGCTGCTATACGAATGCAGGAGAGTGCTCAGATGGTTGCATGGGTCAAAAATGATGGCGTGAAAGCATATGCAGTGGACAAAGAGTATGTCAATTATCTCTCAACGACCACTCCTACGAAGCAACATCGAATGCTAACTAAGAAGGCGCTTTCTGGCTTCGCAAGATCGGCACGAGATATTCCTGACGGTTTCTCAATACGATGACGAATACATCAAATTCCTGGAAGACAAGAATCATAGTAACCAGTCCCGGCCATTTGTAATTATGCGTCAATTTGGTCCCTGGAGTACATTGAACCTGGCCCATATGATGAACATAGCGCCTATTCTGCTTGCAATATCATTACGTGCAAATTCCCAACTCAGACAGAAAAGAGAATTGCTGATTTAAAGGCCTGCTTCTAGGCTGGGCAGTAGCAATTGCAATTCTATGTTATTGATTCGGTGAAAGCAGGCACCTTATTACAGATCCTCCTACATGATTTCTCCCTAATCTTCCTCATCTCCCTATGTTCAGAGCAAGTCTACATATTTTTCATGGGTAATAGAAATAATATTAACTTCCTACTGCCCTTTTGTTCCTTCCTTGGTACTTTTTAGGAAGGCACGTATCTAGGCCGAGCACCATTGGTAAATCTGATTCATCGATTCTATGCTCTAGATCTTATCGAATAATGGGTTGCACTGAGACCTTATTTTATATCCCTTTTAGTGCCACCCATAGAGACATTGTTGACGTTGTCGTTGAGCTTGCAAGCCCATTTGAGACATCGGGACTATGCAAACGGTCTTATTTCGCTAATTCATTTAGACCACAAAACTTCGGAGCATTTTTGACGTGGAAATACATGTAGTTCATCTACAACTTAATTTTATATCTTGGCTTAGTATCAAACATAGCTGGTCATGATTGAGGTTATGATGAGGAACCACACTATTGCACCATTGATTCCATAATCTAATTTCATGTTGATTTACACCTAGTGTGTCCCGTCCCGCTGGATATTAATGCCGCGGAGGTTGTGATGAATGTATGAGTAGACTACATTTGTGGCAACCCATTGGTACATGATGCTTAGTCGATGTAATTTAGATCCTATAGAAAGATACGTTGACGAAAAGATACGATTTAGAGGTGGTACAAGTTTGATTCTTCTACATCGTCTTCATTGTAGAGTGTGTGGTATATACACAGGATCTCCCGCTCCCAGAAACCAAAAAGCGAGCTGCTTAGTGGGGGTGGTTCTTGTGGTGGCCTGTGAAATGGTAAGTCCTGCTGCACAATACACCAGAAGAATGTAGGGGACGTACGGAGGTGGAAGTAGTACTCCATGCTGTAGCCCAGGATCAGGATGGTACCGATGGCGTGGGCGAGGGCTATCGAGTTGCAAATGATCAGCGTCTTTCACACTGTAAGATATGATCAATAGAGTGTACTTACGAGCAGCGGAGGGGTTCTTTCCGAAGTAGCGAGCCTGGTAACGGCCGATGATGCCGGTGGGCTTAACTTCAGGGGCAGCACCACGGGGGAGTCTGGCGTAGAAGTTCACGACACGGTCCATGCGGGCAGCATCCTTGGCAGCACCGATCGCCTTTTTGACAGTTAGTTGAGTTCAACAGGTATAACGCGCGTTTTGTTGAGTTCCCGAGGTAAAGCACGAAAGAGATTGCTCCGGGCGGTAACGTCTAGGCAGGGTCGGGGAAGATGAAGATAGGGATTCTCACGTTGGGGGAAGCGATCTAAACATCAATTAGCATCAGAAAAAGACATGTTCTTGTCGTTATATCGGTTGTTCCTTACCTTGGGAGGGATCAAGGTCGAGAGACCGCGGCGGGCGATGTAGCTCATCTTGTAGGATCTGTGCGACCCCAAGTCAGAAAAATGTCGGATCAATGATATAATAGAAGCGAAATGCAGAGCATAACACTAGGAATAACCAGCTTACCTTGACGCTAGCAGGTGAACTAGGACAATGGATAATGACGGAGAGAAGGAAGAAGTGCCAACGAGAAAGCGGGTTGTCGGAAGAGCGGTTCGACGCAGGGAGGCTCATTCAGCTCGCGCTAAACCGCATTCGGACTCGTCTGAAGGCCGGCACTCGCCGCATACCTCAACTTGCAATTGCTCTACCGCAGCACCTTGCTCTCTCGACTCATCCAAGCACAACCTCGCCATCATGTCGCTTGCTAGAGCAGGAAGATTCGCCTGCCTCCGCGCCGGCAGGCTCGCCACCCCTGTCAATGCGCGTTTTGTGTCTACAGGCACCGGTCGAGGCGACCCTTCCCGCACATCCAGCACTTCTGATGCCCCGACTGTTCCTCACACGGAGAGCACCTTGATCCGCAAGGAGAGCCCTTCTGAGGCTATGACCCGTCATCAGCCCGATTACGATGCTACCATTGATCACGGCACCTCGTACGAATTTCTCCCACCTGGCAATGCAATTGGAGTGGTCAAACTGACAAAACGAAACCAGCCAATTCTCCCCTGTGCCCAAGCGCGTCATGGATGGCAGTGAGCCTGGTGCCACTGTTGCTGCCGCTGTTCTGTCCGGCGCTCCCACCGACCTGCAGGCCCGTACTGTCCGGTATGAAGCCCCATAAACGATATCAATCGCCCGCCCGTATCAGTCGCGCTGATCAATCATTTACAGGATCTACCGTCAAGCGAAGCCCGCAACGCAGTCCGGAACCTGGCACGGTCACCACTGGAGAATGGATTGGGATATCCTGCAGAGGGGTCATCGCTGGGAGAACCCCCTGATGGGCTGGCAATCCTCTGCCGATTGCATGCAGGGTACCCACTTGAACTTCAAGAGCAAGGAGGATGCCATCCTGTTCGCCCAGAAGCAGGGATACGAGTACTTCGTTCAGGAGCCGAATGAGCGTCGCTTCGTTCCCAAGGCCTACGCTAACAACTTCGTCCACGAACCGAAGAAGCTCAAGTACATCAAGACTAAATGATTTGGGTTTCTGGTGTGTCATGTACATAAGTGCAGGTCTTTGTTTAAGTTCTGGGTTGTGCTAGGTGATAAATTCAACTTTCCTAAATGTTACACTTTTTCGCTATTGCAGACTTTTAATTGACATAATCCGGTAAATTCCCGTCTGTCTGCTGGTATGCACTATTGAGTTCATAAATCGATTTAGCGCCAAGCGAGTCTGGAGAAGCTCGACAAGCATTTGGAAGACGCTTGCGCTAGTTCCCAGTATTTTCTGAAGAATAGGCCGCTTTGTGCCTGGTATGACAAGAGTCATTGGTAGCAAATGTCGATATTCATACTCAGTCTTCGTTGGACCGAATATTGAGGCAATAGCGTTAAAGTACGGAAAGTTGAGGCTCCATGCACTTTCACATGCTGTGCCTCTCTTTCCATGGCAATTCATTCTCAAATCAATTACACTAGCACAGCTGGTAGTGGTCAAGGAACTATTAAGAATGATGTTGCTTTGGCATGCAATCCTTACTAAGGATGGTGTTAGCCCACTGCGGAGTGACCCTCTGTATATACAGGCGTGCTACAAGTAGTACTTATGAGTGAATAACAGAGAGAATTGAAAATCTTATACAGAGATGTTAACAATATGCCGCAGCTCCTTTAGGATTGAAAAGATTCGACATCATGCTATGAAATGCTTTCAGCAATGATTAAATAGTTGAGCTGCTTCTGATGTAGTCTAAGCGGCATCTTAGAAAGCGAAAATTGACTACTTTGTCTGTTGAGCAAGACGACTCACAACTAATACCTCATACGGATAAGGCTAAATCCTCCGAGGGCGCGAGGGAAGAACGGAAGTTCACCGGGTAGCAGATGAGTACTATCCAGGCATGCAGCAAGTGGATCTTTCTTTTTGGCTTTCCCGCGATGACTTGAATTAGGCTTCAGCGGTCTGGAAAAAGGATAGTCAATAGAAATAAAGGTCTGCTCGGAACTGTGCGAAAAATATTTACATAAGGATGCCTTATGACTGTCAATTAGACTATAAAGAACGCTCATTACGCTCCCACTTTCTCAAAGAAGACAAGCCTCAAAAAATATCGTTCGATGATCACCATCCCGGCAGGAACAGATCCGGCAAAAAGACGCCGAGCATACAGTAACCAGAGAGTGGCACAGGCAGATTTACAAAGCAAAAGGCGCCCAGCCACGGCGGTTTGGAACCCCGCCGCCCCCACCTAAAATTTATTATCGGGACGTGATAAGATCGAAAATTTACCTATCGTCGTTCATGCCTGAAGGTCCTCTTTCCCTCTTCTCCCTTCTTTGCCCCTCGTTTCCCGCTGGATCTCGTGAAATTTTGCAAACTAGAAACACTCCTTAATCAATAATCTTTTCTTTTTCTTTATCATGTCTGCTGTCAACGAGAACAACCTGGAGGGCGTGAGTGAGACTGTCCTCACCCTCCGCAAGGTTGTTGTCAATGAATCCGAGCCCCTCGCGCGCCGCTTCCGGGCCCTCTTTTCTCTCAAGTACCTGGCGTGCCTGCAGCCTCCGTCCGAGGACACCCTTCCCGCTATTGAGGCCATCGCTGCCGCTTTCTCATCCAAGTCGGCTTTGTTGAAGCATGAGCTTGCCTACTGTCTTGGTCAGACTCGCAACCCTGACGCTGTCGCGTTCCTTCAGCAGGTTCTGAAGGACAAGGAGGAGGATGTTATGTGCCGTCATGAGGCCGCTGAGGCCCTAGGTGCTCTGGGCTACGAGGACAGTCTGGAGATTCTCAAGGCACTGAAGGACGATGAGAATGAGCCCGAGGTCATTCGGGAGACTTGCGACATCGCCGTGGATCGTATCGTGTGGGAGAACTCCGAAGCCAGGAAGGCTGAGAAGTTGAAGCCTAGGTATGACCTTACTTTTCTTGTCGCAGCCAAGTCATTCGGATTGCATGCTAATTGAGTGCTTCTATATGATATAGTGACTTCACCTCCATCGACCCCGCCCCACCAATGCCCCTAGAAGCCGCAGAACCCTCTATTCCTGAGCTGGAGAAGACATTGCTGGACACCAAGCTTCCTCTCTTCCAAAGATACCGTGCCATGTTTGCCCTGCGCGACCTCGCCTCGCCTCCTGATCTGCCCACCGCCGTTCAGGCCGTCGATGCGCTCGCCAAGGGTCTCAAGGACCCCTCTGCGCTGTTCCGCCACGAGGTCGCATTCGTTTTCGGTCAACTTTGCCACCCCGCATCCGTCCCTAGTCTCACCGAGTGTCTGAGCAACCAAGAAGAAGCTGGTATGGTGCGCCACGAAGCTGCCGAGGCCCTCGGTAGCTTGGGTGACGTTGAGGGTGTCGAGGATACCCTGAAGAAGTTCTTGAACGACCCCGAGCAGGTTGTCCGGGACAGCATTATCGTGGCTCTTGATATGGCCGAGTTTGAGAAGAACGGAGAGATGGAGTATGCGCTGGTGCCGGACTCTGGTGCCCCTGCTGCCGTGTCTGCTTGATGAATAATGCGAACAAAAAGTCTACAATGCCGGTAAATAGTTGCTTTCATGACTCATAGATGTACAATTGAGAATTTTCAAAAAAACATAGACACCAGGTCTTTGCCGTTTAGTTGTTCGTCGATTCCCTGTGTAACAGAAAGATTAGTATGGGCTATTGCGGAAAAGGCAGGGAAAGAGAGGGGTTTGTAGGTTGCATACTTGTGACCACAGACACACGTGTAAAACACCGTACTACCTTCATCTGCACTGCGCAGTTGTACGGTGGTGTAGTACATCTCTTTCCTTCCACATTTGATGCAAGTATGTTGGGTAAGGGCTTCGGTTCTTCTGTCGGACGCCGTCAAGGTCTGGACCGCAGATCTTTTCGCTCTCAAGGCAGACGGGAATGCGCTCGGCTTGGACTCGGAGACAATAGTCTGGGGAACGGTGTCTGAATAGGAAGTTAAAGGGGACAAGGTCAGTGAATGCAACTTTGCAACCTAAGATACCAACAAGGCAAACCTACCTTTATTCCTAGCTCCGCAGACATCGCAGACAAGAATCTTAGTGGGATCTCCAATTGAGCCATCCAACAGGGAGCCGCAGTCAGTGCAGAAGACGAGAGTTCCAATCGCAGACATATTGAACGTTTTAGGTTTGCAGCAAAAGGTACCAGATCAACCGGACAATTGAAAATCGATATATGACCCTTTACTTTTTTTTTTTTCTTTCCCGCCTTGAATTCTTTGGATGGCGGCGGAAAGAATGGCTCCAGCACGGACCAATTTTCGACGGTCCAGCGCGCCATTAGTGCCGGGCGGTGAGGCGCGGCAGCGGCAAGAGAACCGTGCCTGGCATTAATTATTGCATTGGTTTGCCATGGAGATCTTTGGATGATCAGGCGTTTATCGGGGGTGGTCTCTCATTCTCCTTGCTCCCATAGCCATGTCTCTGAGGAGGGCATGTCTAAGCTACAGTCATAGATCTTCCTTCAACCCGTCTCCAGCTTCCCAGTAGGGATATCCGCCGCCATGGCTCAAAACTGGCATCCGGCCGTTCAGGTCGTCATCAACGGCCATCCCCAAGCGCAAGCTCAAGCTCCCAGCGGGCAGGCTCGCCGCTGGCAAAGGCCGCTGGCTGTTGAGGAAGCGTTGCAGTACTCTCCCATGTCCAGCTCGCCGATATTCGGTTTAGGTCAGACTGAGATAAACCCTTTCGGTGAACAAAGTGAACTTTAACTAACTGCTTGACTTGTCTCCTTAAGATTGCATCCTACGCCCGGACGTCGGTCGACCCCCCAATACGACCTCCATTAATCACATCCTCCAGTCCGGCCGTACAGCATTAAGTCAACTCAATGGTGAAATTCAATCGGGACGGGACGAGTCGAATCGCTTGGAGACATCCCGGGAATACTTGCAGCAATTGCTGGATGGTGATCAGTTGACCGAATTGTAAGCCTCATTAATGCTTCATTCTTATATCATATGCTCACCTAGTCCGGTAGCAAGTTCAAGCTGCCGACAAGCTCGATTAGCACTCAGCAATCACCTTCGACAGCGGCAAACGACCATGTCGCCAGCAGCAACAAGCTTGGCTCATTTGCGAAGATGATGTTGGATGCCACGGATATCGCTTTTCGATGTAGGGCTTCATCGCTTCACATGGGCTTCAGAAGTGAACTGACAATATACAGACCCTACGCCGGATGACATAGAACCGCCGCAAAAGCCTATCTCCTTTAATGAAAGGCAACCTTCCGTCGCAAACAGACCTGCACCTACCCCCTCCTCCCGACCGAGTCAACAGACAAGTCAACTCTCGGTAGTAATCCCCGTCAAGCCGCTGCCACCCCATATTGACGATCACGGCATGTCGAAGAAGAGAAAACTCAATGCTGAGGGGAGCGAAAATCTTACGGCTATCCGGCTGAAAGACCAAAAGGAAGAGGCAGACGCTGCCCTAGTCAAGTTGCAGGACATGCTCCATGAAATCTTCGAATCCGAGGATCAGCTCGACCCCAGTACATCCTCCGGTGCGGCTGCTGAACAGACAAACGTGGTTTTCACTACACCTCATGCACTCGAGGTGAACGGGCCTATCCTTTCATCCGATACCCATACGCGGCTGCAGAAGGCAATCAAGAAAGTGGTTGGGTACAGCCGACTCCAGGATATCCCATCGGACTATCTCAATAGGATCCAGAAGCTTTGTGAAAAGCCAATCATTGCTGCCCAATCTCCGGATCTGAGAATAGACGATCCTTCGAATGAGTCTGAATCGCAGGACTGGTTAAGAAAGTTGGATGACATGCAAAATGCTCTTCTTGCTATAGGGAGTCTTCTGCAAACGATGTCTGGGACCCAGACGGAACGAGATCTTTGTCCAGAGGATTTGATTGAAGCCATACCGAATGTTTTTAACCAAGTCTTTGATCACTGTATCATCCCGGCTGTCCAGGCACGTCCTGGAGGCAAGGATGCGAAGTATTTTGAATTCTTCTCTGCTCAGAAACGGGTTCTTGGTTCCTTAATCCAGCAAAGCAAAAAAGTACTTGCTCTTTTTGCAGATTTCCTCTCACGGATTGACGTCTCAGAAGGAACTGTCACCGCCACGGAGTTCTTCGCAGCTAAGTTAATTTTCGTCGAGAACTCTCACACGGAAAAGGACTCAACTGTCGGTGTTCAGAAGTTTGAGTCGGTTCGACGTGGAGCCATGGATGTACTGGCCAAAATCTTCTCCAAGTATCCCGCCCAGCGCCCATACATCCTGGATGAAATCCTTGTATCACTTGAAAAGCTCCCATCTACTCGGCAGAGTGCCAGGCAGTTCAAGCTTGCCGACGGCAAAAATATCCAACTTCTGACTGCATTGGTCATGCAACTGGTCCAGACGACTGCTTTGGACGTTCCCAACTCTAGGGCGTCTCGAATGAGGCGCAAGCCACCTGGATCGGCGGAAGACGAGGACGATGACGAAGTGCTTGGCGATAGCCAGGCAGTGGATGACGACCAGTCGAGCATGTCCATGGAACAGCTTGCGACCAAGGTCAACCGCTTACATGATAACGCAGTACGCAGTGCCCAGTACATTGTTAAATTCATCGTCCAACGGGCGATGACATCCACCAAGACCGGTGATCAGCCTTATCGGAATATTTTCGACCTGTTTACCGAAGATTTGATCAGCGTCCTAGGCTCCACAGATTGGCCGGCTGCGGAATTGCTGCTTCGTATCATGGCCTCTCACATGGTTGGTATCGCCGAACAGGACAAGAGTTCTGCGACTGCGAAAAGCATGGCTCTTGAGCTCCTGGGATGGATGGGCTCTGCCATCTCTGATCTTATAGTGACTGCTCAGCATCTGCTACCTGCAATGGAGGAGTCTGATAGCGATCTCAGCGAATCTCTCAAACAGCTGTTCGAAGAGTATTCGAGCCGTGCTTTGCATCCACAAGACCTCGTTGTCGCAGAAGGCCCTTATCGGATGACGCTCGAGTATTTCATTCAAGACCGCAGTGTAGACAACTGGCAGCTTGCTAGTGCTCGCGGGTTCTATCTTACGCAGTGGTCTAAAACCTTCTGTTCCGTTTACTATAACTCTGAAGACAAGGACGAAGTCATGTACGACGACGCGACCGAAGACCTGGTTTCACTCTTCTCCAATCTTTTCTCTGACCCGTTATGGCTCGAGACGCACAGGTGAGTACGTTTTGTTGAGTCCCACAGCACCTTACTGATTCTTTTCCTAGGCAATTCAACACTGTGCCTACGGCGCATGGCAAGTTTGCATACATCCTGACTGTCTTGAACTCAGGGTTCTGCAAGGCTTTCGACACTATTCTCAAAGTTTTGCTCAACTCGATTGCGAGTGACCAGGCCAAAGTTCGGAGTCGTAGCTTGAAGAGTGTAATATACATGCTCGAGAAGGATCCAAGTCTTCTCGATAGAGATGCTTCAGTCATGCGGGTAATTCTCCGCTGTGCTACTGACGCATCTCCCATGGTCCGCGATTCCGCATTGTCTTTGATCGCGAAATGCATTGCATTGAAGCCGAAGTTGGAAGAGGACGGCTGCCGGGCTATCTTGACATGCGCCGCTGATCCGACTGCCGGTGTACGGAAGCGCTGCATCGGTTTGTTGAAGGATATCTACCTTAACACGTCGCGTACTGAGTTGAAGCTTGCGATAATGGATAGCTTTCTCCAACGTACGGGCGACTTGGAAGATAGCGTGGCGACTTTGGCGCGACAGACATTCGAGGAGATTTGGCTCACTCCCTTCCACGGACTCATTGATTCTGCCCAGGATGGTCCTAAACTAAAGGTCGGTCTCGATGAGAGGGTGACACTCATCGTCAGCCTGGTTCAACGAAGCGAAACAGCGCTTGACACCTTGAACAACTGTATTAAAAAGGTTCTATCCGACACCTCCAAGACCGCTTCTCTGAACTTCAAAGTATGCAAAGCAATGGTCTCTACAATGTTCGAGAAGCTGGTTGAAGGTACCGAATCGACGAAAGAATTCCAGCAAGCACTTTTGCAAACTATCACCGTTTTTGCGAAGGCCAATGCAAAGTTGTTCCGGCCTGACCAGCTAGAGACTTTGCATCCTTACATTGGACACTTGGCCACGGCCGAGGATCTCTTCCTTTTCCGCTCGGTGGTAGTCATCTACCGATGCGTATTGCCATATTTGTCGTCCGCCCACAATACTCTGTTGAGAGAGGTCCAAAACGACCTTTTTAAGAGCGTTGCTAAGCTTGCTCGCTCAGAGCTGAATGAAGTGATGGCGTGCCTCTGGACTATCAACGGAGTTCTGCACAATACTGACCGGTTGGTGAAACTAACCATTTCCGTGCTGAAACCGATACAGCACTACAAAAACATCGATCTTTCTGATAGTGCAAACGCGGCAGTCTTAGCCAGAGCCAAAAGTTACATCCGTATTGCAGGCTGTGTTGGCAGACACTGCGATCTTGAAAAGTACGAGCCGCATTTCAAGAATGCTTTCCCATCATGGGGCGGCGGGTCAGTGGCTGGTTTAATGGTTGATGCCATTATACCCTTCACTGTTCCGAAACAACCACTTGAGCTGAGAGTCATGTCACTGGAGAGTTTGGGATCAATTTGCCAGTCCTGGCCAGGCCAGTTCAGTCGTGATAACCCAAGGCAGATTCTGTCTATGGTGTTTAAGGAAGACAATCCTAGTCTGCAGAACATTGTGCTGAGGTCATTCTCGGACTTTTTCGCCATGCACGAAGGCAAGGCTGAGAAGACTGTGTTATCTGCTGCTGAGATTGCCGAGCAGGAAGGCGCCACGCGACTAGGAGGGTCTTTGAAGGCCAGCGACAACGATGGTGCCGCTGCGTTGATTGCCCAGCACTTCTTGCGAAGCATGCTTCGGGTCGCACAATCGCGGCAAGACTCGTACGCTCTGACTGCCATCGAGCTGATTGCCAGTATAAACCGTCAAGGATTGGTGCACCCTAAGGAATGTGCGGGCGTTCTTGTCTCGTTGGAGACATCAACTGTTCCAGCGATTGCGAAAGTTGCGTTCGACACTCACAAGATGCTCCACCAGCAGTACGAGTCAATGTTCGAAAGAGAATACATGCGTGCTGTTCAGGAGGCTTTCTACTACCAGCGCGATGTGGTGGGGGATCCCACTGGTGCATCAAGCCGTCCATACATTGCCAAACTTGCGCCCCTGTTTGATATCATCAAAATCAGCAACAGTCGCTA